TGATAAATTTATTCCTGTTAGTAGTGACTTCATTTTCATTTGTAGTGACTTTATTACAATTAGTAATGACTCTGTTCTTGGCAGTAGTGAGTTTATTCCCATTCGTAATGACTTTATTCTCGTTAGAAGTGACTTAATCCTCATTAGTAATGACTTTATTCTCGTAAGTAATAACTTTATTCTCATTAGTAGTGATTTTATTCCCGTTAGAAGTGACTATTCCCATTAGTAGTGACTTTATTCTCAAGAATAATGACTTTATTCCCATTAGTAGTGACCTTATTCCCGTTAGTTATAACCTCATTCTCATTAGTAATGACTTTATTCTCATTAGTAATGACTTTATTATTTGCAGTGACTTCATTCTTGTTGGATATGACTTTTTTCTGTTAGTAGTGACTTTATTCTCATTAGTAATGACTTTATTATTTGCAGTGACTTCATTCTTGTTGGATATGACTTTTTTCTGTTAGTAATGACTTTATTCTTATTAGTAATGACCTAATTCTCATTAGTAGTGACTTTATTCATGTCAGTAATGACTTTATTCTCATTAGTAATGACTTAATTCTCATAAGTATCGACTTTATTCCTGTTAGTAATGACTTTATTCTCATTAGTAATGACTTTATTTTCATTAGTAATGACTTTATTCTCATTAGTAATGACTTTATTCTCATTGGTACTGATTTTATTCCCGTTAGTAATGACTTTATTCTTATTACTAATGACCTAATTCTCATTAGTAATGACTTTATTCTTATTATTAGTGACTTTATTCCCATTAGTAATGACTTTATTCATGTCAGTAATGACTTTATCTTGTTAGTAATGACTTAATTCTCATAAATTACTGACTTTAATCTCAAAGTCTTCAATGTGGCCCTAATACTCCATCGTTAAAAAGTAAGTTTGGGATCTAGGATTTAGGATCTTTAATTATTCTAACTGATGTTTAGTTTCATTTCTAGAAGTATCTTGTTGCCCTTGTTTTGTTCTGTGGTGAGTTTCTGTGCATTTCCCCGAAGCCGTTGTGTTGCTAATCTTAAATCACAATAAAGCTATTCTTTTGTGTTGTCTGTGGGTGGCTGGAATCTCCTGTGGTTATGTTCTTTATTAAGGCCTCGCTTGTTACGAATGAATCTTCTCAGACTTCTGCTGTCTTGTGCTCTAATGCAGCCTGTAGAAAATGACCCACTTATTCAAAGAGCCTTACTCTGCAAACTTGCCTGCAACGTTTCTCTATCTATTTGTCGGTTTTTGTTTATTCAGTTGAGTAGGAGGCATGCTATGAAAGACACAAGACCATGATAAAAGCACAAACTTGTAAATGTGTGTTAGGAAGTGTTTCTAGGAAAACCCAGCGGCCATTCCTGAGGATTTGGTGCACAAGAACTGCCTTCCCACCCTTTCAATTCTTGCTTATATATTAGTAAAGAGCTGAAGATGGATTCTGTGCACGAGCAGCATTTCAGCTTTAGTGGATAAAGTGCTGGGTAAAGTGGGAAATTGGGCTTTTTAAATCTTTTATTTGGTGAATCAAATGCAGCAGAAGTTTTTATCCCTTTATGGCCAAATATAAACCATGAACTCTTCTTTTTATTTGACATTTTCATTTGAGAGCTCCTCCAGGTCAGTCTCTGAACTTCTTCGCTCGTATCGTAAAACCCTTTGGTTGAAATATCAGTGTTCAGAAGGAATTAGTCTTCTCTTATCTCTGTAATGGGAGCAAAAGTAGCTTGCTGATTCATTGTGGGCTGTGCTGCTAAGTGGATTTTACTCTGAGGGGGCCCTCGCCTCTTTTTTCTGGGTTTAGTGTTCAGCAGTGATCTTGCTGCAGTTTAAAAAGAGGCTGTTTGTGCTGTCAGGAGTTAGATCCTGTGTTTATATGAACTTGATTCGTGGACTCGTGGGCCATATTGACCCAGTCGGTTCTCATTTTGGGAAAACCTGATATTTTACTTTACGTTCCCTCTGGTTTCTCTTGTATTTTCTGTATTTTCTTGTATTTTTGTTGTAGAATCAGCTGTGTTCAGTCACAGTAGTGGGATGTTTTGTCGCAGTATTAAAGCACTGTTGATTAGGGCTGAGCGATATGGCCTCAAATCAATATCAAGATATATTGAGCAATTCACCTCGATAACGATAAATGGATGATAACTACTCCACGAGCTGCTCTCCCTCTCCCACATTAACTTGGGGGTGGAGTCACGTCTTTGACGTAGGACAGCGTCTTAAAGGGACATGAGACCATAGCCTACGTACACACATCCCAAAACAAACTTTGATTTTATTTACTTTTTTGACACTGAAAATACTGATATGGGCAAAATGACGTTGGTTATTGTCGCAAGTTTCGGTATCTGTAAATTTTTGGTTTATCGTCCAGCCCTAGCTCAGCATGCTTTTGAATCAGCAGTGAGACACAGAATATACCGATATGCGTCAGGTATTGTTGTACATTTTGGTATTGGTGAATTTTTGGTTTATCGCCCAGCCCTATGTCAGACTTCTTTATAAAATCTAAAGAGAGGGTGCAGAATCAGCTGTGTTTAGTCACAATAATGGGCGGTTTTGTCGCATTATTGAATTAATTCTTTGGCATTTTGGTAAATACAGCACACCGAGGTTTAACATATTTCAATATTTCAGGTCTGACTTACTAAGGTAGTGCTTGAAAATCTAAGGTCACCTCTCAGTGGGTCTCCTTAACTGCACCGACTGAGGAAACTGCATCTACTTAAAACTAAGCTCCTCATCTCTGTTTGAAACAGGCTAATTAATTTCACATCACATTTACATTGCAACCGCTGAGCACATTTGCAAATCCTGTAGAGCAACATATTAGAGCTTTGCTATAAATAGCCGACTTAATCCGTAAATACTTACTGTTAAACCTGTGAAAAACCTTCTCCAGGTCTTTTTTCTACTGCAGACTCTTACTTCTCCATGGATGACTTCTGCAGAGCCATTAAACTTTCACCCTGAGCATATGAAAAAATGAAGAGTACTGTGTGGGGAAGGGTACAAACAAGCCTGGAAGAAGCCTTTGGTGTCTGATCTAGCAGGTTCTTGTTGAGCTCTGTCCTTCCTTTCCATTTTCTGTTCTTTCTTCCGCCCTAAGAGGACAGAGCAGAGCAGGAAATTTACACTGGAAGGTGTGAGGGGAAAGAAGTGGGCTTCCATCAACATCAAATATTGTGCATTGCAGTAGCGGTGAGGGGTGATGAGTGAGCAGAATGAAGAGGGGAAAAGGGGGCAGCATAAGGTAGAGAAATGGGGTCAGCTTCAGTTTATGTAACGCCCCTCTTCACAGTAAGCCTGAGTGCATGCAGCAGCAGCAGAAGCAGCAGCAGAGGGTTGGGCTCCCACTCATCTGAGTCTGCTCCGCACGCAAAAACACTGCACCCCCCAAAGGGTCTGTCCTAAAAGGAGGGGAACGCACACATCAGGAGGAGCAACAGCCACAATGAGTGTGGTTAATCTTCTGCCCCATCTGTTAGTGGTCCCAGGGACAGAACCAGGTCTTTTTTTTTTTCTGAGCAGGATGTCCAGCCTGAAGGCGGGTAGTGTGCAAACTTATCCCCCTGTCCCAGTCCTCTCTAAAGCAGGAGGCAGAGCTTAGGAAGAGACAACAGCGCTACACTGATGGTTCAGTTCAGCTCTAAATAACTCATGTTCGCTCAGGCTGTCACAGCACTCATATTGTCATTACATCCCCTTCACTTCACACGACCCATGTGCATGTTGAAAGGGGCTGAGTGGATCACTTCCTCTGTCAGAATGATGGTTGTGTTTTCCATCGAGCTGCTTTGTTCAAAGCTGTCCCAGTATTCAGTTACTGTTTCCTCTCTGCTCTGCTTTCCTTATTTAAACACTTTCCTCTGTACAGAACCAAAGCCATGACACTTTCAAATTTCTTAAGGGGACTCTGTGTGAAAATGTGACATAAGGGTAGGGCTGGACGATATGGGAAAACGTTTATCACAATAAATCTTCTTCATATCAGTCGATATCGATATATATCACACTATAAAAAGTGAAATTAAACAGTGCTTTTTGGTAACATGTCTTTTTCAAAACAATAAGTTACTGCATCTGTGAGGTCTTTGTGTCTCTTCGACATTTTTTCGTAAGGCGTTGCGCTAGAGAAAGCAGACTGAATGGTCAGCTGTTGCAGTTGCACAGGCGCCATAGGCTCCTTGCTCAGCTTAGGGTTTGTAACCAATTCGCTCTGCTGCGTGGCACTGCTTCAAAATACCTCCATAACACAGACGTTTTTGTGCCAGTTTTGTCAATGATGTTGTCGTCTGTTGAGCCTTCATGTGCATTTCTGCCGGGGTTAGCACTCATTTTCTTTTTTTCATACCGACAGTGCTGTCAGCTTCACGTGTTAAAAAGCTATGGTTGCATGTAGCTGCAGTCTGCTACTACGCAGTTTTTTGCTACTTGGTTCTAATTCAGCACATGATTGATTGGACCTGGAGCAACTCTCCTTTTTCATTGGCTATTCCTATAGTCGACCAAAACATGTCAGAATGCCGGCTATCGAGAAGAACGTTGACCATGTTTTATATTGATATTGAGGGAATTTAATTTTCGATAAATAGTGTTAATGTTTTATTGCCCAGCCCTACATCAGGGCAACAGATTTTAAGAAAAAAGCACCTGATCTGTTTCAAAGTTGATTCCCCGGCTGGTCACTGATGGTTGTCTGGTAAATTTTAAAGCTTTAGCTGTGAATTTATTTAATTCTTATCTGGACTTGTTGTTTTTTTCAGTTCTCTTTGGATCATCCTTGAAGGTGAAGGACCAAACTGTCTGAAGATCCAGAGATCAACAAAATGTCAAAACAAGTATTAGGATCCAACAGGTGGGCCAACGTTTATCCTGTTATTCACATTCCTGTTTAAAGTGAAGAGTCATGACTCTGCTTTTTCCTCCTGCTCTTTGTCATAATTTATTCTGTGTGTCCCCTCCTGTCATCCAGTCTGTGAATTATGGGAAATGCTGAGAGCCAGAATGGGGACCATACCCTCTATGGAAACGAACATGGCTACCTGTCACGTAAGCACATGTCTCGGTCTCTTCGCATCTCCAACAAACAGTCCAGACGCTCGAGACACGCTTCATCAGGGAAAATAGAGCACAGGAACTCTGAGACCAGCACACGCTCAAGCAGCACTCCGAGTATCCCACAATCCCTTGCTGACAATGGCCTGGAGCCGTTTAATGAGACCAGTTTACTCCCAGACTTTGGTAGTCCCATTTGGGTGGACCGTGTGGCCATGAATCTGCGCCCTGTATCTTTTCACAACGACCTGGCTAATCCATCCGTGCGTGTAACCCTGCCCGGTCCCACCGCAGAAGAGGCGCACGATGAAGATTTGTACACCGGGGAGGTCAAATATCTCCAGAGAACTCAGGAGGGCCTTAAAGAGAGCGTTAGCTTCAAGAAGAAGAGGTCCAAATCTGCTGACATGTGGCGAGATGACAGTCTGGAGTTTTCTCTCTCTGATCTCAGTCAGGAGCACCTGACCAGCACCGAAGAGATCATAGACATGGCCAACGAGAGGGAGTTCCCTGACTGTGAAGTCCACCTGCAGTCCAGTCCCACTGACTCAGCTGACAGGGCGAACTCCTTCGATGAGCTTTACAGCCAGAAGAACCACGCCCGCCAGAAAGCCCAACGCCGCTACGCCAAGTGGCACGATGGGAGCAGGGCTGTCAGGGAGGGGGAAGATGATAAGATGCTCTCGCCATCGGAGGAGGATGGGAACACCTACAGCGCGTACACCCTTCCCTGCCGTCGCTCACACTGCCTGTCCGAGGGCCTGAGCGGCCACCAAGCTGCCATGTGTGCCAGTATGCAGGGCAGGAGGGCGCAGACCATACAGGTAAGATGTCGACCGAGCAAATTCATGATGTCTGATCTTATACTCAACTAACCATGTATGAATTTCATTCTTTGAAATGTTCATATTCATGGCTGTTTGATGTAGGGCTACACGATATATAGTTTGAGCATCGCGATGTATGAGTGCATGATTGTCACATTGCAGAACCTGCGATGTCGGAGGCGAATGAACTCAGTTAATTTCTAGGGTAGATGACTGAGATGCACTGTATGTCACTCTGCATGTGCTGTGCAGCGATCCACCAATCACATTCGTTCTTTACTCAGTTGCCAATCAGACTACCCTGCCAGCATTACTTTCGGAACATTACTCACACCTGTTAAGCCATTTGTACCATTTGCACAGACCACTCCACTATAAGTGGTTTGCGAGGTGCATGCAATTCTCGGCGGACACACCAATAACAACAACGATTGAAAAATGAGCAACAATCAAGAGAAAACCATCGCAAATGAAGACTTGTTGCCAAAAAGAAAAGGAAAGTCAGTTATCTGGAATTATTTCGGTTACAAAACACCTGTTTTTGTTCACCTGTCGCCACAAAAACGTCCCGCAAAATAAAAGCTAAAAATATCTCTAAGACAGACAGAAGCCACTTAACTAACAATCACAAAAAGAGGTAAGATCAGTGCAGGTTAACTCGTCGTTGTCATCGTTTTCTTCCACTTATCTGGGTCCGGGTCGAGGGAGCAGCAGCTTTAGGAGGGAAGCCCAGACGGCCCTCACCCCAGCTACTTTCATCAGCTCCTCCGAGGGGATTCCCAGGCCAGGCGAGAGATATAATCCCTCCACCTGGTCCTGGACTGGCCACGAGGTCTCCTCCCAGTGTGACATGTCCAAACAGCATCCTAACCAGATGTCCGAGCCACCTCAGCTGACTCCTCTCGACGTGGAGGAGCAGCGGTTTTACTCTGAGTGCTTCCCGAGTGTCTGAGCTCCTCACCCTATCTCTAAGGCTGAGCCCGGCCAACCTGCGAACGAAACCCATTTCAGCCGCTTGTATCCACGATCTCGTTCTTTCGGTCATTACCCAAAGTTCATGACCATAGGCCTGTCCTGGCTGAAAATTCCTGCATTTTTTAATCAATTTTTTTCAAATTGCGATGTTATTTTTTTCCAATATCGTGCCGCCTTAGTCTGATACTCATCTCAGGGTGTCTGATCTGTTACAGTCACATTATTATCCTTTATTTTGTTAGGACACAGCAGGAAAAGCTGTTCAGAATCTTAATGCAGTCTGGTGGCATCACCAAAAACACGTCCCCTCTTTCATTTCCCCCTAATGTGACTGAGCGTTTCCTCTGCTGCATTCTCTCCACAGATAATAAGCCGCTGAACAAATTCCAGAGTAAAAAAGAAAGCTTATATCGAGGGTGCGATCATGTGTCGTTTACTGATGAATCTGTTGTTTTTCTTGGGAGAGGACTCGCCGTGACAGGGGGGGGAAGCGAAGCTTAAAGTCACTCCCTGTTTGAAATGCCTCAGTCTATTGTTATGATAATGAGGGGAGGCCTGCGGAAGAGTGTAACAGTAAAACGTGTGTGGTGGCCCTGTCACTGCGGGGCACCATCAGCCCAAGTGAATAGAGTTTTGGAGCGCATGATTGGGTCACGTGACCAGATGGAGATACCGAGCTCGGTGTAGCCCCCTTCATCTCCCAGGAGCCTTTGGCCATGTGGGGAGGAGAGGACAGATCGAGGGGTGCCACACGGAGGCTAGGATGTACCTCCACATCAGCAGAAACTTTGCTGTTTGTGATTTATTCAGAGGAGAAATTTCATTTCAAGTGACTCCACAGGTTTAGTTCTGAAGGATGGCTCTGCTCTGCATCTGCACTGACAGCTTTGTCATCAGACAGCCGAGGATCTGATCTAGTGATGAAGGAAAGGTAGGAGCCATGCCGTCTCACCTGTCTTGTGCTTCTGACCCAACACAGGATGTCACGGCCGGGGAAGGCAGCGAGTACGAGGACAGCGGCATCGACGGGGTGACGGTGGAAGCAGAGCACCAGTCCCGCCGCTACAAAACCATGTCTGCCTCCTTCTCTGTTTGCTCGGCCGCCGGCAGGAGCATGTTCGCCGGCAGCGACAGCGGCAGCAGCAGCGGCGGCGGGGCCGCCGAGTGCGTGCAGGGTGTGTACGAGAACTTCCGTCAGGAACTGGAGATGAGCTCCTGCCAGACTGAAAGCTTGGAGGAGGCGGGGTCGGCCCTGAGCGACGAGCAGAGCACTATGAGCTCCGCCTACCAGTCCGACCCGCTGCTCAGCGTAGCCCAGGGAATGGTGCGCAAAGCTGGCAGGCTCGCCGTCAAGAACTTCCTCGTGCATAAGAAGAACAAGAAGGTGGAGTCAGCGACACGCCGCAAGTGGAAGAGTTACTGGGTCTCCCTGAAAGGTTTGTTATGCCCTTAATGTGTCCATAACATTTAAAGGTTGTCCCATAACTCCAGTGTAGCTAACACTGCATCCATCTGATGCTTTTCTATCTTCATGCAGAAGGACATAACCTGATTGGAAGCTAACTAATCTTAGTAAACTGAGCTCTAATTCAATCCTAAATGTTAGATTAGATGGTTCTTGACTGAGCTGGAATCAAATCAGTGCTCCAATAATCATTATACCTCTTCACTGATAAATCAACCGTGCTGCACTTCTTAATGTTGGCCACTGGAGAGCAGAGTGAAATTGCTTGAGCAAATTGCTGTTTGGATAAAGTGTTTCATCATTCTTCTCTCCTGTCTGTCTATCGAGTCTTGAACAGGGTTGTTTTTGGTGTTTTTTCAGGTTGCACCCTCTTCTTCTATGAGACTGACGGCCGATCAGGAATAGATAACAACAGTATTCCCAAGCATGCTGTCTGGGTAGAGAACAGTATCGTCCAGGCTGTGCCAGAGCATCCCAAAAAGGACTTTGTGTTCTGCCTCAGCAACTCTCTGGGAGACGCTTTTCTGTTTCAGGTAGGAGAAAAAGCCTGACCTCTGACCTCTGTGCTGTTTTGAGTGTAAAGGCTGATGCTCTGTTATAATTAGCAGTGAATCGTCTCTTAACAAGTAAAGCGCTTTCAGTTTGTCGCTGAACCTCTGACCCGTTGCTGTCCGTCACCACGCAGACCTGCAGCCAGACCGAGCTGGAGAACTGGATCACAGCCATCCACTCGGCATGTGCCACTACCGTCGCCCGCCAACACCACAGAGAGGATACAGTCCGCCTGCTGCGGGCCGAGATCAAAAAGCTGGAGCAGAAGATAGACATGGACGAGAAGATGAAGAAGATGGGAGACATGCAGCTGTCTGCAGTTACAGACACCAAGAAGAGGAAGACGATACTGGATCAGGTAGACTTTGTTTTGTGGTATTATTTCAGCCTGTCCTTTGCAGGGTTAGTTCCTACAATTTTGAGTTTTGAATTGTGGTTGTAGAAGGATCTAGAAATTTGAGAACACCTGCATAGTATTCCATGAATTCCAGAGAGGCCTGAAAATGCAGGAATTTATTGAAAGATTAAAGGAAAATGCTCAGTGTAGGGCTGGACAATATGGCCTCAAATCAATATAACGATATATTGATCAGTTCACCTCAATAACGATAAATGGACGATAACTACTCCACAAGCTGCTCACCCCCTCCCACATTAACTTTGTCTACTTCAGCCACCGCTCCAGCTGCTACAACGTTTGAACCGCCCTCCATCTCCTCACGTGTCTTCACTCTTTATATGAACTGGATGGGGTGGAGTCACATCTGACGTAGGACAGCGTCTTAAAGGGACATACACACATCCAAAACCAACTTTTATTTATTTATTTTTTTGACACTGAATATCCCGATATGGGCCAAATGACGTTGGTTATTGTCATAAATTTCAGTATCTGTAAATTTTCATTTTATCGCCCAGCCCTAGTGAGCAAACCCACTAAAGAAAACTTGAACCCCACTTGAGTTTACGTACTGCACCTTTACATCTGGGCTGAATTCACTGGTCTACAGTTTTTAGTCAGGCCTCTGAATCCAGATCTGGTTGGAGCTGAAAAGTCGGAGCGATCACGGCCGAGGAAACCGAGCTGAAGGTGTTCTTACTTCTGTTGATTCTGGTCGAACCGTTCCGGAGATTCGGGGGTTTGTTTTCACTGGACGTTCTCTTGTGTTTATGGGCAAAATGACGTCGTTATTGTGGTAAATTTCTGTATCAGTGAATTTTCGGTTTATCGCCCAATCCTAGATCAGCGTGCTTTTTAATCTGCAGTAAGATGTAAACATTCAAATAAGACGATGTTCTCCTAGATGCCGGATATTAAATTCTCGTTTAATTTGCTTCTTTTTTACCTGTAAAAACTTTTCTGCACAGATGAGTTACTTAAGCCGAGAGGGACCGATGAAAGGTCAAGAACGAGCTTTGCCTGCTTTTTATAAAGTAGCGGAAACAGTTATGAAGTATTTAATCAACACGGGTTCTTGTCATCAGCCTCCTGCTGCTGTTTCAGTCTGTTGTGACTTTCAGATGAAACTGTTGAACTCCACCGAGGAGGAGATTAGCTCTCTGAGTTTAACTTCAAGAGGAGCGCTCTTTTTTCACTTTGTTTCCTCTCACAGGTGTTTTCCAATCAAATATCAGAGGTATAATTGATAGAGGCGGCTGATGCTCCACACCTACATGTAGGGCTGGGCGATATGGGAAAAAGTTTATCATGATATCTTTTTCATATCAGTCGATATCAAATTATATATCACAATATAAATCACTTGTCAATCTTAAACTTAATAGTGCTTATTGGTCACGTCTTTTGCAATGCAAAAAGTTACTGCATTTGTGAGGTCTTTCTGTCTCTTTGCTCTAGTGAAAGCGGAGTGAATGGTCAGTGCAGCGCGGCGCGGACCTGGCACAACTCCCATTTTCGTTTGCTATTCGTAAAGTCTACCAAAACATGACAGAATGCCGGCTATTGAAAAGCATATCGACCATGTTTCACATCGATATCGAGGGAAATAAATTTTTGATATATATCATTATCGTTTTATCGCTCAGCCCTACCTAAATGCTACCATTAAGTTTTCTGAACGTAGTATAGAGTTGGCACTGACAAGTAGTTTGCCGTTCTCTCACAAAGCTCTTTTTTCACTTTGTTTTCTCTCACAGGTATTGTCCGATCAAATATCAGAAGTATAATTGATAGATGCTCATGCTACCATTTAGTATATCATAGTATAGAGTTGGCACCGACGGGTAGTTTGCCGTTCTCTCACATAATTGCAAAGCTCTTTTTGTCTTTAATGGGACTGTTTACAGAGAAGCCAGATCAAATGCTCTTTGTTTGGTCAGTTAGGTAGTGACTGGTTGGAGAGCTTCTGTTTGGCAGTGTCAGGTTTCACATTGTGCAGAGCTGAATAGATATAGGCCTGCTCCTTGGAAAGCTTAAACGCTCCCAGCTCCTATCTGCCAGTGGAATGTGCTGTATTATTTCTTCCTCGTCTCTGGGCTGCTTGGCAGTGACACAGACCCCTCCGCTGGTGCTGGCTGCTTCTACCAAACACCAGAGTAAGACTGTGACAGGGAGGGGATGGCCCAGTTCATAATCCCAATGTCCTGCTCCACTGCCCCAGTAAAACCCAACCAGATACGAACCGAGACTGCAGATTGGCAACACTTTGAGCAGAGATGCACCATCCTGGACTCAGGAGCCTTGATGAACGGTGAACTGAAAATGATCTTCTGTCTCTGTAATTCTGCAGATCTTCCTGTGGGAGCAGAACCTGGAGCAGTTTCACATGGATCTATTCCGCTTTAGATGCTACCTGGCCAGTCTGCAGGGGGGAGAGCTGCCCAACCCCAAACGCCTCCTGGCTTTTGCATCTCGCCCCACCAAGTTGGCAATGGGCCGTCTGGGTATATTCTCAGTGTCTTCCTTCCATGCTCTGGTAAATACAACTTCTCAGATAACCTTATTTAAGCTTATTCTTTGAGTTCAAGTGCCACAAACTGAAACATGGATAGAGGGTAAACTTTTAACTTGTTGAAATGATTTGATGTCCTCCTATTATGAATTTTTAAACACCGAATTGTCCATTTAAGAGTAATAAACTAAGATTATTCCACTGACAGGACAGTCTACTCTCAAATAAAGGTTTATCTTATCTTAAAAAACTCATGCTGTGTTTAGTGGTTGTTCTACTTTGGAGGTGGGGTCTCATGCAGGGCAGCGCTTCACAAGATTTGGCTCAGTAGTATTTCCTCCCACTCCTGTATGGAGGTTATGTACTCCACGGCTAAAAGCACTTGTAGTACAGGAAAACACGAATTCAATTTTTAGAGATAGGTTTTCAGATCATTGATGCACTTCTTTCAGCACCACCAACGCACGCTGTGGAGCAGGTGGGCGTTTGGAGCTGTAAGAGAGAGAGAGCAGAGTGGGACATCTAACTAAAGAAACCATCAAACAGCTCTCTACTCCTCCTCTTTTTTATCTTTCCGACTGTTTTATTCCTCTCGGTTTGCACATCTCTGCTCCCATGATTATCTCCATCAGCGCTTTGTCCTAAAGGAGCTGGGAAGAGTTCAGAGATCAAACCAGAGGTGTAATTTAGAGCATGCATGCCCGCTGCCTTTTAATGCCTACTTCAGCTGTTTTTCTCTGACCTTTTGCATCTGAGTTAGCAGTCTAAAAATGCCATGTCGTGTAAAAATCTGCATGAGCCCAGAGTTTGTGTGTGAAATGAACATGTCAGGTTTACATTTGTGATGAATGCTTTTAATATATTTATCCATGTAAACCTGCAAATGCTGTTATTTTCTCTGTGATTTAATTCCCACAATAATATTTGTGTCTCCTCGTTGCCCCTTGTTTTTGTCAGAGCTGTATGAGGAAATAGAAATGTAACACAAGGTCAAACAGATGGTCGTCTATGCCTCATTTGGCCTCTCGAGCCCTGACTGAGTCGTCGTGTTTTTGCAGGTGGCGGCCCGCACAGAGACCGGAGTGCGAAGGCGAACGCAGGCCATGTCACGATCCTGCAGCAAGCGCAAGAGCCGGTTCTCCTCTCTCTGGGGTCTCGACACTACCTCAAAGAAGAAAACAAAAGCTCACCCCAGCATCAACCAGGTCAGCGAGACGACGAGTTCAGTGAAAAACTTTGAAAGGGTTAAATCAGGGCTGTTTTTTTAAGTTACGACCTTTTGTCCCAGCAGGTGTTCGCTGACGGCAACGAGCCGGTGAAAAAGCCTCTAGAAGGTGTATTTGTGGATCCTGCCAAGGAGCACACAGTAAGGAGGAGTGATTGTGTTTGCATATATTTGACAGGGAGGTGTAGGTCAGGGACTAAATTATGATTCAACTCTGAAGTTAATGAAATGAAGCCCTCAGGATATCCAGAGATAACAACTGTAAGTGGTTGTTGTATTTTTGAAGTAAATTTGAGCAAAGATTGAAATGTTAGAGCACATAAGTGGAGATATTACACTTTTTAATCAGACTTCAGTAAAATGTGCTGCAAGGATGTTGATGGAAAAACCTTTTTTTAATGTCTGTGTTTAAAGAAAAGCGAGGACGGCACTGTGAAAAGCTTTCCACGGCCGAGCACAGAGAGTGACCTGTGGGCCCCTGACCACCTCACTCCCTCCTGGGTGTGTCTGCCAAACGATCAGCCCGTGCTAACCATCATCCAGCCAGGGGAGTCGGCGCTGTGCGTCCTGGAAACCATTTGCAAGGTAACGCTGCCCTACTTGGCGTGACCTGACATGAACTACAGTTCATGTTTCACTACAGTGACAAAGAAGATAGAAACACCTGCATGAGACTCTCAGACCAATCGTAGTCTGACCTGCAGTGGAACAGAGATGAATATGAAGTATTATGATATTTATAAGAATAATAACTTTATTTTTATAGCACTCTTAAAAACTGAGGTTTACAAAGTGCTTTGACAAATGGTCATAAAGCGCAGAAATAAAGAATAAAAACAAAATCTTTAGTTAAAACAAGGCCTCAGAATTGAAGGCCATTTTCTTGCATAAGGAACCAGGACAATACAGGAACCCTACAACATAAAAGGAGACCATGAGGAACAAAATAAAAACTTAAAATAGATCGGAAAAAAATGCCATAAAAAGAAAAGGGTGTTGAAAGCAGAAAACAGGATAATAAATATAAAAAGATTATATTAATAATGATAATAAAATAATAATGATAATAGTAAATGATAAAATAGATTAACACAAATGAGCAGGAGAAAAAAAAAATACTGAAAGGTTAAATAAGAAAATATATATCACATCAAAAGCTAAAAAGACAGTAAAGCCAAAATAAAATAGGTAAAAAAGATAAAAGACGGCATCACATAAAAGCAAAACTGAGTTTTTAAGATTGACTTAAAAGAGACGACTGTCTCTGCTCGCCTCATCTCCTCTGGTAGGTCGTTCCAAAGTCGAGGAGCTCTGATGGAGAAAGCTCCATCACCCTTAGTTTTGAACCTCGACTTTGGAACGACCAAGAGGCCTTCACCAGAGGATCTGAGGCTGCGAGCGGGCTCATATGGTATCAAAAGCTCTTAAATGGAGCTGTATTGTGTGTGAAATGTCTTATTAAGAATGCTTCAGTAGCTTTGTTCACCTTTTGGTTCACTGATAAGCAGCTGACAGGTCCATACTGTCAAACAATCATCATGTCTTTGTTTTCTCTGGACAGGCTCACCAGCTGGATCCCACTAAACACTACCTGCGGCTCAAACTCCTTATTGAAAACCAAGTGCAATTCTACATTCCCAAACCAGAAGAGGACGTGTGCGACCTGGTACGTACTTACCTGATAAAGATGATGTTTGACAAAGCCAAAAAAAAGGTGTAAAACCACACTGGCAGTTTTCTTAGTGTGTGTGTAAAAGGACTCACAATCTGAAGAAATCCACAAGAGCATCCTTGTTGTGAATTATTAATCAGTTTTATATTTTTATCCTTTCAATTTCAAATGTGTCCTCTGGAGAACCGCCTGCTTAGGAGAACAATGCAGCAAAATATTAATCTATTCAGGGACAGCTTTAATAATAAAGTGTATCTGTAGTTACTTTTGTATTAACATCGTGTAATCATGACACAAAGACTCGGATCACACGCCTTTGTCTAATGAAACCAAAAATTAACGCTCTTTCTCCCTTCTGTCAAAAACCCACCCACCAGAATGGGACTGAAAGTAGGCCGCTGTTTTATGATTTATATAATAACTTCTTTTTTGTTCTTCGCAGCTTTACAAAGAAATCGAGCTCTGCTCCAAAATCACAAAAGTAATCCAGTTTGACAGAGACGAATCCTGCATGATTGGTTACGGTAGGAACCTTTTAAAATGCTGTTTGGATAACAGTTATGATTTGATGATTGTCTGCAGTTTAAACGCTGTATTTAAGTTAGTTTCAAAGGTGTTATAAGTGGTCCTGCTGTTTCCAGGGCGGTAATTGCTTTCTTCTGTACATGCACTTGTGTTTTTTTTAATACTTTTCCCATCTGTACTCCACAAATCCCTCTGAAGTGTTTTATAAAAGACTCACCCTCCTCTCCTCGTCTCTTCTTGCCTCCTCCAGGTTTCTCCATTTCTGTGGTGGAGGAGGATGGAGTACAGCAGCTCTACATCACCGACGTGAAGGCAGGTGGATTAGCCTTCGCCAAAGGTACATTACCGACATTTCCATCAGCTGAACTCCCTTCTCAGAGACACTCAAACAGCGTCTGTAAACTGATGGATTAGTTTCCAGTGTCTCTTCCTTACATGCTTTCTTCACTCAACATTTATCCCACATTGAGGTCAACAGACCTTTTTTGCTTTAGAGACGCATTAGCGCGTGTTTTTCAATCAGCAGAGAAGAGAGCAGAGCAGTTCTCAGGGGCGTTTGTTGAACACTATAATCACAACCACAGTGCCTCTCACTGGCCTTCATGGAGGACGACAATGAATTCGACACCTCGCCACAGCTGCTTCACATTACAGCCATGAAGTCGAACTGCAGGGTTGAGTGATGTTCAATATCATGCTGGAGTTGGTCAGAGTACAGACAGAGAGGGCAGGCAGTGAAGCTTTGCAGCAGGAAGAGAGAAACCTGCAGAAGTGGGTCAAGAAGTGGGAAAGACAAGTTAATGAACCTGCATCCCATAGTCTTATCATTTATTGTTTGACACTGTTTACTAATCATTTGTTTTGCAGAAACAGAGCTGATGGTATCCTCCTTTTTTCAGGTCTTAATGCAGGTGATGAAATCCTTCAGCTGAATGGCAAAGACTCTCACAGTCTCAACTTCTCAGACATGAAAGCAGCGTTCTCCCGAGCCTCCCTCGCTTTGACGGTCAACACCCTCCCTTCTGTGGACCGCCGTCAGCTCTGCTACCTGCCGCCCCGCCGCTCTGATGCAGAGGAAGACCTCTACACAGACATCTTCTCACAGAGTCAGGGTAGGAGATACCAGTCTCTCTGAAGTGTAACTTCAAAAAATCCCAGCTTGAGGGATAGCATCCAGGTTTTGAAACCCATCAATTGTTCAGTGTGGTCGTGTTTATCAGGCCATCTGGCTGTAATCGCTTTGTTCCAAAGGACAAAGAAAATGGAGGCTGTTGTCGGGCTTTGAGTTCCCCTTTTCTTGGAAGCAGAAAAGATATCTGCTGGTGTCCTTAGTGACTGCAGTTTAATTTATGCAAACACAGAAACTCTGCAGGGTGTTAATTAGTCAGCATAGAAGAATCTCAGCGCTGTGTTACAGGCCAACCTTGTGGAGTACTTTGATAAGGTCGACACCTTTTAATGTAAAGGTCTCTAAACTTCAATTGATTGACAGCACCAGAAGAACAATGCGCCCGCATTTTGCAAATATCTCAACCTCATTAGATGTTTTCGAGCTCATTTTTACCTGTTTTTCCTGTTTCAGAGGAGATCCTCGACGACAGCGTAGGTCTGTTGCTGGAGAGCTCAGGAGACAGCCTGGACGATGATTCTGAGATCTTCAGTGATTTTGATGAGTGCGGAAAGGTAAGTGCTCATTTCACATTATTTGTCTTTTTTGCTATTTGTTTGGTAAAACCGCAGAGAAGCTTTTATGTGTGGGCTCTTTAGCTTGTTTACCGTCCTTCACTGCAGCAAAAGCACTTACAAGGAGTGTTGCTCCATGGTTGAAAGCACCAGCTGTTACTGGCTTATTTTGCCTTGTTTAGGAAAAACATGGAGTGTGATTGTTACCCTGGTGTCAACCTGCTTCTCCATTAAAAACAGACCCTGTTTTCAAAGCTGTTTTTAAAACATTAAAGGGATATTCCGGCGTAAATTTAAGTTATGGTCAAACACACCGTAAAATCGAGTTAGACACCCCCTCGATAGATGAATGTTGCCGACGACTTTAGTAATACCAACTTTAGTAATGACCGCACGATAGCAATATACAGCGGTCTGCATCTCCACACGTAAACCTCAACCAAAACGCCACTCTATAGCCACAAATGATGCTCAGAACAGCACCTAACTTCATCAACAGTACATATAGGGTCCCAAAGAGATCAAACACAACTCACCCACTCTCCTCCAGCAGCCGTTTGTTTGTGGGGGAGCCCTGACGAGTTGATCACCGAGTGCAGCGGAGTTCCGCAGCTCAAGGAAGAACATTTATGATTATTACATCATGGAAATACAATCAGACCAAGACGCTAAGGCAGAAGAACTGCCACGTCTGACTGAACACAACTCACCTACTTTCCTCCGGTAGGAGGATCACCGAGTGCAGCAAAAAACCTATGATTTCTATGCAGTGCAATCATTTCTATGATGTATTAATCATCATAATAATCATTTTGCACTGCGGATGCAGTAGTTCTTAACGTCTCACTCTGATTCTATCTTGATGAAGTAATAATTATAAATGTTCTTCCTTGAGCTGCGAAACTCCACTGCACTCTGTGATCGACTCATCAGGACTCCCCCACAAACAAGCGGCTGCTGGAGGAGAGTGGGTGAGTTGTGTTTAGTCTGATGAAGTTGATGAAGTTAGGTGCTGTTCTGAGCATCATTTGTGGCTATAGAGTGGCGTTTTGGTTGAGGTTTGTTTATGGCTCTTCAGACCGCTGTGTATTACTATCATGCGGTCGTTACTAAAGTTGGTATACCTAGAGAAGCAAGCAGTCGGCAACATTCATCTCTGGAGGGGGGTGTCTAACTCGGTGTTACAGTGTGTTTGACCTTAACTTCAATTTACACCGGCATATCCCTTTAAGTGTCATCTTTTAGAGTGCATCAGAATTTATACACGCCGACACTGTTGAACCGAGTGTGAGCTGGAGTGTTTCCTTGAACGTACAGCCAAGTGATGGATGGTATTAGGCTTGTGTTGTCATAATATTACAGAGTGATTAAGATCAGCTGTTCCATTAACTGAATATGCAGACATCCTACATGGAAAACAACCAAATCGAACAGTAATATCTGATCATATTGTACCTGTTAGAAACACTCGTGTCTAAATCTTCTTGTATGGAGTGAAACTGTGATGAAGAGAAACAGAACTGAGAAAAAACTGAACTGAAAGTGGCACCTTCATCCTCACCTAAGAAGTTCTACTTAACTTCTGAAAATGGAGCTAAAACTGTCTTTGGAAACCTTCAAATACTTCAAAACTTGACAAAGCTCTGCCTCACAGTTCAGTGGTGAGCCAAGAATGAAGTTTTCGTGACTTAAAATTCAGTAAAGATGTTCGGTGTCGGACCACACGCTCATTAATTACGAAACAAAGTCGGACAGATTTGTTTCTTTTTGCAGTAAAACATATTTTGGATGTCGCCGTTTTCTATTATCTGCCTTCTATTCAGTCTGGGCAGATTTAGATGGTCGCAGAGGTGAGTTGCCAGGAAATGTTGCCAGACATTCAGAGCAAAGACTTCTTTCCAGACTCAACATTTGGCACTGGTTTGCACCGTCTACAGTGAGAAAATTCATCAAAGGAGAGGCAACTGTAGAGGTTTGTGAACTGGCTCTGGGCTCAGTCGACAACATTTTAGATTTTGAGCCTCCTGCGATGGAAACACGACCACTGTAATCTTTGAAGCTCCCACACCAGTTTTACCGGTATTTTCTGGTGTAGCTTGTTTTTTTTCTTGCAGCCCCCACCTCTTCTTCTTAATCCTGAACCCCTACATTTATATTCTCAGTCAATCCTGCTCCATCCCAACCTTGAGAAGGAGACTCTCTCTTGCTCCTTTGCTTCGCCCCGATCTGGAGGATTATCAAGACTCATTTACATTGCTGCTGCTGCTATAGTTGGCCAGATCTTCACACTCACACTGTGTGCCTGAGTTTCCCCAGCCTGTAGAGGAGAGAGAGGGAGAGGGAGAGGAAGAGGGAGGGAGAGAGAGAGAGAGGGAATAACGGCAGCACAACTATAGCAGGCTGTGAAGGCGAAAAGAAGGGGAGTTGGGAGGCTGTGAGCGCTGGTGGGCGGAGGGTAGGAGGCTGAGCAGCTTCACTCATCCTTCATCACAAGCACCTTCTCCGTTTTAAAACAGAGGGAAGGACAAACGGGATGAGCAATGTATTGGAGAGGCGCAGAGTAGACTTGATTCTTACCAAAAGCTCGGAGTCTCTTTTTTTCCCCTGGCTGTTGACCTGGTGCCGACTGTCCACCTTCACCTGGCTATGTCCGTCCTGAAGTGGAGCAAACACAGCAAGCGCTCCACAGACTCCGTCTATGACATGCTTCATCTGGTGAGATTTCCTTCCTTGTGCACTTTTACCTTTACCTGGCGCGGGCTCTTGATACTGCCGTGATAGACGGGCACGCTGTTGTGGTATTCCAGCGAGGTAAACACCTCTTCATCTCAGTGTTTTGTGTCTCACATCCTCTTAGCTGCTACTGACAGACAACAGGTAGCTGTGAGTCACTGCTGTGTTGCAGAGATGCCCTGTAATGACTGAAGTGCTCCACAGGATGCAAAACAAAACGCTGCATGTAGGAGTGACTCAACTTTGACAAATCAGTGGGACTGCTTTTTCATTGACTCTGAGCCGTTTTTTTAGTGCTGTCATGTTTGAGTTGAATTAGTTTTCTCTGGCCTCATAATTGGAAAACAGTTTAAATTGTTCCCACATGACCGTCTCTCCATCCACGTGTTGTTTTTTTTAACAGGACAGTGGAAGCTTCTCGTCTTTTTCTGTCTTCTGCCATGTCAAAGCTGTCCGTGCATGCAGAGCTGTCATGCTGTTAATGAGCCTGGATCGTGGCTGTGAAGACGAGTGTCACTGTGACTGTGTCTGAGTCTTATCAGGCTCACTGAAACTGGCTGCGCTCACTCGTCTAATTAGGCTGATGAAATGAATTTGATTTATTTACAGATGTCACACCCCTCCTTTTCCAGAGCTGTAAAAATAAAACTCCTGCTGTTCTCGTTCTCGTTCTAGTTCACTCTCTAACATCTACACAGCTTCAATATGCAGTATTTTTCTACATCAGAAATACGACCACACTTAACTGTGATTGATTCCTTTTGACAGGATCCCTGATCCCAGCACATTATCAGTATAAGCACTAAATATTTTAATAATCTCTGGTTAGAGGGGCCAGACCTTTGCCAGGCAACTTATTAAATCCTCTATTTCCAAATGATTGTGACGAAGATTAAAAGATTAGGTTTTTAATCAGCAGAAACATAAAAGTCGTCAGAATGCCCATCACAGCAGCAGCAGCAGCAGCTCTTTCACTGTATATTATCCTGGAAAAGCAGCAGTGTAGGTTGTAAATTGCCTCTTGCGAAATTACATTGTCCGACATTATAGCACCTCTTAATTCATCTGTTGATCTGGGAGCTGCCTGATTATTCTTGGAGCATTGTTTCGTGCCTCACGTATGGATGTCTGCCTGATTAGATAACAATGCTGATAACTGTCATGTTCTGCAAAGCTGCATGAGAAGGTGCGTGACTGACACCAGATGACAACGGTTCCTCTGCTCTGTGTGTTTTTGAGTTCCTCCCTCCATCATGAAATCGCTTTGTATTTAAATCTTTAATGGAGTTTTATTCATAATATAAAACAGCTGTTTTGTTTTTGCTCTCAGGTGATTTTAAATCAGATTGTTTTATTTAAGAGTAATAACAGTCCACCTTCTGCTAGTGCGGTGTGAGGTTATTATTCTCAGAGGAGTCTGTAGGTGCAACAGAATAAATTGCTTTTGTCTAGCCTATAAAAACCCCCATATCACCAGCCTGAGAGCTTTCATCTCAGTGGTTCCTGTTATGTGGTCATAAATATTTGCTCCCCTCATATAAAGATAATGTATCACCTCCTTTGAAATAAAAAAAGTCTTGTTTCATGTTTGATCTGTCAAATCCTCTCAGCATTAAAAGAAATCCCGTTTTAATAAGTGTGGAAAGAGTTCTTTGAGCGTAACGTTTGTAGTGACATGAAATGTGTCTCTGTTGTTATGTTGGATGTGGCTGAAGCCATTTGCATACAGAGTAACTGTATCAGTACAGCCATGCAGGCAGGCAAGCTGTTGCTGAGTGGGTTCTATTTTGGTCCAAAATGATAGTCTAATGCACATCAAGTCTGGTCTCCACAGTAACCCGTATTGTATGTGGACCAAGCCCGTTTGTATATTTTGATTTTGTGTGAGAGATGAATCATTACACCACTGATCCGTCAGTGGGAGGGAAACATCAGGACAGAGGGGATGTGAGTGAGTGAAAGAGAGAGAGAGGTGGAGAGTCATTGTTATGACACACTGAAAATAGACCAAATTAGTGCAAATGATTTTTTTAGAGCTGCTTCTCTGCCTCTTTCCAGGCTCACTCTCCGCGCTTTCATGACTCTGTAGGTGGAAAAATAACACCTGGTGCTGTGTCCGCGCCGATGGATCAACATTTGGATTGTGCTTTCTTTTACCTTCAAACTAGAAGTGCATGTTTGTTTAACGCTTATTTCTTTCCCTCTTAAATTTTCAGAGTACCGAGCAAGTCGCTGCTTTCTGCCGCAGCCTCCATGACATGAATCCCTCTGAGTGTGTGTCCTCTTCGCCCAGCCCGGACTCGCCCTTTCCACCTCCTGCTACTCTGCGACAGCTCTCGGATGCCGACAAGCTCCGCAAAGTCATTTGTGAACTGGTGGAGACCGAGCGCACCTATGTCAAAGTCAGTACCGCTCATTGCTCAGCGTCTGTCGTCCCCATCACCCGTCTTACTTGTAGAGACCAGATGGTCTTTTGTGAATGTGTGTTTGTGCTCCCCCTGTCCATCGATCTGTGTTTGTCTGCCTCAGGTTCTCCTAGCCTTACACATTACCTATTCTTCATGACCAATCCATATTTATATCTCAGTCTCAGGAGACATGGAGGGACACAGCTGTGCCCTTGCTTGGATATTGCCTAATCTCCTCTGCCCTGTCTGAAAGTAGCTCAGTGGAATAACTGGGTTAGAGAGGGAATATAATGGGATGATCTCAAGGCTGTCTAAAATGTTACTCCTCATTAGAGATGACACTTACAGTATATATTCATATTACAGTCGTAACACCGTGCATGATGGATGGTGTATTGTAAAATCTTTAAATGGTAATGGTTGATTTCGGCGAACTTCTGCTATTTGTTCTTATTACTCAGAAGCAGGTGAACAGTTAGATGTAATTTGTGTGTCTGTGTGTGCGACATGCAGCGGTGGGATCTTGGGTTCAATAACTTGAGTTAGACAAAGGAGGGAGAATTGAATTAGATGTAAACACTGATGAATGACCAATAACCAAAGGGTTGTTGTATAAAGTTTGCGGCAGTTTATTTTTTAATAATTCTATTAAAAACAGGATATTTATCCTTTTATGATTATGTGGACACAGAAATACTTCACTAATCTAACAGTATCCTAATAACTGTGCTCTCATTCAATGGAGGGTATAATCAACACGATTTAAGTGCTTCAAAAGTAAACGGACCATAAATCTCACAATACGATAAAATCATAATAACAGGTCCACGGTGCGACATTACTACTACTACTTTCTAGAATTACTTTTGGAAATACCAACTTTTTTATTATATAAAACACTATTTTTTGAACTGTGGTATTAATCTGGAAACATAAATATTTTTCCGTACTTTTCATTTTTCATGCTTTTTGAGATCTGGAAATTGATCAGACTACTTCCATACTTCTCCAAACTTTTCCATACTTGCGTAGGAACCCTGTGTGATACAAAAAGGTGAATGACTAAGAGTTAATTGACCCTCGAAATCTTTCATAAATATCACTGACAGATACTATTTTTAGTTCCTCAGTTGTATATCCAGAGATATATCTTCTGATCTCAACAGCTCTCTAACTGAAAGGATCAAGTGAGACTACAAACACTTAAAAAATCCAGCAGGGCCCCTAAACTCAAGCTTTTCAAGTAAAACTATTTGTACTGTCTTAATGAGACAAATTCTGTATGTTATTGGCTCCTCTGCTTCACTAATAATTTCCGGTGAATTATCGCACACTGATTTATTAGGCCCGTCTCCCTTGTTTGGAGACTTTGATGGTTATTTCTCTGTATTTGGCAAAGCTCCTGTTTAATCTCACAGGCTTTTTGCAACCCAGTTCAAATAAATGTTACTATGAATTTTCTTTATAGCTCAATTTCCTTTTAAAGTTAACGCACATTGGCATCCACCAGCTTTGATCCAAGAGAAACTGACTGACTGTCCCTGCAGACCTCAATCACTATTTTGTTCAGATTATAAATTAGGTTATCTAAAGATACATGTTATTTTATTATTACTCAATTAGGATGGCTTTTCAAAACTAACAAAGTTCTCGTTTGTCTCACAGGATCTCAATTGCCTCATTGGGAGATATTTAACCCCGCTGCAGAAAGAGACCTTCCTCACTCAGGATGAGGTATGTGAAATGTGCCCCTGCAGCCCATGAGGGGAAGCTGACTTTAAATGCCAACACTGTTGAAATGTGCTAAGAAAAGTGGCTTACATAATCATGTGGAGAGTAGCTGTGTACAAGGACGAGAGGGGCGGATAATGATGAGAGAGAGGGAGGTTGGCTAAGCGCAGAGATGTTTTACATGCACTTGTGATAATTAAATGCAGTTGGATGTATAACACTGACGCATTTACAGCCTCGAACTGAAGCGAGGCTTTAATATGAGAAAACTTCATACAGTTAAGGAGAATAACTTTGACTTTCCTCTTTACTCTCACCCTCCAGCTTGATGTTCTGTTTGGGAACTTGCCAGAAATGGTGGAGTTCCAGGTTGAGTTTCTCAAAACCCTAGAAGATGGGACCAGACTGGTTCCGGATCTAGAGAAGCTGGAGCGAGTGGATCAGTTTAAGGTATAAATCTCATTCTAAAGAGGACTTGCAATAAGATAAAACACAGACTTTCAAATAACTCCCGGTCCCCCTTTTACAGAAAGTCCTGTTCTCCCTGGGAGGCTCTTTCCTCTACTATGCAGACCGTTTTAAAATCTACAGTGCTTTCTGTGCGAGCCACACCAAAGTCCCTAAGGTCCTCGTAAAGGGTGAGTAAATGTGCTCTTGGGTTGACATTCCTCTTTGCTTCAAAGGAGAGGATGTATTTATCCATCAACCATCTGCCATATCCTGCAAGGCTCCATAAATCTGCTGTGTGGAGCTGTCAGCCAGACAGTTGTCCATTTGACCTCTGCATACTTAAAGCTGGCGACTCTCCGCGCCTTGCAACATAGTATGATAACTGTAATAAGCAGTGCTGAACAGTCTGTTGTCTCTCTGATACACCCACTGCCTCAGACACTTGAGTGGATGGCTTTGTTTGCTGCCTTTACATTCAAAGAGTCAATGAGTTATTGGCAAACTCTGTTGGCATGGAGCTGTTTTAGGCTGTAAACAGATTTTTTTTTGCCCACTCGTTGCTGTTTATTCGTAGATGAAATCACGTTTTTGACTTGGCTGCACGTCTCTAACCCTAATCTGCATGCAGACTCGTCAGTTTTGGAAAAGGAAAAAAGATGCCTTGTTGTGTTGCAATAATGATTTTATTTATTGATCATTTCAGCTAAAACTGATGCTGATTTCAAAGCATTCCTGGATGAGCGCAACCCCAAACAGCAGCACTCGTCCACACTGGAGTCATACCTGATCAAACCCATCCAGAGGGTGCTGAAGTATCCCCTCCTGCTGAGGGAGCTCTACTCGCTAACAGACCCAGACAGTGAGGAGCATTACCACCTGGATGGTAAGTAGGGGTGGGAATCGCTAGTGGACACACGATACAATATTATCACGATAGTTGGGTCATGATACTTGGGCCTAATATGATATTATTACAATACTTGGGCCACGATACAATATTATCATGATACTTGGGCCACGACACGATATTATCATGATACTTGGGCCACAATATGACATTATCACGATACTTGGATCACAATACTTAGGCCATAATACGATATTATCATGATACTTGGGCCACAATATGACATTATCACGATACTTGGATCACAATACTTAGGCCATAATACGATATTATCATGATACTTGGGCCACGATACGATATTATCACGATACTTGGAACCACAATACAATGTTATCACGATACTTGGAACCACAATATGATATTATCGGGATACTTGGGTCATGATACTTGGGCCACGATGCGATATTATCACGATACATGGAACCACAATACAATATTATCACGATACTTGGGCCACGATACGATATTATCACAATACTTGGAAACACAATACAATGTTATCACGATACTTGGGCCACAATACGATATTATCACGATACTTGGGTCATGATACTTAGAACCACAATACAATGTTATCACGATACTTGGAACCACTATACAATGTTATCACGATACTTGGACCACAATACAATATTATCAGGATACTTCAGTCACGATACTTGGTCCACGATACGATATTATCACAATACTTATCACTTGATGCATGTGGTCCCAGCAGTTTAATGCAATCTATGCTGCTGTTTTCGTCTGCAGTCGCCATGAAAGCCATGAACAAAGTCGCCAGCCACATCAACGAGATGCAGAAAATCCACGAGGAGTTCGGCGCCGTGTTCGATCAGCTCATCACTGACCAGACCGGGGAAAAGAAAGAGGTAAGGTGGACAAAATGCCTCGGCTCTCTTGTTGACAAATAATACATTCAGAGTGACGGATGATATTTTGCTGGTTTTGTCAGGTTGCTGATTTGTCCATGGGTGACCTGCTTCTCCACACCACTGTAAGCTGGATCAACCCTCCGGCCTCCTTGGGGAAATGGAAGAAAGAGCCCCAGCTGGCGACATTTGGTACGTCAGATTAGAAATTTGATGTGATAGAAGTTGAAACTTTTCCATATTCGGACTCTGTTCTTCTTCAAAAGTACTGAGAGATAACCAGTGTGTGGTTTTTGTTTCTCTTTCAGTGTTCAAAATGGCCGTGGTCTTTGTATGCAAGGATGGAGCCAAGCAGAAAAAGAAAATCGTACGTCTCAAACAGTTTTCAAAACAGTGAACGATTCATAAATCTGTTTTGCATCTGAGCTGATAGCGTTTGTAAATAATTTGACCAATGTGCCACTTTCAGGATCAGCTGCATCTGTGACCTTTAAAAGATGATAACAGGATGTAACTCAACCAAATTCTCTGTTGTGAATGATTTTAGGGCGGCTCTCATCGAGTCTCTGTGTCTTCTGAAGAAAAAGACCCGTTCAGATACCGTCACATGATCCCAACTGATGCCCTCCAAGTCAGATCTTTGGCAAATGCAGGTAAATTATTCAATAAAAGTCTAAATAACTGGATTAATTTTTTTGCTCCGGTCGATTTATAACATGATTTATAATTTCTCATCACTAGACGGTGAAGGCTCTGCTGTGTGTGAGATCGTCCACACAAAGTCGGAGTCAGAGGGAAGGCCAGAGAGGACGTTTCAGCTGTGCTGTAGGTGAGGATCTCAGCTGATTGAGGTTGAATTCTACCTCAGATTGAAGCTCGCGGTGATAAAGTCCAGTCAGCTGTTATCTACAGAGTGCTGATAAGATGCCTTTCTGTCTCCCCCAGCTCTCCAGAGAGTAAAAAAGACTTTCTGAAAACGGTCCACTCCATCTTGAGAGAGAAGCACCGCCGGCAGCTCCTTAAAACAGAGAGTCTACCCCTCAACCAGCAGTATGTGCCCTTTGGAGGAAAGCGTCTGTGTGCCCTGAAGGGAGCCCGTCCTGCCATAAATAGAGCAGGTAAGTGCCAGTCATCCACCCCACAGCTTCAAGTGGCCCAATTCTCAAGTTGTTGCTCCTTTCCTGACACAAAAGGACTGTAAAGCCCAATTTCCACAGCATCCAGAACAGCAGCGATTTTCGCTGTCCACCAATTCCTACCAGATGCATTTGTGAGGCGAATTTCGTGGCGGATTTTGGACAGCGGGTATTGCGAGAACTCACAAGAACCCGCAGATTCGCATGCAATCACGCAATAACGAGTTGTCTCTATAAAGACAGCCATGAGACCATACAAGCAGTAGATTGTGTCCAGACTTCTAGAATCAGCGTCTCCCTATCCATGGTGTCAACGGGGTGAAATGATGTCTGAAGACCTTTGACTTCTTCATCCCCGCCCACGTTTACATGGAGTGAAATACAATCTGCCTGAAACATGTAGTATTTTGTTTTGAAAAGCCCAATGTTTTATTTTGGTGTCTGTATCCGACATCCTTTCCAGCACAGAATAATCTGTGCTGAATTTATATGGCATGCTGCGATCGGCGCATAACGCCTTTTCGCCGCTGTTCTGGATGCGGTGGAAATTGGGGGTGAGAGGAAAATACCTGTGCGTACAAGCTGTAACTATTTCATAGTTTTAGGTTAAAACAATGACTGCTAAAGAAAGACCAGTACTTGCCAAATGTCACCCAAACTTAAAGCCGTGCTCAGACAGAGTTTACTCGTTTATCTCTATCACTAATGTTTTCTCGTGCTTTGTTTTTCTGGCAGCATCTGCCCCTACCAGGACTCTAGGCAGGAGGAAGCTGGTGCGAAACCGCTTCACTATAGACACAGACATTGTTTTTGATGGCGAGCCTGAACGGGACCTCCCTTCACCACAAGAGTCTGAGTTAAATCGAACAAAGCCCGAGAGGGAACCCGACCAGCGGCATCAGCAGTCTGAGCTGGCGGGTGACACAGACCGCTGGGTGGAGGAACAGTTCGACCTTGAAGAATACGAGGACCAGGAAGAGGTGAAGGAGACGGACATCCTCAGCGATGAAGATGATGAGCTCTGTAAGTCTTCCAGAGCACGGCCCGCTGAGGACGATATAGAGGCTCCCATCATGGCTTTATCCCTGCAGAGTGAGGAAACAGAGGAGAGCGAAAGCTTAAAATCCCTGTCAGTCTGCGAAACACCTAATGATGATGTGGAGGATCTGAAGCGAGAAGAGAAGGATGACATTTGGGTACGAAGGGAGCAATCAGGTTCTTGTTCCCCTGATTGTGGCACATAAAAGCTGATGAGAACAGGCAGACAGAGAGTCAGACAGCTTTAGAGGAGCTCCTTAGAGATCAGTCATCAGTCTTCACAAACAATGCATGGGCATTGACATATATCGCAGAGATAGTAGAAGATATAGCCTTCCTTACCTTACTTTGCTGAATGCTTTTTGTACTGGTAGGATCATCAGTGGAGCAATACAGGAATCCAGAGTGAGGGAGCCTGATCCCAGAGAAAATGCTGTGACATTGGAGTCGAGTGTAAGCTTGGAGAAATGAACTCATGGTACAATCATGGAATCTAATCAGTCGCTTTGATTGGCATGGTTTGCACATTTGGGCAGCATCCTATAGTCCTGCCTGCTGTTGCCAAATTTGGGTATTGTGAGAACATTAATGTTTTGTCTGTGTGACTCAGAGATATTATCATAGTTAAGGGCTGTATATTTTTGTCCTTAAAGAAATAGAATAAATAATTGCAAAGGACAGTCATGTATTGCGTAGTAAACTGTACTTGTACATTTTTTCCACACAAATATACAATGTCATTGAAAACTTTCCTCTTATGTATATTATTATTATTTGGATCTCTTGTTTTACAGTTTGAAAGCTATCTTTTAAAACTAGAATATATTTTGTTGTTGTTACATTTAATAGTTAAGATTGTGTAATAACCCCTGAGTAACAGTCGTTAGGGGATTTTTTTTATTTTAACTTAACATAATCCTGTTTTACTTGAATTTGATATTTCATGTTTTTGTTTACTGTGAAACAATTATCTCGTATTTTACTCTTCAGTATTGCCATTTCAAGACTGCTCATGTTACATTTCATTTTCTACACCGTGTGTGTCCGCTCTGTATCGTAGAGAATTTCCACATCAGCTTCGTCTAAAGGGTCTCGTGTGTTCGGAAAGCTCGTTCACCGGAAATGGATTACAAATTGATGTTTTTTATTTATTCACATGTAAATTAATTTGTTAGCAAAACATAAATAATCATGTTTTCACAAAGAGAGTCCAAATTTGCTCATGCAATCAGGGGGAAAGTCTTGCAGTATGCCTGAACAGTGAAAGAAGTCATACTTGTAAACAGCTCATTGTGCTACTAAGACTGCATTTTTATTACTGTGTGTATATAGACAAATGTATTGATATCATAATAAATACAATTGTTTCCTACTTATAATTCAGGTCAGCTTTTCAATTCTTCTCACTCATTCTCTGCAGCTCTGCAGACATTTGCCACTGTGATGTGAGAAAAAAAACAAAAACGACAAATGCCAAATGTGCTCAGACATGCCCGAGAAGGACAAAACTAATCAATGCTCTGCTGCCTCAAAGCGCCACACAAAGACAGACTGCAGTTTCAGAACAAAAGAGGGAAACGAAAAACCAAAACTTCACAAGACATCAAGGGCCACTTTGCCAAGCCTGAGCAAATTAGTGTTTGAATGACGATGAAGGAGCTAAAACACCGTTTATCGCAGAAAGGGAAGAGGAATGTGTGAGTGATCCTCTCCCATGGAAAAAAGTCACGCTCAGGAACTTAAAGGGATATTTCAGCGTAAATTTAAGTCATGGTTAAACACACCGTAACACAGAGTTTGACAACCACTGGAGAGATGAATTTTGCTGCACGATAACAATATACAGCGGTCTACGTCTGCACGCGCACACCTCAACCAAAACGCCACTCTATAGCCACAAATAACGCTCAGAACAGAACCTAACTTCATCAACAGTACATATAGGGTCCAAGCCGTAGTACTAGCCATCAAACATCTTTTTAGCTTTGCCTGGTTTCTTTCGCCAAGAGACCAAACACAACTCACCTACTCTCCTCCAGCAGCCGAGTGCAGCGGAGTTCCGCAGCTCAAGGAAGAATATTTATGATCATTACTTCATGGAAATGCGACCAGACTGAGTTGCTAAGGCAGAATAGCTACCAAGTCTGCAGTGCAAAATGATTATTATGAAGATTATTTCTTCATAGAAATGATTGCATTGCATAGAAATCATAAATTTTCTGCTGCACTCGGTGATTGACTCATCAGGGCTCCCCCACAAACAAGCGGCTGCCGGAGGAGAGTGGGTGAGTTGTGTTTAGTCTCTTTGCTAAAGAAACCAGGCAAAGCCAGTACTATGGCTGGGACCCTATATGTCCTGTTGATGAAGATAGGTTCTGATCTGAGCATTATTTGTGGCTATAGAGTGGCCTTTTGGTTGAGGTTTGCGCGTGGAGACGAATACCGCTGTGTGTTGCTTTTGTGCATTGAAGTTAGTAAAACTATAGAAACAAGCAGTTGGCAACATTCATCTCTATAGGGGGTTTCTAACTTGGTGTTACAGTGAATTTGTCCATAACTTAAATTTACGCTGGAATATCCCTTTAAAAAGTTCCAAGAAATGTTCTAAAACTGAAGAGTACAAACATGCTCAGAAATAGAAAACAGATGTGTTGTGAATGTCTCTGAGAGAGGTAAGGACCTTCACTGTTTTAACACTAGCTTTTATTAGCATGGCCGCATATGTGACACATACTGAATCTAAAGCGTTCAGAGCCGTATCTCCCTCCTTTGTCTTTAAGCTTTGTGATTATCCTGTCACCCAGGGTCTCTCCACTTCACCACCCCACTCCCACTCATGTCAATTACAAATCCCCCCCACAAAAGCTGTGGCGCTCCTTCAGATAAAAAGGGAAAAGATCACATCAGACCTCATTGTGCTGTTGATCTGCAGGGACAGTATCTGCTCAAGTGCTGAGAGACAGAGGACAGGGTTTCTCTGAAGAAACAGATTCACATCTTGACTGAGGTCTTACAAAAGCTCAGGGTTGATTTATGGGATTCTCAGCATGTATCTGGGATCATTGTAAATTTTAGTCTTTATCACGACAAAGTAAAGCAAAAACTTCTTTATTTGGTTCAGCCAACAGTCAAAAACCTGAAGACTCCATATATACTATAACTAACCACAAAGAAAATACCAAATTCTTTTATTTCAAAGGCTGGTTATGCTTGATATTTTTGCTTAAAGAATTTAAAGTAATTTAATATTTTCATGCCGTCGCTGCGACTCTGGTGAAAACAGACAGCTGGACCTTAACACTGAATCAGAAGTGTTGACAGGCCAGCAGAGGGACGCCAATGACTTCTTCAAAAATAATCCCTCAAATTAAGGTGGAGGAGGGAAATGCAGTCTCATTTACATACAGCAGGTGGCAGACATGGCTCGCCCCGTATGGCTCATGTAACTGTTACTGTACCAGCAGCACTTTAAACCTCTGTCTTCATCCAGTTTCTGTGATACCTGCCAAACTGTCAAACTCAAATCCAATTCAGCTCCAAAGTTACTTGTAAGCAGATAAAATTTTAAAATGATTAAAACAAATGACAGCTCAAGTTTGATCAACTCCAGTAACCGCAGGTTCATGTATCTGTTTACATTTAAAGCAGCTGAGAATGAGACGATAGTATCACTGAGCAAACCTGCCGAACTGGATTTTCAGTTTCTGTTCCTGTCCTGTGACCTCTCCCACCTCCTTTCTCTCTCTCTCTCTCTTTCCCTCTCTCTTCCGTCAGTCCTTCTCAAAAACACAGTAGTGAACAGGGTGTTACCAGCTGAAGTTTAAATAAAGGAGTGGCTTTAAAAAAAAAAAAAAAAAAAAAAAATTCCGGCTGATTTGAAGTTTGAACCTGTTTTAAAAAAAATGCTTGGAGTGAAAGTATGTCAGAGTTTCTGTACATCTCATACTGTGTCTGTTAAGCTAAAAGTTAAAAATAAAAAATCAGTCAACAAACCATCAGATTATCAAATCTTTCATGACACGTTATCTAGTACAGAAGCGTATTACATTCACCAAAGAAAAAAAAATCTGCTTTTCAGTATAGTTTTTTTCTGTTATGTTCTTTGGACTTATTTTTTTCTGTTTTTCAGATATAGACTAATTGGTCAGGAAAAAAAATGTCAGGAAGACGAACAAAATTAGTACAGAAAACAGAATAAAAATTTGTCCAAAAAAAAAAACAAAGAGGGGAAAAAATATTAGTACAAAAAAAAGAAAAAATAGTCATAAAAACAGAAAGAAGAAAATAATTTGTATGAAAAACAGCAAAGAAAAATAAATATTGGAAATTACATTAAAAAGTTTCTTTTTTTCTGTAATTGAATGGGATACGCTTCTGTAATCCAGAGACACTGTGCAGACAGAGCAGCCATAGACTTCTCTTTGTTATATTTTTCATAAATACTCAATGTTAATCCCTCATGAGTAAACACTTCGTGACATTAGAGTAACCAAAGCAGAACAACAAACAAGTCTGATGAAAGCCATAATCAAGTTTCTCTGAAGTTTTCAGGTTTTTGAAGATGTAATACATTTACTACTTAATTCCCTTTTTGTCAAATTAAGCTCTATTTGTGTTTTCCTTTATCTATGATGCAAACCGCAGAAATACATCACTGAAATCTTGTCTGGCAACAGCAGGGTGACATTAAACTATCATAATGATCACCTGCCTCCTGCCATTACATCTATCATCACTGGGATTCCTCAGGGATCAAACCTCGGCCCACTGCTCTTCTCCGTCTGTACTCACCAAGACCTATCTGACCAACTCCTGAAATTTGCAAATGATAAAACGACAAAAACGTTTGTGTACATTTTTGTATATCAGTACTTTCAGTCCTCTGACCATTCAAAACACTCATTCATACATTCATATGCATTCAGACACCGCTGGCTAAGTCACTCAGGAGTAATGTTGGGTTCACTTCTGCATGCAGACTGTGGAAGCTGGGACTGAACAGCCCACCTGTTATCCACAATTGACACAACCACCTCAGAGCTACAGCTGCCCTGTTAGGGTCAATGGATTCGTTTAGGAAGATGACGAGCATTTAAACAATGGGGACAGTCGGCTCTGCAAAAGATGTTGACTTCTGCTTCTACAAAGTAAAGTTTGCAAAACTCGACCTGCAGTTTCTTTCCACATAAATCAAAGTGTCAATATGAACTTAGTCAAATTACCTGTACACCCGCACACCTTTATGCTCACAAAAGACCGTTAAATATGTGCATAGCTATTGAAAACAGCTCAATCATTGATGATTTGCATGTTCGTGTTAATTTTTTGTCTCCCTGTCCAACTTCATGCTCCTTACAGCAAGTCTTTTTTATTCTCGAGAAATGTGCAAACACATCAAGAACAATAAAAATTGAGTCAAATTTCTTTCATTAGAACTTGAACCTGCTCAACAAAACTGATTCTAAAATTCTCTTCCGTGGTGCTTGACATGCTGGAAGAGTAATTATGACAAATGAGACTCGGGTTTCAGATGGAAAAAAAAATGAAAGACTGGAAAATGCAAAGTAGTTTCTTTTGAAATACTGCAAAGAACCAATGCTAAGCCATCACAAACCAGTAGGATGACATTGCAGTCATGGTGGTGTTGACAAGGATTTAAAGCAGATATGTTAAGCAGTCTTTCAAATGACAACAAACTGCAGAGAGGACTGCACTGCGCTCTGAGCCATGACGGCAATGTGTGAGGTCCTAGCCATGGTCCTTGGCTGCCTCGGCCTGCTTGGGACCATTCTGACCACAGCTCTGCCGATGTGGAGAGTCTCTGCCTTCATTGGGTCCAATATCATAGTCATGGAGGAATACTGGGAGGGCTTGTGGATGAACTGCATCAACCAGGAAGACTTCAGGATGCAGTGCAAGGAGTACGACTCGGTGCTGAATCTTCCGACAGAGCTGCAGGCAGCCAGGGGGCTCATGTGCGTCTCCATAGCTCTGGTTGTTATAGCCCTGGCCTTCACAGGATGTGGGACTCGAAAGTGCAACTGTTGTAAAGACGACATGAAGAGCAAGAACGCCACCATGGCCTTAGGTGGTTGTATCTACCTGCTCTCCTGTTTGACTGTGCTCATCCCCGTCAGCTGGGTGGGTCATACCGTCATCCAAAAATTCTACAACCCTGCCATGATGGACTCGCAGAAACGGGAGCTGGGGGAAGCGCTCTTTCTTGGCTGGGGTACATCTGGAGTTCTGCTGCTCACCGGGATCATTGTCCTGTTTAGCTACAACAGACGTAGATCAGAGGAAGAAGAGCAATATTATATTCAGCCAAAGTATGAGAGTGAGGACGACAGTGTGAACCTGCAGAGGACACCATCCAGCAATTACAAACATCAAGTATATGTGTAAAGGTCTGTGCTGTACTGAACATCAACTTAATACGTCTTAAACATTTGAAAAAGTCAGAATGTGAAACACCTACAAACGTATTTTTCCCTCGAGCTTTGTAAGACAAATGTCATTTGTTTGTTTCTTGTTTAACCATAAAAACACTCACATTTACAGAAACATATGACTGTACATGATGTACCTCCTCAAACCATTTCTACAATCTACAACATGCTTCTGTTATATCATGTGACTGAGTTTCTCTGCTGTCAATTTAAAAAGCTGTACTGTTCCTCTAACGGCTCACTTTCAATTCCTCTGAGCTGCCGTCACTGCCAAGCAGTTACATCAAGTGATGCAATGTCAATAAAAAATCTTTGGTCTGAAAGATTTTTTGTCTGTTTTCTTTTTTTACATAATACAGGTGCATCTAACCAGTTGGAATATTGGTCATTCCATGTCAATTCAACCCAGAATCTCCTCTCACGTCACAGATTTTGATGAAATTTGGTGTAGTGACTTGCCCTACAGGAGAAACTGTCAGATCTCAAACATTTTTGTTCAAAGCTATCTAATTAGTGAGATAGGAACTAACAAATTTTTGGCTAATTAGCATGACATGCGTTACAGAAGTGTTCATATCTCTGGAAGTATGGCACCTAGAGAGCTGATGAAAAACAACATATTTTACATCAGCTAAGAAGGTAAATTATGAATGAATGAATGTTCTATCAGTTGGACTTTTCTGTATTTCAATAACTCTAATAATTCTGATTCACCAAATTTGTAATTTTTATGAGCTATGAGCCAAATCCAACACAATTAAAACCAAAAAATGTTTAAAATATGAACTTTACTATTTAGTGTTGTATATAGTGTACATACTTGTATATTATCTCTTTATTTTTACATATTTTATCTACTATTTATCTCCTCTTTCTACTTTATTTGCACTGGAGTTACTGTTCCAAAAAGCAATTTCCCCCTGGGGATTATTAAATCATTTCTGATTCTGATTAATGAGAAATTAATATGAAGAATATGAAAGTTTACCTTTTTTTTAAATAATTAATGAACAATAACTTTTTTTTAGAATAAACTAAATTAATGACATGCAGCTCAAATTGCTGCTTAGATATGAAACTTTAACCAATAATCCTTAAAAATCCAGACACCCCAAACTTTTACAGTTTGCTTGTATATTTCTTGGGCTTAACAGATGAATGTATATAAATAAATATATACATATAAATATCACAAAAATACACTTTGTTGAGAAATAAGAAGACTTTACACTTCACTTGAGACTGACTGTGGACTTGAAAACAATCCTTCTCCAGTTTCTGCGCTTAACACCTTTTCTGAGCTCAGTTTACCGGAATATAAAAGGAGGTAGTTCAACATCTGTGATCGTTCTACCTACAAAATGACCCACATGAAACTAAAGGAGTCTGAGTTCCGGCTTGTTTGTTTTGGAGATGAGCGAGCACATCCACAGATAACTGTTTGGTCTCGAGTTTCCCCTAAAAATGAAAATGTTGATGTGTGAACTTGTCACGTTTAGTGCACAACAACATTAAGTTTGTATAGATGTACCTTGAGGGTAAACGGTTTAATCCGCTTTGACTTTAAATAGTGATTAAGTTCATTTTGAATTCATAAATTTTGAGTCTTAAAATAAAAGGCTGAGATGTGGGGGAGGAAAGTTGTTTGTGTATCTAGAGAAGCAGCTCTCACTGGTGTGTCACCGTGTATCGGGCTATAAAGCAGCTCAACCTGTAAGGCTGCATTGCATCCTTGGCATTTTTCGTGGGTGTATAAGTTCCTTGACCAGCTTTTCCTCTCAGAATTGTTTCCAGAGCTGTAAGAGCGCTGCCAAAGGTCGTCTTTGGCTCTCGGAGCGACTATGGCCTCTTACACGGCTTACAGCGGCTACACCAAGCCGCCTCAATCCTACGTGGGAACTTACTATGATGAGAAACAGGCCCAGGCCTACACGGACTACCAAGACTCGATCTACGAAGAGAAAAAGAGACTTGAGCGAAAGGATCGTCGAGATGCCATCTGTTGTGAGGTAGTGGCTCTCATCATCGGCTTCATTGGACTAATCGGAGTGGCGGCTGTAACGGGCCTGCCGATGTGGAAGGTAACAGCCTTCATTGAGGAAAATATCATCGTCATGGAGACCCGGTGGGAGGGTTTGTGGATGAACTGCTACAGACAAGCCAACATCAGGATGCAGTGTAAGGTGTACGACTCTCTGCTGTTTCTGCCTCCTGATCTTCAGGCCGCCAGGGGTCTGATGTGCGCTTCCGTGGCCTTGACAACCTTCGCCCTCATCGTTTCAGCAGTAGGGATGAAGTGTACCAAAGTGGTGGACCACAGGGCTCGCACGAAGCACGTTGTTCTTGTGGCCGGAGGCTGTCTGTTCCTCATGGGCTGTATCACCTGCCTGATCCCCGTGTCCTGGACCGGCCATGTCATTATCAGAGATTTCTACAACCCTCTGCTGATCGATGCCCAGCGCAGGGAGCTTGGGGAGGCTCTTTACATCGGCTGGGTGACCTCAGCTTTGCTCTTTACTGCCGGGGTGATTCTGCTGTGCCGTCACGCTCCCCGTACCCAGGACCCAGAGGAGAGGATTGTGTACAACCCTGGGGGAAATATCTACCAGCCAGGATACACATATCAGCCGTACACCTACCAGCCAGCGTACACCTACCAGCCATCCTACTCTATTCCCCCAGCGGGGTCTGTGGCATACACACCAAGTCAGTACTAGAGAGAAAACCAAGCACAGAGAGAGACTATTTCTGGACATGTCTTTTTTTAAAAGCCTTGTTTTGGCACATTTTAATACAGCAAATCATTCAAAGACTGACCCTGAAAACGGCCCGTTCTTGGACTTCTTTCAAAGAGGGCTGATTTTTTTTTTTTTGTTATTTGAAACTGATCGTACTCTGACATGTTTGTTTGTTGACATATGCTTTAAAATAAATTAAATCAGACATTCAGATAGACTATTTAATCTAAAATGATAAAAACAGACGGATGATTTCACAGTCTGACATGCTGTTTGAGAACAATGTGCACTAGGCCCTTCAGATAAGTTGACTTTCTTGTTAAGTGTTTGTTGTAAATATACATATGTGTTTGTCTTTTCAAAATGTTGACCTAATTTGAGGTTGATTTGTGGTTTTTAATAAAGGGAATCAATTGCTGAAGAAAAAAAAAAGAAGACTTTTTATTATAGAAGATCTAACACTCTGCTCAGAGCTTATCAGTTTGTTTTGGATTGAAAAGGTTTTGCTGAAACTTCCCCGGTTTGTTCACTGGGGTGTAAATGTTCAGTTGTTATGTTCCTCTATTGTTGTCAGTGAAAATGTGCCTGAACTGGTCGAACCAGAATGTTCTCAAAGGTCCACCCACAACACAAACCTGCTAAGAGATTTCATTTCAACCAAGCTAGAGCTGTGAACGCCTGCTTTTTTTTTTCTCGGCACAGACAGACACAAGAGACCCAGACAGGAAACCTGATACTGACAGTGACACATGGCAGTATACAACAGTATTACTACCATCGACACCTACGCACCCCACACACACACAATACAACACTGCGCAAGTGTTTCTGAATCATTTAGCTAACACAGCGTGTCTTTGTTTCCATTAAGTAATATTTTAATACAACCTCATAACTTTGGAATCTCATCTCAGGGGAAGTGAAAGGCTTTGTCTGCTCTGGTGTTGTAAGAATTTAATTGGCAAAAAACAAAAATAGCCCAGGCCAATGGACATTCTTCAACTTATTTAATCGGGGCAAAGAGATAGAAAGTTTAGCAACAGACAGGCCACAAACACTGGGTGGAAATTCCCCTTATATAAAGGGAGTACAAGGTACTTTTTGAAAATAAATCCTCACTCATAAAAACTGCTTTGACAAGCGAGACCAACATCCAAAACTACGAAAGAGGATAAGGGCCACACGAAGAGAAAAAACATAATCACAGGGAAGAGATTAAAGTCAAAATTTTGAGATTAAACATTTAAATTTTGAGATTAAAGTCGAAATTTTTGACTTCATTTACGTAATTTAGATTTTTTTCATTTCAACTTTTTAAAATTTCGACTTTAATCTCGAAATTTCGACTCAAATCTCAAAATGAAAATCAAAAAAATCTCCCTCCTGTAATTATTTTTTTCTCATCTTGTGGCCCTTATCCTCTTTTGTACAAAACACATCGATCAAAGCTGGTTTATATAAATAATCTGAACACACTTAATCAATAGTATAATGCTCTTTACAGCATTGTAACCCACAAAAGATCATTCTCAAAGTAAGTCAAGGCTTTTATCTGCAGTCATGCATGTTCAGGAATTATGAAGAAAAAGTGGGAGAAAAAAATCGATACAGCATCGTATTGCGATATTTTGTCTGGTGATGTGCTGTCTTGCCTCGTTTACCGAGTATCGATTTCTCAAATTAATTACCAATATGAAGTCAAATGTATGATAATGAAAAAATGAAATCAACTATTTGTCCAGTGAGGTTGGCAGAGGTGGCATCAAAAAGCAGAAGAAAGTTAGTGCAACAAATAAATATAAGATTAGCAAGATTAGCTACATGAAAATAAAATACAGTATAACTAAGACAAACATAAAGGACAGACAAATGCAAAATTAGCTAAACACTTGAAAAACTTGTATCACAATATATTGAATCGCAATACTCACTGTATTGCAAAATGTTAAAAATCACGATAACATTGTATCATGGCCCAGATATCGTGATAATATTGTATCATGGCCCAAGTATCGTGATAATATCATATCCTGGGGCCACTAGCAATTCCCACCCCTACTTACTAGCCCCAACTTTATGAACAGCTGAGTTATCTAATGGAAATGAATGATACAACAGCTTTACAACAAATTTGACCTTAAAGAAGGGTTGTTTTATTTGTAAAGGGTGTTGGTTGGATTGTATTAATGTGGTTAAAAGGGCTTGTAATGTTATGGCTGATCTGTGCATCGAAATTAAGTCTTTTTCAAAGTAAATATTTCCCCCTGTTAACAAACACACAAACTTTTAAAGAAAGAAAGAACTCCCTTGTGCAGTGTGACCTGAGAATGTAAATTGAGACTCCTGAACAAACACACAGCAGCCTGAAGCAGCTTCTGTAGTCGGTGTGCAAAGAAAAAAATAACGCCTGAGGGAACCTGTTTCTTAGCAACAGGTCGCAGTTCCCTCCCCTCCCGTTCTTGTGTCCTGTCCACAGGGAGGAGGAGGAGGTACATGTGCACATCCACCTACCCCTCCCTACAACTCCAACATGATCCAAAGCCACTCTATAGAGGAACTCTGCTACTTCCGCCTACAGTTAAACAGTGTCCGCACATTTTTGTTCGCATGAGTCTGGAGGGATAAGAGGAGGACAGGATGGCCAACTCAGCTCTGGAGTTAATTGGTCTGATACTGACCCTAATCGGGTTGATTGGGACAGCAGCGAGCACTGGGATGCCGATGTGGAGAGTGACGGCTTTCATAGGAGAGAACATCATTGTGTTTGAGACCCGATATGAGGGTTTGTGGATGAACTGCTACAGACAGGCTGACATCAGGATGCAGTGCAAGGTGTACGACTCTCTCCTGGCCCTGCCCCAAGACCTACAAGCGGCCCGGGGTCTGATGTGCTGTGCTCTGGCTCTTGGGGGCCTTGGTCTACTGATCAGTTTAGTCGGGTTGCAGTGCACGTCATGTATTGAAAACAACGATGAAGCAAAGCGAATTGTCCTCCTCATTGCAGGAGTAATGGTCATCTGTGCTTGCATTTGCGTCCTAATCCCAGTTTCCTGGACGGGTCATGTCATCATCAGGGAGTTCTACAACCCTTTGCTGCTCGACGCTCAGCGCAGGGAGCTTGGAGAGGCTCTGTATATTGGCTGGGTGGCTGCAGCCTTCTTGTTCGTTGGAGGATGTATGTTTGTTTGTTTCAACCTGCAGTCTGCCAAGGATACGGATTCACAGAGGTATCTGTACTCGAAACCCTCCTCCTACATGGCCTACCCTCCACAGCCTCTGCAGCCATTACAGCCCCAACCGATGGTGCTCCTTCCCCAACCACAGCCTCAGCTTCAGCCTCAGCCAATGCTGTCCAGACAACCCTCCAACAACTACAGCTACAACTCCAGATACCCCTCCGTTCGCAGCGGGGTGGCTTATCTCTGAACACTCGAAACTGACTGAAGTTTTAATGAACATAGATACGGTCACTATATGCAAAGACATTCTCTTTTTATACGGCAAGACGATTAATACATGGAAATAACTGAAATTCAGGTACAAAAAAATCATTTCAATTGTAGCTTCTACTGTGAATATAAGTTGGATACCTCTTTGAAATCACTCTGTCTTCTTTTAGAGCACTTTTCACAGACTCTTGATATTGACTCTTGTATTGGTTATCACCTTGCCAACTAATGATTTCACCGACTTCATGTTTGCTTTAGTGGTTGACCCAGTTTTTTAATATCTGATGCTGATAATTAAATAGCAGGTTGGCTGATGCCCCAAAAAATCAAATTATGGTTGTTGTTTTTTATCTACTAAAATACAACACTTTAATGATAATTAAAAATGGAAAAAAAAGATTTAAGGATAAATATGTAGGTTTAGAAAGGAAAAGAAAAACAAAGTCATGTGTAATTCAATTAATCCATGCTTTCATAACTGAAAATACATGCTTATCTTATCCAGTTATGTGTTAAATGTTTTTTTTTATATATTCACAAAACAGAAAAGTACATTGAGTTATACTCCAGATTTCAGAACATGGTTGATATTTATGTCAGAGGTAATATTAGGCTGCCTTGTTTCGTACTTAAAAACAGAAAAAACATTTACTGTCACAGACACTGGCCAGTGCTTATTATTTCAAAATGCAATTAACTGAACTGTTTAATTATCTTGCTCTAATTTGTTGTAAAATTATGTTTTACTGTGTAGTGAATTTTATCTATCAATTCATGCACTCTGTAACCAAGAAGAAATGTAAACCCATTTATTAAGCATTTCTGTGGTTCCAGTTAAAATAATATCAGTTGTTGTTGGCTCATATTACTTTTTTATTACATTTCACTTTTATTAAAATTAGTTGTTCTTGAGTTGTGTATTAAAATTAATGATCTGTACCACGTCAATGATGATGACAAATATCTGGAAATTTAACCTCTGACAGCTCTGGCAAACCTAAAACCTGTATAGGACAAAGGCTTGACAAAAGAGGAAACAAAAGAGGGTAAATGTGTAAATATCATGATGGTGAGAAAACACCATGTTTGTATCCTTGTATTTAGACAACAAATGTGAGTCTCTGTTTAAGTTTCAACTTTACAGTCTTTGTTTAGGTTTGCTGTGATGCCCTGAAGCTCTCTGAAGCTGACAGAACTGAACAAATGGCCGAGCAAACATGAGATGCAGGTTTTAAAACTGCTTGTTTAAAGGGCGTGGACGGAGAGGAAATTTGAACAGACAGCCTAATGTTTGAGCTCTGTGACAGCATGGTTATGTGATCACGATTTGCAAGTCACTTTGAATGAGGAACAGAGAGCTCAATGCCTGCCAATGTGCTGCGGTTTGATGGCGGTTTCATAATGCCGATATTTGATGATGTAATAATGTTATTGTCGGGTTTGAGGCTACGGCAAAACAAATCATTCGTTTTTCTATGCTTGGATTTACAACAGCTTTTTAGTCAAATAAATATCAAATATTCAACATTTACAAAATACATTTATGGTACTTTAAATGATGTTATATTTGGCTGTGTGAGCTCAGGTCCAGTCAGCCCTGCTCCCCCTGTGGACAGCAGAGGTACTGCGTGAGCTTCTTGTGTATTGTGTATATTTTTCTACTTCTGATTTTTGTCAAACATCTAAACATCACTATGGACAATAAAAACACTGAAAGTGATCAAATCTTACTGATCTCTCTCTTTGGTATATCTTGTTGGTGTTTACTGCTGGAGTAGCTGATGGCGCAGATAATCCACTACTGCCAGAGGAACCATAAACACAAAATAAGGACAGGTCATCTTTACCCCCATTGCTCTAAGCCAACCAGGTTGGCGCTAAGACCTTTCCCATAACAAACCCTGATTACTGCACACAAACCCTCTCAGATGAGAAGATCTTTGCTCCCTTGAACAAGCCTCGGACTTGAATATTAGAGGTATATTTTTCCACAATACTGCTGTTCCTTTTATAGAGCACACGATGGTAGAAGGTGTTTCAGAGATAGCTGCCATGTGTGTCGGCCTGATCGGGTTGATTGGCGCGGCAGCTACAACGGGAATGCCCATGTGGAAAGTGACAGCTTTCATCGGAGAGAACATAATTGTGATGGAAACCCGCTGGGAGGGCTTGTGGATGAACTGCTTCAGACAGGCTAATATCAGGATGCAGTGTAAGGTGTACGACTCCCTGCTGTTCCTTCCCGCGGAGCTACAGGCGGCCAGGGGTCTGATGTGTTGTTCCCTGGCCTTGTCAGGACTGGGGCTCCTTGTTGCACTGGCAGGAATGCGGTGTACTTCGTGTTTCCGGGGTAATGACTGGGCCAAGACCATATTCCTCTTGGTCGCAGGTGGTATGCAGTTGGCGGCTTGCGTTTGTGTTTTCATCCCTGTGTCGTGGACAGGTCATGTCATCATCAGGGACTTTTACAATCCTTTACTAATCGACGCCCAGAGGAGGGAGCTGGGAGAGGCTCTCTACATCGGTTGGGTGACCGGGGCCTTCCTTTTCGCCTCGGCTCTGTTGTTCCTCTGCCGCCGCATGCCCTCAGAGAAAGGCTCGTTTGATGTGTATCATCCGGCCCACCTGCTCAGTTACAAGCCAACACTCAACAAACCAACTTACATGAGTTATGATCCCATTTCAAATGTTTCCAGCGTCCGATCAGTGTACCCACCTTCTCTACCAAACAACACCTCTGTTGGACAACAGTTTGCAACACCACTGCAAAACCTCCCTCCGGTAATGACAAGTGATGGAGCTTTAATCAACCCTCCTGTTGTCTACCATCCTGGTCTGCCTGAAAGTGCATCACTTTTGTATCAAGCCAGCATGGCTCAACGCTCCTCAATGCGGAGTTCGAACCATGTAGGGAGCATGTACACTCCAGGAAACTCCTTATACATGACCCAGAACACGACTCCTTATTCGCTAAATCCTTCAGCTTCCTACCAGTCCAGTTTTCATCCGACGCCACACACTCCAGTTTTTATTGGATACAAGACTTCAAGAGTTCATCCGAACACTCACAGTAGGAGCAATGCTGGTGTGTACATCTGAGAAAAACACAAACTCCTTTGTGACCGCAAAAACTTTTCAGACAAAAATCAATTTTCTTTTTTGTCTGTCATCTCTGGTTAATCTGAACCGCTCTTCTATAAGGTGAGACAAAGTAAATGGAGTTTTCTTTGCTCATGTCAGGCCTGGACAACATTTCAACTTTTTCTATTAAATGTCTGTCTTTACTTTGAGAAAAAAGTGAAAAGTTATTAACTCAGTTTGAACATCACTGCTGTTGTTTTAACCCTCCTCCTGTGTTAGGGTCTAACCTCTATTTCAACAAAATAAAAATTTAAAAATCAAAGTTACTAAATTATAAAATGCTCTTATTAAAATTATGGCACTTGTCGTGTTAGGGTTGCTGTCAACCCAGTTATATTAATATCTAATAATTAGAGCAAAAACTGAAATCATATGTGCGCTGACAGTCAGATCCTCTTCCAATCATGTGAGATTTAGGAAATTCTCATTTTGCCTGTTTTTCCCTGCACAAAAAACAACGTCAGGCATGTGCAGACATGTATGATCAAGTCTGCATGAGGGGTATACTGACAAAGAAAGGCCCAGAAACCCACAACAAAAATATTATAAGCAATATTTTCATGGATTATGAAACCTAACAAAGTAACCTAGAGATGAGAACCAAATTGGATGATACAGAAATGTTTTTAGTGTAATTTACAGCTGATTTAAAAACCGACCCTTAACATAGTGGGTGTGTAGTAAAAGCTAACACAGGAGGAAGTTTAACTTTAGTTATGGTGCTCCTGTACTATTTTCTATGAAGCTCTGGTATGGACTTTTCCAATTAAACAAGATTGATGAGAAGGCTTCAGACTTGAACAGCATCGCCTTCAGTTTTCTTTCTGAACATCTGCTCATCGTGTTTTTTTAATTTGCCGTGATTTCTCTGTTTTATTTTATATTTTGTCTTCCTTAGTAATAAACAAGAATAAATGTAGTGTTTAGAGCTCATGTTAAGTGGGTGTTTTTAGATAGTTGTATAACAGACGTATATAGAAGCTACAAAAGCAGCAACAGACGATCTAATAGTGACTGTTCTTATGTTATTTGTTGTCTGGGACCAATGTCAGTCATGGAGATTGACTGCTTTTTGTGTTTTTGTAACCAGATAAATATGGTTAATTTGTGGTTCCTATAAGCCACTGTCATATGAAACAAATACTGGACAATATTACAGAACTCGTCCTTTCCTGTAATTAGGCTGAGGATTGAGGATGTCTCACATACAGCAGATAAAAACATGACTTTTTATGTCCAGTAATCAGCACTGAATAACAACAACCCATTAGTGTCTGCTCAAATCAGCCCACAATGATGAAAACATGCTGGCCTGAACTAATCCAACTGCAGTGTTGTTATTGATCACTAGGTGACGCCAAAGAATAGGAAGAGTGTCCCTCAATGTGTGAGCTCTCTCTCTTTCTCAAACTGCAGGTGGCAGAATACTCTCACCCCCTCTCCCTCTCTGCATCTTTAACTAAAGGTTTAGAAGAAATCAGAACTAATTGGAAAAATGTAAAATCTAGTTTAAGTAAAATTTATTACTGGCATGGCTGAGTGGATTCATTTCAATAAAATGTTGTTTTCACCTGAGAGTCAACAGACTGTAACTCTTTTAATTGAAATCCTTTAAATTTAATCAGATTGGGCTGCTGATGTAAAAACATGCCCGTTATTTCTTATCGGCTATTTAATTCAAAGAACGGCTGGTTTTTAATTTTCTATTTACTGAAAATTAAGACAAATTGTGCAACATCTTTTTATAAAATACTCTCTCCAATGTGAATTGAAAACTGCGTATTTTTGGTATCAGTGTGTAAATAAAGAGATTATTCACAATTACTATCTACCTTTGCTCATTACTCGGGGTTACAAGTAAAAGTAAGATTACAGAAATCCTGAGGCACTCATCAAACCCCTGTGATGTGTCTCCTCTACTTGTGAGGAGGAGTTTGGAGCTGCTGCTGCTGATGATGATGAAAAGTGCAGCTGAGAAACCAAATGAACTTTTAAACTCTCGCTCTGGTTTAAGGGAAACCGTGAGGTGGGTTAAGGTAATGTGAACACAGACTATGAGACTGTGTCAGATAAACAGTTTGAGGTAGTTAATCTTCAAGGGAGCGTCACAGACCAGTTTGAAGATTAGATTTGCATTTCCATCAGGACTGGAGCAAAGATTTAATCATTCCTCGGTGTACCAAAGCAAAGACGTTGTCGTGGTCGAATGTTGCCAGATTTGAAGTTAATCTTCAGGACGTATCCATGTTTGCGGATTAGAGGCTTGGCTGTGCCCTCAATTGAGCGCCTGCACGGGAGAGACTCTCAGCTGTGTCCAGTCAGCCCAGAGCAGTGAAAGTGGGACCAGAAGTGAAGCCAACATGCTTTCACAATAAAAGCTTTCGAATACTTGATGCTTCAGTTGTTAATGGATTTAAACCAATTATCAACCATTAAAAAAGAAAAATCAGTAACACTTTACAATAACCATCATTTATAAATGGTAAATAGATAGTTTATTAATGTTTAATCATCATTTAAAAACAGCATATAGACCAATTATAAATGGCAAATAGTTTATTCATGCAAGTTAATAGTTATTTTACCATTAACAAGCAATGAAGTTATGATTAATAATTTTCTTTAATTATTGATGGACTATTTATTAAAGGTTTATATAGGGTTTAAATATTGGTTGTAAAACATCTTGATTAAAGTGTGTGTCAGCAGCACGTTGTAAATGGTTAATATTTGTTTTATAAACCACCTATAAACATGAGATGGTTATTGTAAAGTTGCAACTGATGTTTGTAATACTTTGTAAATGATTAATAAGTGGTTTGTAAACCACCTATGAACATTACTTAGACGGTACTTGTAAAGTTAGGGTAAGTCAGGGTTAGGGTTAGGTTTTTAAAATTGTAAAATATAAAATTGCTATTTATAAATGATTAAACATTAATAAACTATCTGCTTACCATTTATAAATTGTCTATTTACCATTTAAAAGTTATGGTTATTGTAAAGTGTTACAGAAAAATCAATTGGTACATTTACTGAAGAAAATAAGTCTTGGTTTAGAGGAATACAGTGTTGTTATATGGAATATAAGAATTAGCTGTTTATGACAGTAAGTAAGATCATATGGGGTAGATTGATTGATTGATTGATTGATTGATTGAAATTGATTTCACAAACACAAAAACTGAAAAAGAGAAATCACAAACATATGTATGAAACATGATGGACAGCAACATAATTAAGTTTTTTTATATTTTTTTTAAATGTGTTTAAATCCCTTAACTTTGCCACAAGACTGTCTTTTCATCTTTTATTTTGAAGGTTGACATTAGAAACTCTATTTCATTCATTGGAGCTTAACAGAAGGAGCAGAGTGAACCAGCCTCCTCCTCCTCCTCCTCAGTCTCATCCTACAATTCAAGAGTGTCTCAGAGAAAAAAGAAAAAAAAAAAAAGAGGAAGAAGAAAAAAAAAAAACACAGAGGAGGGATGTCTGCACTGTGAATCTGAGGAGCAAACCCTTACTGGCACATACAGGATTTCAGAATGGGAACACTGGAGTGTTTTTGATCACTGACAGCTGCAGGTGGAGGAGTCTTTTTGTTGTTGTTTTTTTTTTTCTCCCATCACAATGTGCGACGGATGTATGTGGGTCGGAACCCAGTTTATGTTCATTAGGGATACAAGGACTGGCAACTTATCAGCATGATTTACCGAGGGCTGGAAAACTGATATCAATGTTAAAATCGACCCTGGAGGGAGGACCATGGCGAAAAGGAAGGGACTGTTATTTTCACTGCTGTACTTTATAGCAGAGTTTTGGCTCACTTCACAGCAAGTACTAAGAATTGGTAAGCAGAGAGATTTACTCCTTTTTTACTTCTCCACTACAGTGCAGGATTTTTAAACTTCAATAATATGCTGATTATGAGACCCTGATTGAAGTCTATTTTCCTATCCATCCCTTTGACTGTGGAAAAAAAGAGGAGAGTGACCGTTTGTGGCATGACTGTAATGTATATTATTTGTAATTTCTATTGCATGTCAACATTTTATTAAATGACCTTCAGCCAGGATAATTAATGCATGGATTATTGGACATTATGTCTATAATTTTGTTGAAGCAGCAGAACATTTACCTCCTGTTAACATCCATTTAAATCCAGAGAAAGGACTCACTGTGTGTTCACATGTCATTATGTGGAGAGCTAGTATAGAGAGTCTCTAGATGTAAAATGTCCTGTAGAAACTTTCGTGTTGCTGAGATGTCCCTGCAGTTTTCTTACAGATCTCACGACTGGATTCTCTTTTTTTTCGTGAGGGAGGATCTGAGGACAGAGTGCAGGGCTGTCCACATGAAACAGCTCTATTGGTTTTCATCAAAATCATGTTAATCCACTTTGGTTGGCTGATGCCAGAGTCTCTATCTCTATTCCTCCATGTTGACAGTGCTGGGCAGAGGCAGATGAGCGATTAGGTTAGCCCACTGCTGCGTCTTATTGCATGTGTGTTCAGGATGATTATGCCTTTGCGTGAACTCCATTTAATCAAACTTTGTTTGATGTAGTTCCTCTTGACCTAACATACTCAAAAGTAGTTAAGTCACTGTGCATTTTTGTTCTGATGACCTGTTACATCTCTGTACGAGGATCTGAGCCCAAAGTTTTCAGTTAAGCCTTTGAGAGTAGACAAGAGCTGCGCTTTCAACTTTAATCTGCACTTGTAATTAGACAAACAGAGCTCCAACTATCCCCCTCTGATTTCTGATGTAACTTCTGTAACAATGAGCCGGTGTTTGGTGGCAAATTAAAGCTGTCTCCATCCCTCCCATTTGTTATCCACTCCTCCCTCTCATGAGGAGGAAGATTGCATCACGAAAATGCCTTTTTCAATTTAGGCCTCGGGACTCTCTGCTCCGTGCAATGCCCAGGGCGACTCTGTTATTTTCTCTAAACTTCATCTATTTCTAAAGACTTCAACCATCCGGCTCGTGGCGTTGCTTAACTTCACAGACTAATAGGCCAGCGCCGCCTCTCTGCCCTGACAGTCCTGATCTGTGCTCTATATTGTTAATCTCTCTAAATCATCTATCACTCTCTGAGGCCACCTAATCTTTGTCATTCTCCCCATGACCCGCACACATCCTAATCTCCCCCATATGGTGTGTGGCTCGGTTAAATTAACATTTCTCTGTCTTGGCAAGTGTTGGTATCAGATTGTGACTGGCTTCGCCTCTTTTCAATGGGTTGGTAATAATGGTAAATCTTCTCTCCTGAGCCCAACTAATACTAACTAATACTAATCTTCTTTATGCAGAAAGTCTCTTCCCCAAATATGGTACTTAAGCAGCGACCAAATCTCATCACTTGGGAGCATGCAGAGGCAGCAGCTTGTGGTCTGGCCTCCACTGTGTTTTTGTCGTTTATTTAAGTCCTGTTTACCTCGGGCTTGCTTGCTTGATGTGTTTATAACATATATCGTATATCTCACTGAGCAATAGATGGCTTTTAGACGTCTAGTTTTTTTGTTTTTGGACCTAATTTTAACCGTCTAGATTCTGTATATTTTTAGACGAAATTTAGACGTTGCACTTTAACCCATTATTCGATGACTATTTATTTCAAAAAGCAAAAGTGAGTTGCATAACTGATCTCCAAGTACTTAAACAAAATAATTATGATAGCCGTTGAGCAATAAACTGTGTAGTATAGATATAGCCCAGATTTAGACTTGATCGAACCTTGGTCCAACAAACGTCGGACATCGAAGAGACGTGCAGATGAAGTCAGTATTGGGTCGGTCCGTCAAAGACCACATCTAGACATCAGTGCGACATGCAAAATAGGTTAGAAATTTCGACGTCCAAATTGGACGTTTTTTTAGACATCACTCTGACGTTTAGAATTTGGACGTCATCTGAAGACCAAATCTAGACGTCGGCACAACGTGCAAAAAGGATCCAAGATTTAGACGTCATTCTTGGACCTCTTTTAGACGTTGAAATGATGTCCACATTTGTACCTCATCGTCAAAAAAATATGTTAAATAGATGTCATTTCGACGTCGCATTGCGCAGTTAGACATCAAAAAACTTTTGTTTATAGACCTGATTTTAGACCAGTCCTCTAGGCTACATTTAGATGTCTATTAGACCTCTTTTAGACCAAAAAACGCTCAGTGGGATCATTCATCCCATATTATGTGAAAATGTGCTATCAGCGTCCTCTAACCAAAGAGACCAGATCTAGTGGATCTAGTGGATTTGACACTCTCTATGATCCTGATTTTCACTCTGAATGTTTTGGTGTTGGGTCACAAGCAGCTCTGCTACAAACAGAGAAAGCTCAGTCCTCCACATCAAACGAAGATAGTAGACTGGTCAGGACCTCCTCATTCATTCACACTCTGGCACCGGCCCAGGTTGGAGTGGAGCTGGTGGTGTTGTTGAGCTGGGGGGTGGGGGGGTGGGGGGTCTCACTGGGAACTTGCCCAGGATGGGGAGCGGGGCAGAAAGCAAAACACTACGTCATTGTGTTCCTCGGCCTTAAAAGACTTCCCTTCATGAGATAATGGCACAGAGTCCCGAAATCGCAGATTACAACCAGCACCCACAGATCCGTTTCTTAATGTGAACTTCTTACTTTGGGTTTCTGGATTCGAAAAGGTCCGAGCAGCTGCTTAAACCTGATCCCTGTTACCCTTCCTGCTCTCAGCGCTGAAGTGAGGAACAGAAGTCTATCGCCTACGGGTTTCTCAGCACACGCCTGCAGCATGAGCGCAATCTTTTGTTTTCGTGACCTCCTAGCATGCATCACCCCACAGCATTGTCTGGCCTATTAAAGATGAGATGGAAGCTCAGTGATCCTGAAAATTATATTTGAAAGTCATCATTGTTAGCTTGACGATTAGCTTTCATTCCTCTTTTCTTTACTAGTTTCATTTATCATGACGCTCTAACACGGACGACCACACTCTGATGTGTCGAAATAATACAGAAGATCTTTCTTTGAAAAGAAACGAAGGGTTTAATTTTCCAAATCTCAGGATTGTTGTGAATCACTTTATTTTTCAGATCAAAATCGAGATGATTGCATTGATTGTATTCTTCGTTATTTTCACAGCACAGTTGAGTCTCTTTTTCAAAACGAGACAGATTAGTGATGACTTTGATATTAGGCCTCCAGAGTCAAACTGGTAATTATAAAAAGTTTAAACTAACTCAGACGGCTCTAACTTTTTTGTCTGTTTATTCATTTGCTCGTTAATAGCCTCCATTGATCCCCTGCGCGGTCTGCAAACATACAGTGTGGGAGTCTTATTCCCCTTTTCATCTTCGTCTGAATCAAAAAACAAATCCAATCTACAGTGTTGGTTCGTCCTGTGAAATGGAGATGAGCGGAATATAAAGATGCACCGAGCCGTGATCCCATGACCCATTTTTGAGCTACACCCACAAAAACAGGACCAGACAGACAGACAGGGCCGCTTAAAGCTCGTGTTCAGACGGGTTTGTTTACAGGAGACAGCTTCATGTCGCAAATGCCACAAAGGATGGAGAAAGATTTCAGTTCATTTAATATTTATTCTAATGTTAAGGATGTGATATGTCAGGGACTGCGTGAACTCAAAGAAAGGGTGGAGGCATGTGCCAGACTTTGTAGGGAGGAGATCAGATCTAAGATTCAGATCTTATCCAAGAAACTCTTGAACATAAGTTCAACTCTGAATCAACAAAAGATCTAAAATAGACAAATAAAAAAATATCCCTCAATGTTGATAGGACTTTGAAAAATAAAAGACAAGTAGTGAGGACTTTCTGTTTGTTGTGAATCAGACACAAGGCGGCACTTTTATCTAAATCTAGGTTTAAATGAAAACGCCGCCTTGTGTCTCCCTAAAGTTTATAAATGTTTCTATGAAAGCAGAAATATTCATCCTTGCAGACTCGTACAGGAAAAGCCCTCCTCTTGCTAAAGCTAACGAGCTAGTCAGAAGTAAGAAAACTTTGTATCAGTTAGGGCTGCACGATTAATCAATTTTAAATCGTAATCAGGTTATCTGTAATCGGATTATTATTTGCTGCAAAGTCTGCAAAGTCTGTCTGAAGGCGGTATCAACCTGTCCACACGGAGACAAATTGTCGTAGCTGCGTTTCATCCACACGGAAATGGCATTTCAGGTGACTGTAAACTGTACTTTTTGAGAACGGGTCAGGGAGTGCATAAATTCATAAACAACGACCATTTCATCTCTGAGTGGATGTCTATCTGCATCTCTCAAAACAATTATGTAACAACGGCGTAACTCTTTTATGGCACCTGCGCGTGTCCGGCCAAAACAACCTTTATACCATAGACTGTATATAGAATGGAACAGCACTCTCTGGTGACGGGATGCAGTATAGGTCATAAATCCCGCCTTCTCCAGCAATCCCTATGGAGCTGTGGACAAACATTAGGAATTTATTACACAGAATATAAATTTTTCTCCCCCCTGGTTGCGATGCTGATATGTAGTTACAGTAAGACTGGTTTGTGCTCAAGTCCTTTTTTTTCTGTACAGCTCCATTTTTAAAAGTTATAAGGGGGTTCATGTTTTCTATGATTGACACCTGATACAGCCTATGGGCGTACAGAGATTGCGTAGCTCATCCAGGGGGGATATGCTGTTTGAGCCGAGCGTCATCGACTCTCCCGCCGAACAACGCTACTACGCAAGTGGTGGAGTGTGTACAACGCTACTGCACAATGTTCGTTTCAGGAAGAGGAGAGAAATAGGAGGAATTACCGAGCGCTTTTCGGCTTCAAATCTGTATACTGGCTGAAGGCGGAACCAATTTGTCCATAGTATATACAGTCTATACTTTTTATGTATGCTCCGTATTCTCCTTGTCTTTTGTGCATTTCCTCAGCCGTGTTACAGCACCACTTACTGGCTTGGCATATGCACTACATCGTTTTTAGTGGTTTTGTTTTGAGAGATGATAGAAAAAAGTATTATTAAAGCAAAGTTTGGTGAAGTTGTTACTGAATAAAAAAGTCGAAATTTGAATTTCCGAGAAAAAAAATCAAGATTTTATCTTCGGCTGATATCGTGCAGCCCTAGTATGCTGCTCTCTTCACTCATTCAAAGTCTTCCTGCACCATCAGTAAAGCAGAGCATGTTTCTTTGGTATTTCCAGCTGAATACTTTCAAAACTTAGCTGTTGCTTTATCAACACACCCGCTTTCATCACCAAATTCATGAGATTTTTTGTGCTGCAATCAAAGCTTGTTAATTTCGGAGGTGTTTTAGCGACAAATTTCAAGTTTCTCTGCTTGACAAGCCGAGGAGTACCGTGAACGTGGCTCTGGAAATGAACACAGGCTCAGTCTAATACAACAAAGTCGTGAACGCCTTGGGTAGACACAAATTAATTATTTTCCTGGTGATACGCTGGCGTGTTTGGAGAGACTTTTAATTGAAATACATGAAAAGATAGGACCATGACTTCTGCTCCTCTCTAAACCACAAAAATTTATGAGAAAATTCTGGACAAAAAAAAAGAAATTAAAAACGGAGTAGGACTGCTGCGTCGCTCCAGATGTCTAAGTGGGTGATGGTGATCACAGGGATGATAATAACCGAGCTTTACTGCTCTGCTGAACAATGACAAAGCTAACAGATGGATTATTTATCTCCTGACACAGACCTACATGTTCAGCCATTATAAACACAGAGAGTATATATTTTACAGTAGAGTTTAGCTCATGTGCACCAGAACCCTTAGTGTTAAATTTCAGACAAACTGCTGTCAGGCTGAATCCCCCCGTGCCGCTCTGTGAAAATCAAGAAACTCATTTCACTTTAAGCAGAAGTTGAAGATCTTATCTCAGGTGGAAATGAGAAGAGATTAATCTGTTTTCTTCCTGTGGGACGTGCATTTCCACCAAGCTTCAGAGAGGAAATGAATAAGTGAACAGTGCAATAAAACAGATATATTTGTCTTCTGCTGACAACTCAACTTTCTGTGTGAATACTCGATACAGAAAACCTTTCAACCACTGTCATTCGATTGTACAGAGCAGCCTCCTCCATGCTTCTTCTTCTTCGTCTGTTTTTATTGATAACTTGAGCTTAAAGCCTTTTGTTGGATAGTTAATGAGGTTACAGTCATTCATGCTGGTGGAGACGGTAAATTAAATGGACGAGGCTGTAATGGCATATCTATTAATTATTAAAAAGGACTGATAAATATGGAATTTTAATGCTAGCTTTAGATCATTTAAGGAGGGTTGCGAAGAGCGCCTCAGCTCATGTTTTATCTTTTATTCGCTTTTCATTCATTTGCATCATTTTCCATGTAAATTCACTCCGTGGATGCACGCAGCGCATTTTTGGAGCTCTTGCATCAGTGTGGATGCATATCATTTATGCACATGATTAGAGGTCAGCTGCAAAAATATAAACAGAAAATTTGCAGCAGCTATTTTTGCTTCACACACAAGCTGGAGTGTGAGGAGAGAAGACTGGATCAGTGACACCTGGATTGTTTTTGTTGTTTTAAGTGGTGCCCGGGCAAATCTCAAGTTTATTTCAGTGTTTATATCCGACAGCTGAAAGGGGAAAGGTGGTGCTGAGATGGAAAAAGATATTCCGAGCAAATTCAGAAGAAGGTTATTGTATTTTGGCCTGAGAATTACATTCAAGCGGACAGAATTAAGAACTCGAACAGGCCCTAGCAGCTGCTCACTGAAGCTTGGTAACCATAATTGGGATTGGCACTTTCAAGCATGCTTTTAGTGACCAGGGAGTCCAGACAAGGCTCTCTCAGTTTGGGGTTTGGGGCTAAGCTACAGCAAAGAAAAAGGTCATTCACAATCAAGGTCTCAAGGGGGGCTTTTTAAAGGCCCTTTCTCCTTCCAAATCAATCACAATTTCACAGGCAATTCTTCAAAGAGTGTTACAGAGAGCTGTGACCTATTGCCATCTGTAGCCTGTGTGCTGAAGTGAGGCCATTTGCAAACTATTGCAGAATAGAAATGACGGACCAGGTTTGTGTTCAGACTTAATGTAACTATTGATCAACAAGTTTGCAAATGGCAGAGCTTTTAAAAGGACCATTTACCTTTGTTTTCTTATGGAGACAAATGTGTGTGTGTGGCTAAATTGAAAACAGATTATCGTACATTTATTTAAAGATAAACAGACTAAATTACCCAAATTATTCAGCACTGGCTCTGTTCCTGCAATTATGTCGATTCAGTTTGAACAAACACTGAACCCTGATTATATTTTTCAGATACTCTGTCACTAAAGCGCCTCATTTTATAAGTGAACTCTGTTTGAAAGGTTAGGCTGAGAGAAAAGGACACTGAGTCTCCAACAAGTCTGAGTGTAGGTGGTGACAATCCAGCGTATTCCTGCCTTTAATCCTAATGTTTTTAAAGCTGCTCTTTATGAAATATGAAACATTATACAGAATACATTCGTGCCTGTCTGCAATGATATATATTTATATATGTCAATATAGTCAGACATGGCATGCCATATTCTGGAGCCAGGGTTTGGATTAAGAGCTGGATGGTTTTCAAAATGATCTTCTCAGCGCTGAAACAAGCGCTGCCTGTGACCCTCTCTCTCTCTCTCTCTCTCTCTCTCTCTCTCTCTCTCTCTCTCTCTCTCTCTCTCTCTCTCTCTCTCTCACACACACACACACACACAGCTGAAGTAACAGTGTTTGAAAGAAATGTTGGTCGAATTTTGACAGTGGTGGTCTCAGCTCATTGAAGGGGACATACACAGTTTTATTGTCCAACAGCTGACCTGTTTTATATTTATTATCAACAATCTGAATCTGAAACAACAAGTTTGATTATTTGATGAGTAAATGAACAGAAAGGTTGTCACAGCTTTAGTTTTCTCATGCAGGAAAACTGAACATTATCTTTTTTAGCTCCCACTCTGAGTGGATCGTCTGCTTTTCTCGGTTTAAACCTTTTTTTTAAGGTTGTCCAATCAGCTTATTTGGCCCCCGATCCCAATCCGATTTTTTATACATTGAGTATCTGCTGACACCTAATCCAGTATGATAACAGAGCTACACATGATTTATTTCTGTCCTTTTTAAACAAAAAATATTCAAATAAACAGCAACAAGACGGACAAAAACAACGACTATGGACCGTAAAGCCATCCAAAACCCGGACTGGTTGTTCAGAGCATCATTCCCACCACCTTCTCTCTAATCTTTCTGGCCTTTTGCTCTCACACAGACATCTATCCTTCCTTTTCTAGACCAGATTTTGTCGCTTCAGCACAGACGCGACCAAATAATTACTGCATAAACCAGAAGTGTCTGTTGGACTGTTTTCACTTTATGGTTTTACATATTTTCTCTATAGCTGACGCTGAGCTACTCATGTTTTGATTTTGCCACAAATTGAGCAGAGTTGACATCAGAATCAGAATCAGAATCAGAAGGGGTTTTATTGCCATTGTCGATGAACAGGATTCACAGACTAGGAATTTGTTTTGGCATGATGGTGTAACAATAAACAGAGAGAAATATAAAATACTAGAATAAAAACTAATAAAAGCATGCAAGAAATATATAAAGTATAAAAATATAAAGGTATAAAAGGTTATGTACAATGCTATGTGCTTTATATATTTCTTGCATGCTCTTATTAGTTTTTATTCTAGCTGACATGATGATGAGCTTGTGATTGGAGCGTTCCTACAAAAAAACAATGCTATACATGCAGGTATCGCTTTGGTTTTGCTGTAAATGAAAAATGAAAAATGCCAAGACTTACAGTGTATTGCATGATGATGTTAATTCACTGCAGCACCATTATGTCTTTGAGTCTGCCTTTCTTTCCAGTCAAATATGACAAAGCACCTTCTCCATAAATGATGGCAGCAATGAGTTTTACAAGCTCTGCACTCGGAGCAGTGCTAAATAAACAAACACAATTCAATGTAAGAAAGATAACTGGGTTATGTAAAGTGCTGAAAGTCCTGTCGCTATAAGTCAGTCCAGAATATAGACCAGGACTAATCAGCTAAAGAGCAGCTTGTAGAGGTATGTAATTCATAGTCATGTCTTTTGGCAGCCAGAGCAGACACACTTAGTCCTTAACCTCTTTAAGGTAAATTACATCATGTATTGGGGCTTGACTATGTGATACTATAAATCACAGGCCAGTAGGTAAGCACTGAAGTACGATTATACCACAGCAGGCAGCTGTCCTGAGCTGTAAATTTAAAAGGATTGTAAATATGAGTGTGGGAGGTGAACAGGTGCACCTATTTATCCATGAAAGCTTGATGAATTACTGCAGAGAGGGGATAAAAACGTGGAAATGGGATGCTTTTAAAAGCTAATATATCAGGGGTTTAGTAGATGTTTTAGCTGCAAAACTAGACATGTGGCGTGTCTTCTAAACTGAATATGCTAGTTTGGTGAAAGCAAAAGAAATCAAACTCTTCTTCTTCTGTCTTGGTCACCTTTAAACTTTGGAAACAATCACTACAATGGAGGTGAAGCAAAGTCACAGGATCAATATCTGTTCTGCTGTTGCCTCTGACTAATTCCCACTCTCCTGTTCCCTCTTCCTTGTGCAGGGGGCATCTTTGAAACGCTTGAGAATGAGCCCATCAGTGTGGAGGAACTGGCCTTTAAATTTGCCGTGACCAACATAAACAGGAACCGGACCTTAATGCCAAACACCACGTTGACCTACGACATCCAGAGAATAAACCTATTTGACAGTTTTGAGGCCTCCAGAAGAGGTAACAATAACCGCATCATGGGAAAGTTTTCTTCAGCGAAATAGAGTTGTACTTATGATTTTTCTCTCTTGACTCTGTTGCATTTGTTCAGCCTGTGATCAGCTGGCTCTGGGTGTTGGAGCTGTGTTCGGCCCCTCTCACAGCTCCTCTGTTAGTGCAGTTCAGTCTATTTGTAACGCCCTAGAAGTCCCTCACATCCAGACCCGCTGGAAACACCCCTCAGTGGACAACAAGGACAGCTTCTACATCAACCTCTACCCCGAATACACGTCCATCAGCAGAGCTGTGCTGGACATCGTTCAGTACTACAAGTGGAAAACGGTCACTGTCGTCTATGAGGACGCAACTGGTGAGTGGAGATGGGAGCTGATGACAGGAGACATCTGGTGTTAAATCCAGAGGGAGGATCGGTAATGAAAACAGCAGCAAAGCATAAAGAGACAACAGCAGCATATGCCAGCACTGATTAAAACATAACAGCAGCACACACTGTAGTGTCACATTATATCCTATATTTAAACTGACTGCCATATGAGTGCATTCACAAAAGTGGCGGCTTTATTTGTGGCTGAGTAAATACTGTGCAGCTGTTTGTAGAATTCACAACAACCACATGTTTGAGTGTTAATCAGGAACACAGCCATTGGTGAGAGGTGAGGAGGGATCTCTGGGAGCAGTTTTAATCTCCGTTGTTTGGACTTTATGAAATCTAATTTGCTCCTCAACTGACTGATTATCTGCAATTTAAAAGAAGCTGCTTATACAACCTTCAAACACACAATCTCACAGATTTACTGAACACAGAGATGAGATACTAAATCACTACCAGTGTACTCAGACATCAGACATCACTGATGAAGTTCACGGTACTGCTGTCAAACCGAGATAAACAATAAACATTTGTAGGTAGAAGAAAATTGTGTTTCTTCTCAGACTGTTCAATAAGGCCCAGATTGGATATACATCAACTCTCCAAACCATAGCAATTAACTCTACAGAAATAATTAAACACTGCTCCTACCTTTGGATCCATTTTGTTAGTAGACTTCCACCCCAAGTCCCTCAACCTGCAGTCCCAGCAGCACCTGGTTTGAGGTCCAGATCCGTCTCTTCTCCAGACGTCAGTTTGGGGTGAAATCAAGAGTTGTATCCACGGAAAATGTCCAGAAAGAGCAGAGATAACCCTCCAGTGTGGTGTCCAAAACAATGCTTTACTGTCACAGTACAGTAGACTGTTTAGAAAGTCCCGCGATAGCTTGCTTGCTAGTTAGCTCCGTTTACTGATAACAATGTCATATGCTAAAGCAGTGCTAAACTACTTAATCCTAAAGTTTTACCTTAAAACTTTTTTAGTTCTTTGTATGGCGTTTGAGTTTGTCGATTCATGACACAAAACTTTGGGCCAACCACAAACGGCATCTGTCTTCCTCTGTCATGAACGGCGAAGCTAATGGTATTCCGTTGGACTGTGCTTCGGTTAAATTTTTATATAGGATATTATCGTGGGAGTTTCCAATCCATCAGTTTATGAGCGTAGAGACAAGCGCTTTGAATTGTCGTGCTTGGTAACAAATCTCGACCGCTAGCAAAATGATATATAACACCTACTGTTGCTCGACCACGTCTAAGTAAATCACAGAAATTTATGGCAAAAAAGTTGACCACATACACCAAATGTAGGAAACGGAAATGAAACGTATAAGAAGGGATAAAGTGAAACAGTTCTTGGTGAAGTTTAAAAATGTTGATATTAGATAGCACTGCGTCTTTAGCTGACTTTTTATTTCAACGGTTTTAAAGCCAAGAAGAAAGTAGGAGTTAATGTTGATGGAGTGAAGCGAGGAAGTGATATTTGTCGCCCTCCTGTGGTGGCCCTGGAGAACTGTAGCATGGTATATATTCTGGCATTGCTGCTTCAGTTAGCATTTTTAGAAGCAATCAGACGCGAACACATGATAAAATTGAGTTTTTCGCATGGCAGCAGCTCAAAATTATTCTTTCAAGTCATCTGAGTCGACCACCGTAATGAAGTTCGACCGAGTTTTTGCTGAAGCTTATTACCGTTGGTGTTAGCGACATCAACCAGGCTCAACTGATAGGAACTGCGACACCCACTTTTGATACTTGTAGTAGAAAGACTTCGCCCTCTGGTGGTCAAAATGAAAAACAGCGGGAGCGTTATTGAAGTTGGCGTTTCCATTACATTTTTTCGCAAAATAAAAGCGATGTTTATCACATTTCGACAAAGTACAATTGCGATTTGCGGGTCTTTCCACTGAATGGTGTTCAGTACATAAGCGAGCCGTCAGCCTCTCGCGAGCCGTGTTTCAATGACCGTTGCCTAGCAACGAGGTAAACTTCCTGCCCGTGCGACCTCGTATTCCTTAAGCCTTTTTTCCACACCAACATGGACGAGACACTAAACATTTTGCGTTTTGGAGCAGCTATTTCTGTGACCATTACTGCTGTTGCCGCTGCTGTCATCAGAAGACGAAGGCAGCGGGTGATAATTCAAAGGCAAAGCCCGTATGTATGGGAGTGAACACGGATGAGGGATTTCTGGGAGAGGACCGTTAATGAGGAATTCACAGACGAATTGTGGATTCAAAACTTCAGAAAAATACAAATACAAGTCAAAACTTCAGAAATAACTCCGTCTCCTCCCCCGTCCACACATAACGCGCCATCTTTGCTTGAAATGAACTGGTCAAATGACTCGCTACGTCACGTCCGGTGACAGAGAATTGCGAGAATAGTGTTTCCATTACACTTTTGCGATATACTTATACACGTCTGAAAAACCACCTCATGAGAGCGTAAAAACTTTTTAGCGATATTTGAGAGGTTTTTCGAAATTTAAGTGTTTCCATTACCAGTTTTCTATTGCGATATTTAGGTTTTGCGCAAATCTATGGGTAATGGAAACGCAGCTGTGACCATCCTTTAGGTGCAGAAGATCCAGTAGAAGTTTAAAAAAATAATTAGGGTATTTCCTTCTTGCGGATTTGTTTTTATTAGCCTTTAAAAAATTATTTATTTTCTAGTGCAACCTTTAAAACCAAGCTAGCTAAAACTGCCCCGCTAAGACTGAACATGTTCAACGTTTCAACATTATTCATAATTGTGTAGGTTAAATGTCTGTTTCAATCCATACTTTTTCCACTTGGACCCGAGCCACATTACTGGATAGACTGAAGCCCCCTCCCCACTGTCTGTTTCCTTTCAATAACCATATGCAGCTCTAAAGAGGCTTTGACTGAGCCCCAGTAGCTAAAACTGGATTATGGTATTTTGGGATACTTACATAAAGAAAACTAGATTGTATGTGCTAATATTGCATCTAATCCTGCAGAATATAAATTTATTGAGGTTTTTTTGCTCTATTTTATTGTGATTTTAAAGTGAAGAAATGAAATGGTGGCACACAGGATGTTGTCTTATATTTCTATGGGTTTTCCAGTTTTGTGTTGTGCATTCATTCAGTCTTTTTATCTGAGGTACTTGAATATAGGATGGTCTTACAGTTGCGTCTTACGATTGTTGTCATGTAATTACAGGACTTATCCGTTTGCAAGAACTGATCAAAGCTCCATCCAGATACAGCATTAAAATCAAGATTCGACAGCTGCCAACAGGAAGTAAAGATGCCCGTCCTTTGTTGAAAGAGATGAAGAAAGGAAAGGAGTTTTATGTCATCTTTGACTGCTCTTACCAAACCTCAGCTGATGTTCTCAAGCAGGTAAATAACACAAAGCCCACGCGCTGAGAGCAGAGATACTTTTCTCAGGGTTTAGCTCAATGCCAAAGATTGATCTCTGTGATATTCTGACTCTTTCGTTGCTTTTGGTTGATAAGTCACGTTCTGTCACCTTCAGAATTGCCTCTATTTTAATCCAGAAAAGCTGCACAGAAGATTTATTAGAAGCATTAATGACTCTTACTTATTTCAGATACTTGCTTATTAAAACTGTTCGTATGTATCTGTAATCTGCACTTGTCCTGGGTAAAGACATGATTGGCTCTGGGCCTCTAGGACAGAAAACAGGGCTGTTCTGTGAGGGTCAGACTGTGGTGTGAGTGTTTGGTTTTTGAAGGCAAACTCATGAACCACTCTTTCATTTCTGGTTCTGTTTAGATCTTGTCCATGGGGATGATGACTGAGTATTACCACTTCTTCTTCACTACATTGGTAAGAGGATTGTTGCTGAGCCACATGTCTGTCATTGTTCACCTCCAGAATTTGTCAAAGTCTCTTAATTTTAAAAAAATGTACGCAGGATGATGACTCTTGAGATTTCAGACTATTAAGACTGACATGCAGTTTAGTCACATGCACCATAATTACTGCTCCATCCTCTTAATTAAGTCTTTGTCGTGTTTGTGTGTGTCACCCACAGATTCTGTTAAGCAAAGATTATTCAGATTAACTTAAACATCCGTGGTGTGTTTCATAATAAGATTTATGGATGTTGTCTGTGCCCTTGGCGTTACTCCGTGCTGTTATACTGTATACAGTCCCAGTGTTTCAGGACAGATGATGATGATCGTGTGTGTTACGTACAGGATCTGTTTGCCCTTGATTTGGAGCCTTACCGCTACAGCGGAGTCAACATGACAGGCTTCAGACTGCTGAACATCGACAGCCCTCAGGTGGCCTCGGTGGTGGAGAGGTGGGCCATGGAGCGACTGCAGGCGCCCTCCAAACCTGAGACCGGGATGATGGAGGGGATGATGACCGTGAGTTCACCTTTACCTCCTTACCTTATCTGGAAACGAATAATTCACCAGCATCCACATTTGGTTTCTGTATTGGTCTTGGCCTCAAATAGCCCTCAGTTTTACAATGATTTAAAAGGATGCATGAATTCACATTACACCTGTTTCATCTCACAATCAGTGGAAAGTTTGGCACATTCATCTCAAACAAAATATGTTATTTATATAATACCAACTCTGTCTGTTAGTTAGACTGAAAAAAGTCCAGTCTAACAGATTTCTTGAGGAGTTACCTGCAGTTTTAACATGCAATCAGGACCCTTTCAAAGAATCATCAAAGTCCTTCACCCCTTTTCTGTTTTCTGATTTGTTCACAATCAGAAAAGTTCTCTGAATAGAAGTTACTTATCAACTTCAGCTGCTTTAAGGTGCTACTTTGATTTATTTTCAAGCATACTGTAAACCTTGGTGTGCTCTGACAAAACATACGCAGCTGAGAATGTGCGTCAACAGTTCTGATGTGATTTCAGATCCAAGCTGATGTTTAGTGACAGTCGTGTTTCTCTTACAGACCGAGGCGGCTCTGATGTACGACGCCGTCTACATGGTGGCTGCTGCTTCACAGCGTACCTCACAGATCACCGTCAGCTCCCTGCAGTGCCACCGTCACAAACCCTGGCGCTTTGGATCACGCTTCATGAGCATGCTCAAAGATGTGAGTGCGCTTTATCAATGTGTGACACCCATCCATCCGTTCCTTTCACAGCCTTTATCTCGTTTCCTCGGGTGCAGGAGCAGAAACAATAGAGTGGAAATCAGATGTGATGAACGAGGAGTGTGCACATTATATTTGAAATAATTTACCCCAGGAGATGGGGATTGACGTCACGCGCTGCAGGTTGGAGGTGTCGTGGATAAGTGGGTCATTAGCGAGCTGCTGAACCGAGCTGTCCACTGAGAGCTGCTGCAGACTAGATCAGATACCATGGCAGACATAATGAAATATATTTGTTCAAACTTTCAGCTCAGATTTTCATCAGTTAAAGTTTAAAGTTGATACAGTAGTATCCTGAAGTGTAGATGTGAGGTAATTGAAATAGAAAAGCTATTAAATTGTGCATGAACTATTGATCTGACAGCAGACAGAACAGGAACACAGCGAGACAGATGCCCATTTCAGAGCAAACACTGATATTTTGAACAACACAGCGTCTGTCTGATGGGAATGATCCTGGTTTGATGGAGAGGCAGGCTTGGCTCAGCTAAGATAAATTCATCTGGATCTTGTCAGCTCTCTCGTTATACCGTGGTCTTTAATTAGATGTTGCTTTGACAAATTAGCTTTTTATTATGAGTGGAGACGGAATATCCACTGTGGTTAAATCAGCGTTTCAGCTGCAAAGCCTCAGCAGATGTTTGCTGTAATTAGACCTGTGATCAGCAGTTTTACACTCTGAAGAGTAAAATATGAGCTTCTTGTCTATTATTGATGTCCACTCTGTCTCCTATCAAATGGACATGATGTCTAGTATCATCCCAAACACTTTTCTCTCCAGTGCATTAGGAATGCCCCAACCCTGACCTCAGTTACTAGACTGGAGCCAATCACGGTTGATGGTTTCAACCTATCATTTCACACTGATCATTAACGTCAACTACCCTGAAATTTATGCTAAATCTGTCAGGGATTGTGGTTAAAACCCCTATACCATAATGTAACCATAACAGTAAGGTTGCATACTATATAATGAAATATTTTCCATTCTTAAATAAGGATTATTTTCTCATACAAAATTTGAAGTTTTTAACATACTATTCTATTGCATTTTTATCATACTATACTATGACATTTTTTTTCATACTAAAATCAAATATTTTTTTCATGTTAAAATAGAAATTTTCATCATACCATACTACATAATTGTTATCATACTTTACTATGACATTTGTTTAAAAGCTTCAAATATGAAATTTATTTTCACACTAAAACATGAAACTTTAACATACTATAATATGACATTTTTATCGTACTATTGTATGACATATTTTTCTCACTAAAATTTGAATTTTTTTTTTGAAATTTTTTATCATGCTATACTATGACAATTTTGTCATACTTTGCTATGACATTTTTTTACACTAAAATTTAAAATTTTTATTTATACTAACAATGAAATTTTTTACATACTTAGAGATGACAATGCTTTTCATAGTAAAATATAATTTTTTTATCATACTATACTGACATTTTTATCATACTATGATATTTTTTACACTAAAATACGTTTGTTTTTTTTTCAAAATTCGAAAATTTGTACATGCTATACTATGACATTTTTATCATACTATACTATGACATTTTTTCATACTCAAATATGATTTTTTTCACACTTTAAGATAAAATTTTCATCATATGATACTACGACATTTTTATCATATTGTACTATGACATTTGTTTTATACCGTAAAATATGAAATTTATTTTCACACTAAAATATTAAATTTTTATCATACTATACTATGACATTCTTTTCATACTTAGATATGATTTTTTTTCTGACATTAAAAAATATATTTTTTTCCATACTATATTAAAAAAATGTTCCATTCTAAAATAAGGATTATTTTCTCATACAAAATATGACGTTTTTAACATTCTATTCAATTGCATTTTCATTATACTATAGTATGACATTTTTTTCATACTAATATCTGAAATTATTTTCATACTAAAACATGAAATTTTTATCATTCTATACTTTTATTGTTATCACACTAAACTATGACATTTGTTTTAATTCTTAAAATATGAAATTTATTTTCACACTAAAACATAAAATTTTAACATACTATACTATGACATTTTTATCATACTCTACTTTGACTTTCTTTTTTCACTAAAATCTGAATTGTTTTCATACTACAATTTGAAAGTTTTTATTTTATCATACTATTCTTCGATTTTTTGCAAACTATGCTATGACATTTTTATGATACTACACTGCGACATTTTCATTATTCTATACGTTTTGTTTTTTTTTGTCATAGCCTACTATACTATAATATTTTCACCATACTATACTATGACATTTTGAACATGCTATACTATGACATTTTTAATAAACTATTCTATGATTTTTTTATTATACTTTATTTTTTGCATTGTTTTTTATTCAAATATATTTTTTAACTGGTATTAAGTGTTTTACTCCAATTCCTCAATCACCTCTCACCCTTTTCATGCGTGGATGTTGATTGGAAGAAGAGAAGACGAGGATTCACAAGAGTTCTCAGTTGATGCTCTATTTATTTATTACAATGAGTCAAGAATGTGCAACAGAGTCTCTGGGTTCAGAATTAGCTCACCCTAGCAAACAGACAGCTTAGAGGTCTGAGTGCTTCAGAACCCAAACTAACTTTCCATTGAACCCTTAATAGTTGAGGATCAGCCTATCTAGACAAGGAGTACGCTTCACTTGGTGTTGTCTTCACATGCAGGCTGGTTCCTCTTTCTTCTTCACTTCTCAAACGGATGGGTCCAGCTGTTAACCTACTAAGGAGCTGTTTTTGGGTATTCAACAATTAAATCACACATTCATACCAATAAAAACATACTGTTAGCTGTTGCTGGACAAATAATCTAAGCAGGACAGATGTGAAATTTTTATCATACCAAAATATGACATTTTTATCCTACTATACTATGACATTTTTATCATACTACACTATGATATTTTAATCATACTACACTATGATATTTTTATGATACTACACTATGACATTTTTATCCTACTATACTATGACATTTTTTATCTCACTTTACTATGACTTTTTTTTTTTTTATCATGCTATAGGATGATACTTTGATTATACTATAGTGGTACATTTTTTACATACTTTACCATGACATTTTTATCCAGCAAAACTATCACATTTTTAACACACTACACTATGACATTTTTATCATACTATACTATGACATTCTTATCATACTAAACTATGACATTTCTTATCTCACTTTACCATGACTTTTTTTATTATCATGCAATAGGATAATACTTTTATTATACTATAGTGTTACGATGACATTTTTATCATAGTATTAAACTTTTTTATCATACTATACTTAGATTTTTATCATAGTATACTATGACATTTTTTACATACTATATGACATTTTTTATCAAACTATAATATGACATTTTTTATCTTACTATACTGTGACATTTTTACCTTACTATATTATATTTTTTATCAATACTTGACATGACATTTTAGACATTATATCCTAGACTGCAGAGAAAGCTTTTGCTGTCTTTTGCATTCACAGTTTGTCCTCCTGTCTTAACACTGTAGATGCTGCCCCATTGGAGATTTACACCAAAGTTTGTGACAACATGCATTATGATTTGAAACATGTTGGTTTGAAAACAGACATTTGGATCTCAGACATGTCGTGGCTGATCCTCACTGCGTTTTGGATTGATTCCTTTACCTCTGAAGCAGTGACAGAAAATACCTGAGATATGAAAAACACTTTGTTTACTTTAATATGATTAGCTTCATAATACTTTCGTGGTTCTCTAAGAAAGTGTGTGTGTTTGTGTGTTGTGGGACAGTTGAAGTGCCCTTCAGAAAAACATGCTGCTGCTCTGTCACTCAGCTGCACTCTGCTCTCCTGGGGGAACGAAGGCGAAAAGATACTCTTCAAAATCGATACTGTATCACACAAGTAATTGTTGAAGTTCAGTTTTGTGTCATTTGGAAGTTGCAGCTCTGGGAAAGTCGTCTCAGTTCTGTTCACTCACCTGTTTAGCTGAACGTCTCCACATTCATGCAGAGAGCATGTTTGATCAGTCGAATAACAGGCCTGGGGAAAAGTAGATGAGTTTTTCTCATCATGATACTGACAGCTTGTTCAATTTGTTCATGGATGTTTGGTTTAGCATCAGTGGGGTGTTCAAATCTCACTCTTATCCTTTTTATCATCTTTTTTCTCCAATCTGTGAAGATCCATGTCATCACCACATGAACTGCATGTACTGCATGTACTACAGTAATGACACCGACACATGGCTGTGACAGAAACACTTCTGAATGATGAGATTTGAAGAAGACACTAATGACAGAAATAAATCTGGACTAAGGGGTCAGTAAGTTCTCACAGATGAGTGTGAGAGGACTGGTCCAAGCTGACTAGTCAAAGAGCAACTTGAGTTTGCTCACCCTCCTATAGAGCGTATAGATTAGAGACTCCTGACAGAGACCGTATAACAGGGATAACATTGTAATCCTGACTATAGTGACTATATAGGGATACAAACTTCTCTATGTTTAGAACCAGTGTTAGATTTCTATTGAGTTGTGATTGTAATGACAACACAGAGTTTTATTTTAAAGCTCCTGTGAGGAGTTTTTAACAGGTTATGAATCAGGCTGACGAGATTATCACTATTTTTCAGTGAAAGCAGGGGACTATTCTTGATTCAAAAACACTTGTTACAAAAGTCATAAAAAAAAAAAAAAGCAAAGAGATAAAGCGCACGTTTCTCCACAGGGGGCGCCAGAATCAGCACAAACCAAAAGTTCCCCACTGGAGCTTTAATTCATCAATCAGTGGTTGTTGTTAAGAATTAACAAAATAATTGGGAAACACTAAGGATAAACATGTTTTATTTACTAAATCTCAACATCTTTAATTGGCAGCAGAATCCCTAGTGGGTCAAATGAATTATTAATATTTTTGTCACTGTTTGTGCTCAATTTTCTGAGTGTTTTCTTACCTTTTGACCAATGAGTTAGTCTGAATCTTCATTTTCATTTAAACAACTAGGAGACTACAATAGTTGGAACATTTAGGGAAAAAAAGCTCAACGTTTTTATACATTTCATGACCTCGACTGTCAGATAGAGAGAGCGACTTTCACTCAAAGCTTTTCCCTCTTTCTTTATAAGACGTTTGTTCATCCTGTGAGTTTCTTTGTGAATTGCTGTAATTTAGATCTTCTCCGGTGAAGGGTGCTCTCAGACGTTTGGTGTCTGTCACTTCAGCGACAAGTTCTTTAAAAACAACAAGTAAACAGCGGCTTTATTTCCCAATGCAACAGACACAATGACAGTTTATTACAGTTGTGCTTACTCAAAGTTACTCGCAGGCCTTGTTGTGGTTGCGTTCACTCTCAGTACACAGTCACGTTTGTAGTGTGTAATTTAACGGCAGATGACAGTGTCGGATATGAGTCTGGTTGTGGTTTAGATCTCGGGTTGATCTTTTTCACAAATAAGGTTGAATCAGTAAGAAATGTGCCTCTTCAACCGTATTTCTTCTTGTTTGACACTAAAATGTCATCAACAGAATTCAATCAAACACACAGTTGGTATATTGATTTTCAGATATGTCATCAGCACATGATAAAGTGGCTGTTTGGCTTCCTCTGTCAGCGCGCTCTTGGAGATGCAGCTCATTTCTTGGAGTCCTCTGTAAGAGAGATTTAACCTGACTGTGATTCAGCTGAACTGCATTCAAATATCCCTGAGCTCAGCTGCCCACCCGCTGCTCTCCAGTCAGACAGAGGCCATGCCTGCCTGCTCCATTTACATCACAGTTTCATTCTCACAGACACTTTATATTTCCACAGAGGACCCAGTGGAAATCCAGCCAATGCAAAAATGTCCATTAAGATGCATTGGCTCTTGTCAGTGTTCTTTGCCTAATGTAACCCCCATCAATTATTCATCTTTGAGAAATGTTCTCATTTTTCCAGACTTCTGCTTCACTTTGCATCATGTGTGTGACAATAAAAAAAAAACTAAGGGGGGGTCATTGGTTTTCTCTTCTCCCCTCTCTTTCTCTCTCTCTGCTGCAGGCACAGTGGAACGGCTTGACCGGACAAATAATCATAAACAAGACGGACGGCCTGCGGAAAGAATTTGATTTAGATGTCATCAGCCTGAAGGAGGACGGCTTGGAGAAGGTGATCTTACTGACCTGAGCTTATACTGTCATTGTAAACATCTACATAAAACTGAAGAGAGAAGAAAAAAAAAGTGTGTGTATTGTAAACTTTGTTTTCCAGAAGTTTAAGTGAGGTGACTTCTCTGTGCTGCAACATTATTCAATGTTTACGATCATTAATAGGCGGCGTTATCTATAAATCAGATGAAGTTCCAGCATTTGTCTTTTTGTTTTTGTTTTTAATCATTTTGGTTCAGGGCTCTGTGATTAAAATGCTTTCTCTTTATTATTTCTGCAAGACCATCGCAGGCAACAACCGCCTGAATAAAGTGTGGAAAAAGGTCTGTACTGCAGCTGCCCTGGCAGACTAAGAGAATCTGAAAGTGTTCGTGAAATGAGCTCTACCTGCTGCCCTCTGTGACGTGTCCCTGCTGTTTAGAAAATTAGGCTTTAGATACAGATAGAAAGATCGGTTTAGCGTTTCTGTGCAGGACGTAGTTGGTAACATCGTTGTGTTTTGTGCTCTTTTCCTGTTTTTCCCTCACACATACTTATTTGTCCTACTTGATCTTTCCCCTTCTTTGCGCCCATGACTTTGTGGAGGTGCCTCAGACAAACTGTAGATCTTCACTCTCCTCACGTTGTGGTTATCTTGATGTTTTATTGTCTGCAGATTGGTGTGTGGAACTCCCAAACCGGCCTTAATTTAACTGAAACCAATAAGGACTCATCCACCAACGTGACTGACTCCATGGCCAACAGGACCCTCATCGTCACGACGATTCTGGTAATGAGAGACAAACCCTTTTTTGTGCTTTATTTCATGAATGGCAGCAGTCATATGTTGGTCCTCATGAAACTAACAAGGTCTGTGCTGCTTCAGGAAAACCCGTACGTCATGTATAAAAAGTCTGACAAGCCTCTTTATGGAAACGATCGCTTTGAGGGCTACTGCCTGGACCTGCTGAAGGAGCTCTCCAACATTTTGGGCTTCTCCTACGAGGTGAAGTTGGTGTCTGATGGAAAATACGGAGCTCAGAATGACAAAGGGGAGTGGAACGGGATGGTGCGAGAACTCATTGACCATGTGCGTACCGATTAATAATAAAACTGAGAGAATATCTGAGCGTATACATTTCATCCGTGTTTGAATGGAGCTCCGGTTGACGCCTTTGTTCTGTGCTAGGTGGCTGACCTTGCTGTGGCCCCTCTCACGATCACATATGTGAGGGAAAAAGTGATCGATTTCTCCAAGCCCTTCATGACTCTGGGGATCAGCATCCTCTACCACAAACCCAACGGCACCAATCCAGGAGTGTTCTCCTTCCTCAACCCGCTGTCTCCTGATATCTGGATGTATGTGCTGCTGGCGTGCCTGGGTGTCAGCTGTGTGCTGTTTGTTATTGCCAGGTAAACCCGAACAATCCTTCATTTCAAGGGCTGTGTAGTTGTTGCCTCACACTAGACAAGCCTTGCCTTGAAAAATAGCCCTTTAGAAGCGAGAATCCAAACAGAGTAAAAAGGTGAATATAAAGGATAAACTTAATGCTATTTCATGGCAAAGGAATGGTTCAATTTAAGCATGAATGCACCTGATATGAGGGTCATATTTTCAACCTTAAAGAGACTGATATCGTTTAGCCAGAAGCAAACTCAAAGGAGCAGAAATGTGAATATTTGTCAAAATCTAGTAGGGCTGGGCGATATGGCCTCAAATCAGTTCCATAATATATTGATCAGTTCACCTCGATAACGATAAATGGACGATAACTACTCCACAAGCTGCTCACCCCCTCCCACATTAACTTCATCTACTTCAGCCGCTACAACTTTTGAACCGTCCTCCATCTCCTAACCTGTCTTTCCCTCTTTGTTACGGACTGGATGGGGTGGAGTCACGTCTCTGATGTAGGACAGCGTCTTAAAGGGACATGAGACCATAGCCTACCTACACACATCCAAAACCAACTTTGATTTATTTATTTTTTGACCGATATGGACAAAATGACGTCAGTAAATGTCGTAGATTTTCGGTATTGGAAAGTTTTTGGTTTATCGCCCGGCCCTAATATCTAGCACACAGACTTTAGACTAAAACACTCCCTGCTTGCCCTTCCTGTTGGTGATGCAATAGTGGCCTTTAGGGACAAAAAGCTGCTGTGCTGTAATGCATGATGAGTATGATCCTCAATTTGTGGTCAAATTACAACAAAACAGTTTGTATCTCCTGCAACTGAACACGGGTTTACAATCATTTGGAAAGGAATTAATTCACAAGTCTTCAATAATGTTAAAATATTATATGATCTTTTCATATCTTTCTCTTCTTCCCCATCAGGTTCACTCCCTATGAGTGGTACAACCCTCATCCCTGTAACCCGGACTCAGATGTGGTTGAAAACAACTTCACTCTGATCAACAGTGTCTGGTTTGGAGTCGGAGCACTTATGCAGCAAGGTACACTGGTTTGGCATGTTTGGTATTGTCTGGTAGCTCATCTTCAAACCACAAAATTAACCTTCTAAAAACCCGGGTCCGCCAATTGGGGGAACCTAGCTAATGCAGAACAATCGCAGAGCCACCACTGCGCTATTTCTGACAGAATATTGTGAAGTAATATGTCAAATTAAACCGCAGAAGCTGGCCTACAACGTGTAAAACCATGTTTATATGACCAAAACACAGCCCAAACACTACTCAAATAAACAACTAAATATCAAACTTTATGAAGTACTTCTGTGTGGACCCAGTCACCACATTTCTGGCTCATATACTACTGTACATGATCCAAAACACATCAGCTACCGCTCATTTGAGAGCACACTACCAAGATACACAGAAGCATGGCAGAGAAAGACGCCGAAAACGACCAAAGTCCAGCAAACACAGACACCGCTTGGTCAAAACATGGTTGTAAATTTCTTATTATGAACATACATTTTGAGCAAAATCCAACAAAAAGGCTTGGTTTTTAGAAGGTTAAAGGCCTGCTGAGGAGGTCGTTGACGGAGCTTATTTTCCCCTCCAATTTATAAATAATCCTAATGTTCCTTTTATTTCTCCCCTCGAAGGATCTGAGCTGATGCCTAAAGCCCTCTCTACGAGGATCGTCGGTGGGATATGGTGGTTCTTTACGTTGATTATAATCTCCTCCTACACTGCCAACTTGGCTGCCTTCCTCACTGTGGAGAGGATGGACTCGCCAATCGACTCTGCAGATGATTTGGCCAAACAAACCAAAATAGAGTACGGTGCTGTGAGAGACGGCTCCACCATGACTTTTTTTAAGGTAACTGTCTGGAAAGGTAACTCTGTTGGTAAAGATTCAGAAACAGGAGATTATTTTTTAATACTGAAGGCCTCACTTGCTGTGTGATGAGTCAGAAGAAAGGGGAGTTGAGGAGAAAAGGTGAAAGTTTGATATCGAAGTAATGTCCTCATTCATGCAGCTCGACAAACCAAATTTTCTTGTTTTGCCTGCAGCACTGGGACCAGTTTATCTGATCAGATTTGATGAACCCTGACATGCATCAGGATGATTGATTCAGTCTGAAAATAATGTTTCATTTAAAATATTGGAAACGAGACCCGAGCATGTATCCCCCCCTCATGTATCAATATTATCTGCTCTATACAATCCCCTGTGTTGTTGTTTTTGGGTTTGTTGAACACCAAGGTATATTATTTTAGTGACATAAATCCTGATTTTCTGTTTGCAGAAATCGAAGATTTCAACGTATGAAAAAATGTGGGCATTCATGAGCAGCAGAAAAAACACAGCTCTGGTGAAAAACAACCGTGAAGGGATTCAGAGGGTCCTAACCACAGACTACGCTCTTCTGATGGAGTCAACCAGCATCGAGTACATCAGCCAGCGTAACTGCAACCTCACACAGATCGGAGGCTTGATAGATTCGAAGGGTTACGGAGTAGGAACGCCGATCGGTAAGAGAGAAACGAGAAAAATACATCAACAGTAGGAGCTCAAAGGGCTGCACGATTTTGGCCAAAGATAAAATCCCGATTTTTAGGGGATTTTGTAGGGGAAGGAAGGTCCCGCCTCCTTCGCCTCTGATTGGCTGTGAAACGTCATCACATGCTCAAGCCGAGCGTGGGCTGTCGGCACTGTACATCGAACAGAACATTATCGCGATTCTGAATCTCCTAACCCTAACCCGACAGACGAGGACGATGACGTTTCATAGCCATAAAGAATAGCCAATCAGAGCCCAGCACTTCTAGCCAATCAGAGGCGAAGGAGGCAGGCCCTTCCCCTACCATCCAATGAAAAAAAATCCTTCCTCCCGCAGGAAGGGGGAGCCTATGGTGGTAGAAAGGAGAATCGATTTCACGATTTTAATTTTTTTAACATCGTCATAATCAAATAATCTGATTACAATTTAAAATCGATTAATCGTGCAGCCCTAGTAGCTAATATTTGTCGTCTGTCACTGGTAATATCAGTAATGAGGTTTTGCTCCTGTGATAGGCTCACCTTACAGAGACAAGGTCACCATCGCCATCTTGCAGCTTCAGGAGGAAGGGAAGCTGCACATGATGAAGGAGAAATGGTGGCGAGGAAACGGCTGCCCGGAGGAGGACAGCAAAGAGGCCAGCGCTTTGGGCGTGGAGAACATCGGAGGAATCTTTATCGTCCTGGCCGCCGGACTGGTCCTCTCGGTTTTTGTAGCGATCGGAGAGTTTATTTACAAATCTAGAAAAAACCTGGACATTGAGGAGGTGAGTGTCGGTCAGTGTGAATGGCACAACAAGTATTAACTCAATGGAACTCAGCGGAGGAAGGTTACCGACCTCCCACACATTTGCTTTGTCGTCGTTGTCTTCAGAGGACTATTTTAATCACTGGGCCAACAAAGTTTTCTGAATGTGTCGAACTGCATTGTTACAATCAAAACAGAGAAACTTTTTAACACAGAGTTTAGTCTTTTCAGTAGTTTTGACGTAGAGCGAAGATCGTTTCAGTCTTATACGGACAAACACACACCTGAACCCCTTTTTACGATGACGGATGGTTTCTGACGTCTGACACCATCACACTCGACCATCTTGGCCTTTCTGTTTCTTTTTTTGTTCTTTTGCAAAAACTCTCATCGTAACTTTGTCTTGTGTGGAGAAAAATGTCATTGTCACGCCATTTATTGTGGGTAAGTGGTACATTTAAAGACTTGTTTTTAACAACTGCAGTATTTGAGAGCCGCTGTTTGAACATGTTTGCTGTTTTTCATATTTATACACACAGAGACTTTGAAACAACATCACTACTTCTTACCACTTTTGTATGTACTCATGTATTTTCAAATATCTCCGTTTATTCAATGACAATGTCTCCAGTTTGTTAATGAAAACATCCTCCTTCAAGATTTGGTCAAAGTTGACACTCAGGCCATCGGCTGCCGTGAATGATTTCTTTTCTTTTGGTTCTTGTACGATATGACGTTCATGATCACGCACGCATTAGTCATGTTTGAAGTATATCAAGTCGACTAATGTTATGTGGGAACATTACACCCTTTAACCTTTTCTCTATCGTTTTTCTTGGTTTGATTGCTCCCTTTCCTCCCCTTCTTTTCCTTAACTCGAAAAAGACGCCATCGTTTAGCTTTTTATTTCACCTGAGACACTGTTAAACCGCATCCAAGAGATCTGAGGTCTTGATGTAAACCCCATTTTGCAGTCTTGAGATACTTTAGTTCTCTTTCAAAGTGTTTTGGGGAGCTACTATATGTCATTACAGAAGGAGGGTTATGTTGTAAGTCACCTCAGGTAGCACAATTTGATCACCGAGGTCTTATTTTTAGCAAAGACAGATATTGAGTTATTGATTTACCAATCGCAGCCGTTGATATAGTGAAGTTATCCAGCCAGGTCCCTAAATTTGTGATTTCCTGAATCCCTTTTAATATACCTGCAAGTGGATTAACTACACACACCAGACACGTGGTTCAAATGTGTGTCCGCCATATCATACAGACTACAACAGTCAATATATTATATTTTACCACCAAACCTGACGGGTAATTCTGAGTCTTATTAAAGGACCGCCGTCTCAATCAGGAGGGTTTGACAGAATTTCGCCTAGGAAATAATTGAGCAACAATCGTCATGTATATTTATAATTGTTTTTTTAAAGAAATGTATTTGTCCAATGCCACATTATCGGTTCCTACTGTGAGCCAATTACATGAAAAGGCTGTTTTCATTATAACTTTTCACTGATTAAAGAGCGTTGCTTTGAAAAAGGATTTGGATGTTAATAAAGAGGCGCAAATAATCAAAAACTGAAGCATCCAATATGCAAATAATGACAAAGTTGAATAATTCAAGCCATAAATAGTGTTGGTTTGATTTGGACCAGGCTGTTTTCTCTGTGTATTTCATTCCTCTTATTTAATCCCACTTTGCTTCCACTCTCCCTCTTAGACAGCTGATTTATTTCGTTTCTGTGGAGAATCAAACGATGGACCTGAGTTTAATTAAGCAATCCTGGCAAAAGGACGAGCCAGAGTCACACAGTTTCTTCTTTTACTTCAAAAAATAAAGTACCTTAAATAACTCAACACCTTCCACAAGTATTGACTATTAAATTCATTTGATTTTAGTGATTTTTATCGTAAATACAATAAAGATGATTCTCATGTCCTTGTTTAAAGTGTTGTTTACATTTTTCATAAAACTGGACGTGACAGCACTGACGACATCTTTGACTGATATTTACTGTGAAGTGGAACAGCGAAGGTTTTTTGTTGGCATCGCATCATTTCTGCTCTTCCAGTTGTCTCCTCACGCTGATAAATTTGGACTTCTGTCGGGCTAAAGGGTTGTTTTTCACAGCTCTTGTCATGAAAGGATTCTCGAGCTCTCTGTGAAACAAATGGGACAGAGTGAAGACTGTCAAGACAAAAAAAAACAAGTGTGAATGTAATCTGTCACTGCACAGCCAGCTGCTTGTTAATCTGACGTTTGCAGGGCAGGGTGCTAGCGAGCTCGGGTTGACATGTGACCTGGTCTTTCTCATTTTGTTGGGAGATTACGTATTATGGTCTTCATTTATATAATCCTGTCAATGGAAACAGCCTCTTTCTCCGCGCCCCCCTTCAAAAAGGACTTCATAGTGACTGCAACATGTAATCAGTTAGGAAACAGTAGCTAAACAGTTTATCAGATTTACCGTATGTTGCAAGAAGGTCATGGACCTCATGCTGGTATCTAGTGTCCTTTTCTAGGATTTTGACCCCTGGAATAGAAAATGCAGAACCGAATAGAAGTCCACTCTGAAGTTCTGCAATAAAAAATGAACATAATCTGGTGTAGTGGAATCAATATGATCCTGACACAGAGTGTAAATAAGATAAAAGTGAGATCTACCATCTTGGATCAGCTGGTTCACGTTAGGACAGCTCTATGAAAACATCAGCATGCTAACTCCCAGATGTTTTAATTTCTTACTCTTGTTCTTCTCCTGCTTTTAATCCATGCTACTCAAACACTCTGGAGTATGTCTATCAACAGAAAATCTCAATGACTTGTGGGTAAAAGGGGCATATATATTAACCCGAGACAAAACTAGTAGATTGTAAAGTTAAAGGGTGATGATATTTGATTAAAGTAAAAGCAAAAAAAGAAAAAAAAGATGAAGTGACATTGAAGGGAGTGACCGAAAACGAAGTGACAGATCATCCCGATAGTTGACAGAGAGAAGGAAATATAGGTTCTGACACAGAAGACGTATGAAGACAGATACAGAGTTCAAAAGGGCTTTGCATTAATCTCACGTTGTAATGACAGTTTAAGGTTTTGGTATTCTGATGAATTCCAGGATTGGGCTTAAACTGCTTTCATTTTGTTCGCTGGTCTTTAATCTTCTAACCCTGCGTTCTTAATCAGAACTCAGAGCAGGTTTTTAATCTCGCATGAATGAGGCCGCGGATTATGGGCCTCTGACCTTGCAGCTGCTTCCTCCTCAAATCAAGTTTCTCTTCCTGTGTAGCTCGCCGAGAGAGGATAATCTTACTTTTCGTGCTACAATACTCCAAAATCCAAAGTGTGTATAAATACATACAAACAGTGCAGAAGAATACTAATTTCTGAGTGAAATTCAACGAGAGGTCTGTTTTTATAATGATCTGGTGCATTTAGCCGTTTAAAGGTGGTGTCGGTTAAAGCAAACATCAACATGAGGGTTTAATCCCATGGCGGCGCAGGGAGATAATATCTTATCTCTGTGGCATTATCAACATCTAATCACATCTAATGACTTTTGGAGCCGACACCACTTGTTGAGTTCAAAGTTGCAGCTTTGTGTGCCAGTGTGTGTTTGTGAGTTGACTGTTGCGGCGCAGTGATCGCTTAAACCTTCAAGATTGTTCTGCAGAAAAAAAAACAAGGACGTTATTATTCTTCTTCAGTGGAGAGGTGCTGTCCAAACTCTGCATCCCAATCTAGAAAACAACTAGAAAAGCACTCAGAGAGCGCAGACCTCCGCCAAGCAGCTCATGTCCCCCCTTATACTGTGATTCACACCAAAACTTTTACTGTTACGTGTCTTTTATTAACGTTTATTTGTGTTTAAACTGGTATGTTCACTGTTCATAATGTTCCTAAACCAAGAAACACCCTGACCCGGGTTTGAACCCAGGACCTTCTGGCTGTGAGGCGACAGTGCTAACCACTACACCACTGTGCCACCTATCTACACCACTGTGCCGCCCACTGGTTATCTTTCAGCATTGAAAATTCCAACGACACCCTTATTTTTGTGTGTTCTGGATCACAGTATCCAGAATTTTGTCCGGATCACCACCAAAATGTAATGGGATCCTCCTGGGGCTGAGACGCACCTCTGGTGAAAATATCAGGTTAATCCGTCTGTTACTTTCTCCGTAAAGTTGTTCACAAACAAACAAACAAACCAACGCTACCGAAAACATAACCTCCTTGGCGGAGGTAATAACGCATTCCTGCTCTCCTCACTCAAACTAAAGTAAATCCCAGCTCCAGTAGCCTTACAGTTAAGTTGATTTGTTACTTATGCAATGATTGATATGACAGTATGTTTGTTTTTTCTGTTTGAGGATGTTTCCTGCTCAAATATGAACCCTTGAAGAGCTTTGATTAAGTTTCATGACTTTAATCAGTTGTTTACAAGAATCAGCCGCAGAAAAAGAAAAAAGGAATCGGGCTGATAATGAGCACAGAAGTCTCACACTGTTTTCTTGTTGGTAATTATCCTGGTGTATCTCATGCTTTGATCTGAGATGACTTGCATTGATGTGCTAAAAACAAAGCATTGTCTGCATAAGAACTAGGTTGCTGTGATGAAAGAAAGAGGGAGGGTCAAGTGCTGTATTAAATGAGGATGATACAGAGAAGATCACAACTCCAGCAGGAGCAGCCGAACATATCAGCGGTTCAAGTTAGTTGCAGCATCCGACAATGTTTTGATTTTGAGTTTGCACCTGTTTCTGCAACATTTTTCACATGAATGGAAACTACCTGTCAGTCTGAACTGCATATTAAGAGTCAACAAAATGAAGATTAATTACAAATGCAAGTCTGACTCTTGTTAGAGGAACTAACAGCTTTGATGTCAGGCAGCATCTTTCAACTGGGAAGGCTGAAACGTACAAGTCCTGTCTGCAGAGTCCACCTGCAGCCTCTGATTCATCTTTCTTACGACCCCCATAGCTCCAGCATATAGTGGGATCCAACTGTGGCAACCTTTGATAATGCCATTCATAGCTTTTCCAATGACCTGGTACAAGTTCTGTTCGTTAAAGATGACATCTATTTAGGATGACGGTCTGAATGCTGTTGTGATTTTTTCCTGAAGGTTTCCCGACACTGACAGTATTCCAGTCAAAGTATTTATAAAAAGCTGAATCTCTTTAAGATGAATTACAAAAGGAACAATAGATACTCTTGTCCAGTCAGAGAGAAGCTGGTGAGGAGAGCAGAGTTACACCTCCATCTACTGGCCAAAGTGTGGTACTGTGAAATGACAGAGGAGGAACGATTCCTCCCTGTCGAATTAGATTTAATAAAAGAGTAAAAGTAACAAAAAACTGTTTATTCAAATCTGTTATACATGGTGGCAAGAATTAGACAAAATTATTCAACAGGAAGATGGACTGAAACGATGGAAATCCCATGAATAAAGGCTGTGGGTTAATGTGCAATAGTGCTTGAAACAACAACATACAAAGACTGAATGTATCATACTGAACTCAGGGTTTCTGCTACTGTATGTGATTATATTGTATGAATGGATCCCTATAGACATAGAGTCTTTATTTGTGCACATTTATGGACCATGATAAGAGGGTGAAATTATCCTCGTGAAATGTGACATTGAATTTTGAAAACCAACACTGGAGTCTCAACTTCCTGTTCGGTGAAGAGGCGACAGAGTGGAGTAAATGGAGAGAGAAAAAGGTCAAATAAAGGTATTTTAACATGGACAAGTCTAACGAATATTTAGCTCAAGCTTGTGAAAATGACCTTAATGTTAATGTCAATATTTTAATGTTCCCAACGTTACCTGTGTGGTATTAGTGATATAAAAGAATATAACACTCGAAGCCTGTTTACTAAATAGTCAGAAGCAGCTGAGGAACCCCCGCCCCCTCACTTTTAATTGTCTTTATAATAAGTAGGTAAAGACAGAACTGAGGAACAGGCTGCAGCAGCATGCATGCTACTCAGTATCCATGGGCCACCTGTGGCCGACTTTCCACATAGCAGAGTCTTGGAGCTCGTCTCTAAGAAAACAAGAAAAGTCCTGGAGGAAACCCTGCTACTACTGCATAAGGCACATTTGCATCAAATGGTGTTCCTCTGTAACACTTGTAGGAACTCTACAGCGATTCCTCAGGTATCTTCATCCAAACTACATACTGGCTCTAAAATAATGCTGCTGAGGATTAATGTTAGCTGTAACAACTCCTTGTAATCATCTCTAAAGACTACTGTTAGTGCTGTGCATATTAAATTTAGGAAAGAGCAAAGTGACGGTTTGTGTCAAGATTGAACTCCTCGACTAAATCAACTTATTTCCATAGCCACAAGTGTATATGTGCATAGCGAGCAGAGGTCGGGGTCTGTGCAGATAGTAAAAGTTCTTCTTTGCTGTCTGCGCAGCCAGGTTTGAGTTTCCCTGAGTAAAAAAAAAAAAGTCTTTGTCGCTGATAAAAGGACAACAATTGGAAATTACCTGGAGTTTCTCTGCACCTTAAACAGGAATTAAAATACAGGAGTCTGTGTTAACCAGTGAAATGCAGATTAGAAATACAGCAATAAACAGCAACTGGAGATATCAAAAATGGATGTGGAAAAACTGGACATCTCATGAAATTTGCTCTGTCTTCAAGAATTTGTGATTTCAACGTGTCAATTGATTAATTCAATTGAGATGATTAAAAACTATAAAAATAAAGCAGAATAAATAACATAGAATACAGATAATATTTCTTACTGAGGAGAAAGTTTGTCCGCTTGAACACCCCCTGCTGTAGTTGCTCCTGCTGGCTGAACAAGCTTGAACAGACGTCCTCTGTAACTACTGAACTTTTTCTTGAGTACACTCAGGAAACTTTTCATAGTTGATGGGGTTTGTATATAAAAACCTGCCTTAAATTACCAGTCAGAACTCCCCATTTCTTTACTGTGAGCCATTTCTTGTCTGCCTGGGTACAGAACCTTGCCTCTGGATTGACAGGACTATTTTGGATCAGTCATGTCACGGTTCACATCCACACCCTTTTATACTGACAGGTTTTTAAGGAGACATTTTGCACGTTGACGCTTTACAGCTGATACGGGGTTCTGTCTTAAGCAAATCATGATCATTGCAACAGTGTTTAAGATCATCACTGAATTCCCTGACAAATACTGTAACTGCGTCCTGTTTTCAGCACAACATCAACGGAACGTCAGCGCAGTTTGATATCTGAGGACTGGTGGAGAGGTCTGTTAAAGTGTTTACAGTCTGCTCTCTGGCGAGAATGGCTCGACCTGACCTTGTTTTCAGGAGAGTGAAAAAGCAGCAGGTTTCTAATCACTTGGAAATCTTCTTAAAATTCCTCTGCAGATTCACAAATATCATACAAGTGTTTCTTTCTGAGGAGCTCTTTAATCTCCACACAGCGTGTTCCTGCTCTCTTTATCAATCAAGGATGAAATAAGAGTCTCGACGACAGGCGCCCCCCAAATTTCCCACAATGATGCTTTCATTTGTCTCTGACTGCGTCCTTTATCCTCACAATCAAACCACAATCTTGCTCATTTTTCTCATATTTCTAGATATTTCAGATTAACAGCTAATTTCATGAGATATCCATTTTTTGCACATGACTGTATCAGGCAGAAATTCATTCATTAATACACAAAGAAAAGTTTATCGATCCCAAAACGGGATTACAGTATATCTTCTAAGTTCACTCCTGTGTTCAAAGGTCTTGCGTGAATAAAAATGTCAGAGGAATTAAGAATCCAATCATAAGATGTTGGTCATGTCCAGACAGGCATTGAGTAGAGGTGCAGGATCAGGAGAGCTCTGTGGAGGACCTGTCTGTGTGCCGGCCTCTGATGCAGTACTTTGACCCGACTCTGCGGGCAGCTTGCTCGTGTCACACTCTGGAGAACAACTTACCATTTCGATCGTGATCTGGGGCCCGTCGTCTTTACCCAAGAGGCAGGGGGAGGAGAAAGGTAAGTCTGATGAGGAGGTGGAAAGGTCTGATGCGGAAAGCTTGGCAAGAATCTGCAAGTGCTCGTGATCGGAGCCGGACTCGATGCTGACGCTCTTACATAACCCGCACAGACTGTGCCGTGTCTCCTCCAGGTTTTGTTCCAGCTCAGTGCGCTCCTGCAGCAGCCGCTCTTTTTCACTTTTCTGCAGAGATAAGCAAACAAAGACTTATTCACTCCCTTGTCATCTCATTATTGCATATGCCCTATCTTGTAACACAGACTTGATTAGTCTTGAAGCATTACCACAGCTCTGACCATTGTGCTGAAGTTCATGCTGATCACCACTAGAGGTCAATAAAGGTCATCCTTGACATTATTGAGACAGCAGCTGAAACTTACTAATTTTTTGATTTCACACTCCAGCTCATGGATGCTGTCTAGTTTCCTCTTCCTGCAGCGCTGTGCGGCCACACGGTTTTTGCTTCTCCGACGGATATCGTGAACAAACTCCAGCTGCTCTGGGGTCAGCTGATGGCGTTTCAAAAGTTGCTGGAAGGCACTCCGGCTCAGTGCTGAAATTTGCTCCACCGGGAATGGAAGCTGGATCTGTGGAACACATGAACACAGGGATCAGGAGTTGAACTGAGTTTGATGATAACTGTAAAGGCTAAAACCATAGACTGTATATAATATGGACAACACTGTCATCAAAGATAAGATGTTAGTCATAACCTCTGCTGCTCTTTTGTTGGTGGCCTCGGTGTCTCCGTCTGTGTCCAGCTCGGAATCATCCCCAGAGTTGAACGAGGATGACAGGCAGGGGCTTTTCTCTGACTGGGACAGGTTGTCAGTGCGTTGAGCTGTGTCATCGCTTCCCGCGAGGTCCCTGAGAAAAGGACAGTCTCCTACACTGGAGCTCAGGTCCAGCTGCTTAAGCCAGTGAAAGTCTGATGCTTTTGCCAGATTGTTTTGGTCCATGGGATCGAGGGGGATTGGTTGAGTCTGAGATGGGCATAGGTCTGGCCAAAATCCCTTCGCCAGATGCTCAGCCACCTCCCTTTCTACGCTGCTCCTCTCCCCGAATCCCTCCTCCTGGCTCAGAGCGGTTAGAGCGGCATCTGAGAGATCACCTGCCATGCTCTGTTTTAGGCCAGCCTCGTCCTGCTTTATTAAGTCACTGCAACCTTTCACTCCTGATGTGTTGAGGGGACAGGAACCGGGATCACAGTTGGTTTCAGCGCGAAGAGTCTCCACAGTCTGTTTAACATCACCGCCCGCTGCCTCAATAAGTTCTGTGGCGTTCACATCCCCCGGGGCTGACAGCTCACAGGGCAGGTCACACTCAGCCAAACTTAATTCACCTTCATCACACACGTCTTCTATCTCTAAAATGTCTCTTTCACAAAACTGGGAGGAATGATCTGCTTTCTCAGAGTCTGGACATGGCAGAGACAACATGGGGCACACGCCATTTGCTGTTAAGTCCAGAGATATTGGGCCCATTTGTGGCCCACAGTTCTCCAAGCACAAGTGTTCTTCACTGCTGTTCGTCTGACCCTGAGCGCTTTGAGGACACCTCGACGGGAAGTTTTCTTGTTCATCACTTCTTGGAGGCATTTGGCTTTGAGAATCAAATGAGTTTGGTTGGCTGCTCTTCACACCGGAGCCAAAGCTGGCACTGGGACCCCCTAGGCTTTGACAACAGGCTCTGCGCCTGACCTCCTGGGAGGTTCTTTTGCCTTCAGAAAACTTAGGGATGAGGAAATCAAAGCACGCTGACTCCAAGTTATGAAATCCTAAAAACTCGGCGCTGCTGTGGATGGCATGAATGTTTTCTTTGGTGAAGGGCAGCTTTGATGTGTATGCAAACTGAAGCAAAGGTTCAAACCCCTCAACAGTCACCTGTGGGGAGAGGGAATACAGCAAATCACTGAGGCACAATAACATTCATACTACAACTGTGACCAAACCAGAAAGACGATCAATTAGCTGAACTGAATTGCTGTTTACACACAGTATGTCACATCAAAATATAAAACTTAGTGAGCATTTAATATCTATTCAAATATGACACAAGAAAAAACATCATGATGCTTCATTTTTCCCTGCAGACGCACACAGATATTATTACATTAACACGGGCACTGGCGTGGGTTACATCGCAAGGCTTGGAACTGGATCAGTAGTCATGTTACACTATATCATCTGCAGCTGAACAGGAGTCCTTACAGTGTTTGTATCACCATGGCAAACAGAGTGCTGAACAGCTCAAAGTTCATGAAAAATGTATAATCTTGTCTGAGACTTTTGGTGGTGACTTTGCAGCTTGTTAAAGACCCACTCCGAAGAAAATCTTGTTTTTCTTGCTGTCTACATGAGCCCCGCTATGCAGGCCAGACTCAGAGAAGTAGAGAGGACGTTTGCAGAACAAGCGTCTGCAATAAGAAAGCTAATTATGATATTAACTTTAATCATGCCCCTTAACACATTAGTGTCCGAGAGCTGAGTAGCTCCTATGTTACCTGCTTCTTCTACTACGCCGACAATGTTAGGCTACAAGCTAACTCGGGGAGAAGTGTGCAGAGCAGAGCTGTCTCCGCCCACGACTCAGAGGTGAACTGCTAATGATCTACTGGAGCTCTGCAGAGGAAAAGTCCTTGAAAAAGACATAAGTAACATGATTTTGACAAAAAACTTTATAACCACAGTTTAAAGACCACCAAGAAAACTTCAAGTAGTGAAAAAAAAACTATCGGAGTGGGACTTAAAGGGCCTGATCTACTAAGATCCAAAATAGCCATAATAGACAATTCAAGGTGCTTTTCAGATGCAAGAAGATATACTTGAAATTAAAAAAGGGATTCAAACGATTTAAAACCAATAAGACAAACAGATATTTTTTTTCGTCTGTTCTGTGTTTGACCTTATTCATGAAAGCAAACACGCTAAATTGATTGCGCACGCTTTTTTGCTCATTTGACAGACGCAATCCTCAGTGCACCCGGTTAGTAGATCAAGTTTGCACGTGGTTTTGCACATGCAAACCTTTAGTAGATCAGGCCCTAAGTGTACTGCAACATTTTGTCAATGTGAAAGTGAATCCACACATTTATATTTTGGCTTCACTAAAATTGGGTTCAAGTGCAGTACTTCCTTAGTTTCTGCTCAAAAGTACTGAATCGCCCAGTAGAATACTACAGACACATGTTGATAAAATTGTGATAAGTATTGTCAGGAGGAGATAAAACAAAAAGAAAAACCCACCTCATCAGGCAAAGTGATGACCGGATTCTGTCTGGTGACATTGGTAACTCTGCTGTGAAAGTAATCACTGCAGGAAGCCAAGATGGCACAGTGAGCCCGAAAACTCCTGTTTTCCACCACCACAGTCACGTCACACAGAACATCGAGCTGCCTCTGCTCATTCAGACACTGGAGGACATGGGCGCTGTGCACCGCCGACTGAAAGGTGAAGACTGAAATGCGAGGAGCTTGGAGCGACATGGTTCTTGCAAGCTCAGCCTGCGTGACAGAGGGAAGCGCGGAGGAGTCAAAAAGCATCAGAATCAAAACGCATGGTTAAAATGTTTATTGTAGCTGTCTCAACTCAACGTTTGACAAAAAAATGATCATTAAAAAAGTTACTAACTTCAAGAACCACTTTTCTTAATGAGCACACTCTTTTATTGAACTCTCTATTATTATGTGAGCTGATAATTTTAACATAAACATCACTTTGGATTTGTTGTGGTCATTTTGCAGTTATGCGAAGAGTTGTGCAAAAAAGTTATGCGAAGTAACTCATTGCAGTATGATGGAGTATTAGGGCCACATTAAGAAAAAAATTAAGACTTTGAGATTAAAGTCGGTAACTTACAAGAATAAAGTAATTACGTACAAAAATAAAGTCGTAATAAAGTAATTACTTACAAAACAGTAAAATCATTACCTGAGAATAAAGTTGTAATAAATGAATTACTTATGAGAATAAAGTCATATGAAAATCGTTATGATACTTATTATGTATATATATATATAATGGGGTGCTGATGTGCCATAAGATTAAGTATCTCTTTTTTTGTGAAACTTTTATTGAAGAACATTTTCAGGAAATGCTCCATTGTTCTCATTTTTCAACAACCGTCATCTTAAACAACAGGTTAGAATATAAGGACTTTGTTCTGTTTTTATTCTCGTAAGTTAATGACTTTAATCTCTTAAAGTCTAATTTTTTTTTTCTTAATGTGGCCCTAATACTCAGTGTTATTACAGTAACAATACATGAATAAGCATAATTGTTGTGGGGTTTTGTCTTCAACCAAGGATCAAATGCTGAGTTAAGAAATCACATATGTCTGAATTAACAGTCTTGGCAGTCACTACTGCCTAAATGCCATTAAATACTCCGCATTGCACCTTTAAATGTGATTATTCTCACTGGAAGCACATTGAGCAACTGGACAGTCAAATGACCCACCCCTTACGCAAGACTGGGTGATCTTACTTTGGCACAAGCAGCTCCAACAGTCTTGGACAGATCTCCACAGCACATGAAGTTTTCAAAGCCTCTGAATTAGACTTGACATAAACTCTGACAGTGCACCAACTTCTTATTTCATATTCAAAGTTCAGAGTTGATGCCAGTTTCGTTGCACACTTCTGACCTATAGAGAAATATAATGGAATTACTAATGCAGTTCTGACTGATTAGGATTATGATTCAGCAGTTATCCGATAAAGCAGCAAACTGACATGGACTTGAATTGATGAGTAACGTTAAGACTCGATTTAACTGTTCGACTTGGGCAGCAAGTTTAAAATGCTGAATCATGATTAGTCAAGTTCTGCTGTCTAGGCATGGCGGACGGGCGCGACGAAATTATCCACATACCGGGAAAAGACGTGTTGTTAATCACAAGACCCGACTAAATCCTCACTTTAAGAGCGTAAATATCAAGATTATCATCCAAAACGGAGGAGCTTCAAGCTAGGCCGGACCGTTAGCTGAGCAAACTGTAAATGTAACCGAACTGACATCTCTTCCTGGTGTTAGCTAACCCCGAGACCGTCTTTGAAAGATGACTTAAGGTCTAATTAGTCACGTAATTAAAGGACAAATGATTACTGACCTGTCATGTCAGCTTAATGACACTGTCATAGGTAAAGTGGGTTGAAACGGTTTTCGCCATCCGGAGCCACACTGTGTTCGCGTCATGTGATATCCAGAACCAGAAGCTAGTGTTGTGTCGTCCGCGAACGATTCGTTCAAAAGAACCGAATCTTTTAAGTGAACGTATTGAACCGAATCACTTACTCGGGTGATTCGTTTGTTTCTCACTTCAGTTGAGCTGAAATGAGAAACAGCATTGCCAAGCCAGCAGCTGGCAAACGAGGGACCACAGGCACAGACGCCTGAATCACTTTGTGGCCGAATCACGCATTGAACTACACACTCTGAAATCATCTGTCTGAAAAAATGACCTTTTTTCACTGCTTCATTGCCACCACAACAACTTGCATACAATGGGACACAGCATGTAACAAGTAGTGCATTAAACCCACAGCATCCCATCATTGCAGCAGTTTGCGAGGGAACAGTGAATGTTTAGTTTGACTTCTTCTAAACGTTCAGTGAACGAATCACTCACTGAGCCTAACTTGCCGAGCAGACCTGGTAAACAGCACACCATAGGACAGTACACTTAAAACATCATAACTTATAAACAAGCTCATTTTTACAAACCTGTTTGCCAAAGCAATACACCCAAACACTCTTGGTTCCTGGTTCCAGAAGCTATAAATTGAACTGAATCCTGAACTGTTCAGCTGTGTGTCAGTTCAGGAGGTCAGAGTCACAGGCTTCTACCACTAAATGATTCGGCGATTTGGTGAACGAATCTTTTTAGTGAACTGATTCTGCTGATTCAGTACATCTAAAAGAACTGCCGTGCCCATCACTACCAGAAGCAAATACAGCATACTGCGCATGCTCAATGCAGCGTAATCATACAGCAGCACACAAGACAGGAGAAAGTTTTCTCTTTTTTTAGTATTTAATTACTATACATTGATAAAAATACATGTGTATACATATTTTTTTTTACAGATTAGCCTCAGATCACCCTCCCCACACTTTTATCCAGAGTTTGAAATTTTCTTTTTGAGTAATCCAGTTATTTTTTATCTGCAAACTGAATGTCAGTCTTAGTTGAGAACACCTCTTGCTTTATTTCCATTTGAGAAACATCCTGGTTTAAACTTGAAACACTGCTGTCATTATTACAACACTCTGAATGGTCCCTTCTGCATGATCAAAATATTTCATCACACTTCCGAGTGTCAAATCAGGCTGAGGTTGATCACACTGTTTACCCCTTTTCCTGCAGAGCTGAAGCAGCAGGATGGGCTGTTTGCATTTCCTGAGTAGTAAGGCACAGATGGATTACATAACTCTTTCATAGAAGAGGAGGTAGGCCTGGCTACTCTGCACTTTACTCTCGCTCACAGGCTGAACACTTGTGTCGCTGATATGGAACCAGGATCCTCTTTGTGGCTCTCCTTCTCCTGAAATTGAGAGACGTGTCAACAGCGATACTTCAATAAAACAACAAAGTCATTATACGAGGTTATTACTGTGTTGATAGGTTTTAAGAACACTTACCTTGTGCTGTTTGTCCATTTGATAGGGAATTAGTGCATTCAGGTCGTACTTTCACATACGCAGTGTAATGGCCCGACCGCATTGTTCCGCTGTGTTCGACAATACCGTACAAACTGTACAAAATCTGACCGTCTCCCTCTGTCACAATCTATTTGGAAGAACAAAACTGTTAATTTAGAGCTCAAACTATATTGAAACTTTGATATAATTATGAAGATGGTAATGATATTTAATAAAACCTGTCAATACCTTGTTTTTAACCCCACAAAACGGAGCTAAATCCAGTATGAGGGGGAATTGGACATGTCTGTTCACTTTACAAATACTGTATCCATTCTGGAGGAAAAATATCAAAGAAATCAAAAGACACGTCTGTGAAAACAACCATCTACGCTGCTCATTAAAGTGATGTGAATAACAGCAGCCTCTTTGACAGTCGACTTGATCAAAGGAATCAAACATACACTCATTTTCTTCAGCTGTCTTACCTGTTGAAATCTTTTCAGATGAAGGGTAAGCACTGGGGGAGGAGACGAGATCAGCATTTGCTTCAAGGCATCAGTGTAAATATTTTTCTTGGATCCTAAACAAAAAGGGAAAGAAGGCAAAATACTGAACTTATCCTTTAAAACTCGTAAAGACAGTTTAGTTTATGAACAGAATGATCAACGGAGGTCAAAATGATCCCACACAGATTTATTCCACATACCTTCACCTTTGTCTTTGCTTGACTGCCGTTTAGTGCAGGTGACACACAGCAGGCTGTTGTTCTGTGTGAGAGTTTCCACTTCTGTAAACTGAAAGAGGCATGACTGCACCGAACACTCCTGTTTCTCAGGGGCTGTCCTGGCAGCCAGAGTTTGGAAGGCCAGCTCTGGGTCCTGACTGACCACAGTGTACTCTTTCACCTCCAGTGGCTCGTCTTCAATCTCCATGCTCCGGTCCACAGCATCTGAGTCTTCTATGAAAGCATCATCCAGGGTCACTTTCTCCATTTCACTCACCAGCTCTGTGTCATCATCGTCTTCTTCTTCCTGGTCGATGTCGGATGTTTTATCAACATCTATGATGCTGTCCTTCGATTGCTGCTCCTCTGATAAGACGGTAAAACGATTACTGACCGATGAGTCGCAGTCAGTCACTGAATCATTGTCGTCTTTTTCGTCCTTTTCATCCTCCACAGTGTCCAGGTTGTTCTGAGTCTTCTCTCCAGACTCATTAGTTTGTGCAGGATTTTCCTCTTGGTGCATTTTACCGTCAGCATTCGCCTCATCTGCAGCATCTGCAGCAGGATCTGTTGATTCACCCTCTGTGTTGCTCTTAGATGCGAGATTGTCCAAACTGACCCTCCCCTCGAACTTCTGCTGCCTCTTTTGTTGCTGTTGGCAAGACAAAGAAACAATTCAGACATTTCAAAAATATGTTTTTCTCTTATGATTCAGTTGAGGGGGGAAAAAAGCTCATTAAAAAAAACCACATATGTTACCTTGGCTTGCTTTTTTGCTTGTTTCTTGGCTTTCTTCTGCTGGTACTTACTGCCAGCCCCGGAGGGAATACCATCACTTCCATTGGTCAAAGCAGGGCTGTCTCTGCCATTCTGGCTGGGTTCAGCGGATTTCTGAGAACCTTTTTTCTGGTTCTTCTTTCTGTATGCCTGTAGGAGGTAGTAACAAGAGTTTGTATTTGTTACACACATAAAATATAAACAACTGCAGAAAAAATCAAAACACTTACCTCATCTGAAACAGGAAGGGAAAGATCCAAGAACATCTCTGTGACAACAGACACCTGAAAGATAATCAAGCGGTGACAATTAACTTGATATTGACGCACAAGACTCTTTTGTGTTTCTATTCACAGTACGTACTGTTTTACACTGCTGGCACATTATAGTGCTGGTAGTTTCCCCACCAAAAACGTGGTCGACAAAGTTTTTGGGACATCCGTTTTTCTCGTACTCTGAAATGAAAACAGTTTGTGCCAAAATTAATACACTAGAAAACGTACAAAACACTTGAACACTCACCACACTGTTGAACTCATACTCTTATTACGTACCTTTAACCACAGTTTTCAGCTGCTCCGGGTCTGTGCCTTTTCTGGATTCTTTTAACACGTCAATGATCCCTGAACTCACTCTCTTTAGAGACAGAGAAAAACATTGATGAGGAGAAAAAACACGAGGAACAAGTGGTTTTAAAATGTACAAAATAAGAACTTTAACTCTCAATCTCTTCCCCTTATTTAAAAATAATTTTTTGGATAATTATATTTTTACTGGGAGTACAGGACAGTAGGTAAAATCATTAACAGCTTACGATGAATGAGAAAGGACTCTGCAGGAAAGAGATGATAGTGTTTAACAAAGAGCTTACTCTTTAAGACCTGTAGGACACCAGATTAAACCACTGAGCCAAACCAGCACCCCTTCATTTCCCTCTTATTATACCCACACTCTGTGAAACCTATCCAATATGTGGGCGCCATTCTGGGAAAACCAAATCTCTGAGGTTATTAAATTTGAGGGGAAAGGCTTTTAAAGATATGAGCCTTTTCACCTCAAATATTACCCGTCTTTGATTTGTAGGTAAATTTAAGAGTCTGAATGACTCAGTGCTGCAACATAAACAGCTAAAGTTCCCATTCAGAGTGTATTTTTTCCCCCTGATGTGCAATAAAAGAGGATTTGTTCATTCTGAATGCTTACCTTGGTTTCCTCAGCTCGCATCCCATCCAGCAGGTAACGCAGCAGCTCCTGACTGTCCTGCTGCTGAAATCCTTTGAATCTGGCAGCTCTAAAGGAAGGACACAAGAAGATAGATGGGTGCTCTCCTTTATGAGACATCTCAACATTGAGTTGCCTTTGACCTCTCCTTACTCTTACTTTTTACAAACTTGCGTGAACAACTCTCGCGGCGTTACCACACCCTTCTTGGATTCCTGGATCTCGTTGAGTAGTTGACACATGGACAAAGTCAGGGAGCCCGGCTGGTCTAACTGCACTGTGATCGGTTCCTGCAACCATAATCAGTCATATAATACATCATATTGTGATAAATTATAGCTCAAATTACGAGCTCAGTGATTGGATGATCATTTTAGAACCTCTAAATTTAAATACATAAAAAAATAACGGCATCTTACCAACTCTGAGGAAGTAACTGGTTTAATATCAAGACTCATTTTCTCTTCTGTCACTTTGTTTAGAGTTTGTCTCAAGAGATGTGTTTGAGAAAGATTCTAGGGGGAGAATTTCACAAGTTAAAAATTTCAGTATTTCTCACATTTTAATTCAAGCTAAGAATCTTATCCGGCACGATCTCACCTGTATGACTGCATTGAAGAAACACGTGTTTCCGAGGTTGCTCAACCCCTTCACCGAAACACCACCAGCACTTTCCTCAGATGTGACAGGCTTTTGTGATTTTCTCGCGCTCTCTTTCTTGACATTTTTCTTTTGGCGCTCATTGTTCTCTTTGTTTTCCTTCTCCTCGCTTTCATCTGTTTTTGCAGCCTCGATCTGCTGCTCTTCTTCGATCACGCTGTCTTCCTCCTTCGCTCCTACGCAAACACGCACACAGAACAGTTATCCCAGTGATGCAAATGAACAAATAAAAGAGCGTAAAGTCATTTCACTCCACCATGGGACCTACTTTTTTCTGGTCTCTTAGTCGGCTCTGCAGAGGCTTGCTTTTTTAGGTTGGTCACCAGCTGAGCCAAGTGTCCAGTCCTGGAGTACTGGACTTCATCGTCACATATATAACACCTGCAAGTTTGGCGACACATGAGAAGCGTGATTCTCATCACAAACAGCACATGCTCCAGTGATTAAAAACCGTAATAGCTCACTAACCAGACGCTCCAGTTGTCCAAACTGATCACCAGGCAATGTGGATCCGACCGAGGAGTCTCATAATGTTTGATGGCGTGTTTGTTCTCAGAGTGTCGCCCACATCCCTAAAGGAGAAGAAGACATCTGCTCATTTAGCTAAAGAAAAAAAAGTCAATCAAACCCAGCCCTAATATTATCTAAATGAGATAACAGTTCCATTGACTCACTCTGTGGCCACATTTCAAGCACATCCACACAGGTGCTCTTTCAGTTTCCTCCTCTGTCTCTTGCTGTAGGGTGTTTTCTGGATTTTCTTCATGCTTACAATCCTGGCAGTTGGTCCAGTCTGAATTCCCTGAGAGTTTCTTGAGTAGAGTTTGGTCAGTTCCCTTCTTGATATGTCTGCAGGATGGACCTTAAACAGAAGAAAACCACGTCAGGAAAATCACTTCAGGCCCTCCAGAAGGTCGCATATGGTGAGATGGTGATGTTGTTTTTTTTAACCTGTCAGGTCGATGTCTTCCTCCTCTCTAGAGGTCCTGTCCTTTCCTCTTTTCTTCCCCATGTTCACCTTATAATGAAGAAAACATCATGAACATAAAACAGACAGATTAAATAACGTTAGCTTTGAAGAGCTGCGACACATTACAGCAGTTTCATCCTGATTATCCAAACTTAATGCGAAACTAAACATAAAAAGAGTTTAAAAATATATATATGAAGTTCTTTTGTATGAATGTCTTTGTGTTCATTTAACTTACTGTAACAAACGAAGTTTAAAACATCCAGAGTTTTCAGTTTCGGACCCTCAGCAGTAATGACTCCTCTGATCGGATCATGGTTCAACTAATCTACTGGTTTATGTCCCCCAGTCAAGGTCTGAAGGATTAAAACGGATTAAAGTTAAAAATTAAATGAAAATCACTGCCGCTCTTTAAAAGAAATCCCAGTTAACACATGTAGACAGCTCTGTCTGAAAATGTGGTGTCGCTGTTTCTCTTGCTCCGGTCGTGTGTTTCCTGTGTGCGTCGCTCAATACGGTCCGAGTTGAAACAAATCCTTGTGCTTGTTGTGAGAGGCCATAGATATCTATAAGAAAGGCTTAGATGACTCGAGGAGGAGTCACCTGCGGCCATCTTACTCCAGTATATAATTCTGGTACGCTCTATGGTAGCCGACAGGTGAGTAATCTGCATGATCAAAAATACTTGCTGAAATCTTGACAGATTTTTCGTCTAAGTGACGGTCTTTGTCGATGTGTTTGTGTTTGTCAGCTGTCTAACTTGGCTAACAGACTCGATGTGAGTGAGACCAAGTACATATTACAAAGTTGACCCAGCAATTTTACATCAGTTAAAGAGGCAGAAATGCTTTTTCGATTCAACATAACTTAAGTTGCACAGGATTTCCAAACTGTTTGGTTTGTTAAGAATATCTAAAATGGCAAAATGAGGCAGAAATTTATACTGAAAATAAATATATGTTGTTGTTATATGTTATCATAGCTATCCCTGTCATATAAATATTACTAATAAAACATTCACGGAATGATTAAATGTTTTATATATAAATGATTTATTATAACTGCCTTGTGTGTGTGTAGACCTTTAGCTATTGCTCTAAATATCTGCTTAATGTTTATTTATGAACATCTATGGTTAAAATTATTCTTGAGATTGCAGGAACATAACTCAAACTCTGAGGTTTGTTACAAACCAAAACCTTCGAAAATAGATTTAAAATTAACCAATCTATGGCCATTTAAACGCTAAATGCACCGTAGACTGTGATGTTATGAGTGGGCGAGTGTCCCGTAGCAAAATGGCGTGCGTAAGACATCTAGCGTTCATGTATATATCTATGCTAGCGGCTACGTCCACTCGGTGACAGCTGCAGCAGTTCGCCTCGTTTAGTTTCGTAGCATTTGTGATTTTCTTCCCTCTTTTTTGCTCATATCTTTTTTATTTTTGCTCATGTGACGTTTGACTAAAACTTACGTTGGTAAAATTCCTGGTGAAACATGCCACGTTACAGCCACGTTGTAACGCTGAATAACAACGTGGCGTAAAGGTAACTTAAAGCGACAACAACAGCACAACAACAGTGGTAATTCCCTTGAGTTTGCCTTCACCAGCATGTCTTCCCTGGAGTGGGCTGAATGTCAGCTTGCAGAGATAGAGCTGCTGACCAGCATGTTTCCCACCCAGGACGAGCTGGAGATCACAGACCAGCTGGCTTTAGCTGAGCTCCGGGACTATGTGGAGGGTTCAGGCTCTGCAGACAGTCCTCCTGCCTCCAGACCACAGTTTCTCATCAAGCAGAAGCTAGACACTGCAAGCATGGAGAGGGTAACCATGGTTGATAACTATCCTTTCAATTTGCTTTGAGCTTGTCCTGAAACTTCATAATTATTTCCTTTATTTCTCCAGACAGATGTGATTCTGTCCTGTGCATATCCATCTGAGTACCCCAGTGTGTTACCAGAGATCACAGTCAGGTAAGTCACACTCAAAGTTTGATGTTGGAGCCAGACTAGGACTGAAAACCTTACATGGTTTTTGCTAAAAGGTTACAAAAAGGGTTGGTCAATTTTCTGGAATCTGCAAATCTCAGTGTTAATTGAGTGACTCCTGAGGTTACTCTGTCTACTACAACATCAAAATGGAAATCGAAGGTAAAGCAAATTTAGCCCTGTAATAGGGGAGACCGGGGCTTGTTTTCACATGGGTAAGTTGTCACATTGCAATTATCTTTGCCACCAGGGTGTGCAACTAAAAAGTGGAATACTAGTTTTCTTCCCTTACACGGTCAGGATTCGTGTCCTGTCTGAAAGTAGAAGAGCACATAGTGAGCTGAGATGAGCGCTGATTAGCCATTTCGCACAACCCAAAGTTAAAAAAAAATAACTTTATATATTTTAAAAAAGCTTCTTCCAGATAAAAATCCGAGCAGTGACACATGTGGACTTGTTGGAGGAGAGATTAAGGCATCCTGTCATACCTCAGTCATTAGTTTGTTTTAACATGGTAGTTTGGGGCAACGTGTCTCAGTCATTTTGGGGTTAGTTGTCACATGTTTAAAAGGGATTAAAATTAACATAGAGAGTCTGATTATCAGCAGTTTTTCATAATGAAATTTTGATTTTATTTTTACAGAAAAAAGAGTGGTTTGAAGGAGAGGAGAACACGAGAAGACATGGTCAGGAATTACAAAAGAAAAACAGAACATGTCAGTGCAGTACCTGACGTGATGCTGAGGGCAGTCAGCCAGGTGACCCGAGCTAATAAATCAATCTGGAGGACAATAAAGGACTTTAATGTCAACTACAGAAAAACAAATAACATAAATACAGAGTCAGACAGCTCTCCAAACTCCAGAGCATGTTGTATTATATTTTACGTAAACGTTTATTCAGACTTTTTTTCAAGCTCAACGATAAACATTTTCTGTGCCTGACTTTGATTTTCACTTTAATGTAAAAAAATAAGAACAACAATAATCCACTGTGACATCTTACCCCATGTAGTGAGACAACTTACCTGATGGTGGGGCAACATGTCACATGTTCACACTCTCTGTTTGATTGTTTATAACTCTGCTCTGACACAAGATATAAAAATGACATGAATACAAAATATATACCTGAGACTTTGGGCTTTCCTCTGGTACACATTTTGTTTACATATGATGTATTGATTCCAAGTAATATATAAGAGTGTAAAAAGTGTGACTACAAGCCCCGGTCTCCCCTATACTTTTGACTATTGATAAGTACGTCTGTCAACCTCTTGCAGATCAATTACAGTCAGTGTCCTTTGTCAAATTGAAAATGGGCACTTTCAGGATTTTTATCAAAAGTGTTGCTCCAAAGATCAGAAAGTTTCAGTTTAGGAAGTCTTGAATCTTCTCCGAATGCTTCTTTAATCATATTTTATTCCTGCCCCAGGTGCTCCGATCTCAGCAGAGCTCAGCAGACACAACTCCACGTGGATCTCAACACGTACCTCTCGGAAAACTGCCAGGGGGAAGTATGTGTGCTCTCGGCTGTGGACTGGGTAAAAGACAACCTGCAGCTTTTTATGAATAAGAGTTTATCGGCAGCACCTACTTGTAAAAAAGAGACTGCCTCTTCACAGTCAGAGGAGGTGTTCAGTCGGCTGTGGATTTACAGCCATCACATCTACAACAAGACCAAGAGAAAGAACATCCTGGAGTGGTCCAAAGAGCTGGGTCTTTCGGGATTCAGCATGCCCGGGAAACCCGGCATTGTGTGCGTGGAAGGTCCTCAGTGTGCCTGTGAGGAGTTCTGGTCGAGGTAACTTGAATTTCGTTATTTTTAGAAGCTGACGTCACAGCCAGAAGCCCGCTGAAGTGCCAGCTTTATTATTTTGAAAACTTTTTCCCATTTCACAGAGTGAAGGTTCTGACATGGAAGAAGATCATGATTCGACATAGAGAGGACATTCGCCTTGATCTCCCAGGCGAGGACAGCAGGACTGTTCAGAGTATAGACTCCCTGCGTAAATTCACAGGCTTTGAAGAGGCGATGTTTGACCCCCATGGGAACAGAGGTAATCACATGGACCTCGGACAGCTGTACCAGTTTTTAAACGAGAAAGGCTGTTGTGACGTCTTTCAGATATATTTTGGCATTGAAGGGAGGTAATTGACTGAACAAATTAATGTTTTTTTTTTAACTCATGCCTTGTCATTGAAGCCCATTTCTCTGATATAAGCTTTAACTTAAATTGAAAAGCATTCATTACAGCTTAAGAGGATTTTTGTGTTTCACATGAAGAGATGGAGAGTATAGAGTCAGCTGTGCTTGTTAAATAAATCACCTCTCAATGGATGCTGTTGGAGGACTTCATTTGGATAAAGGCAGAAAGAACAAGACAAACAGAGATCTCACTCTCTTTAGCTGATAGGAAACATTTTTAAAGATTCATTTAGAGATGTTTTTCTCCGAGACTTTATCAAGGACCATGATTATATTTGCAATTTCAATACGGCTGCATTCACAGCAGATCGCACCTCGCTCAAGGTGTTTCTTTCCTCAAATGACACCATTGTGAAATCCTACAAGGCTTTTAGAGGATTTTCAGATTGGAGTCTATGTGAGTAATTGCACAGCAGAGTCAACAATACGACGAGTATCTGTTTATGAAATCTGTTGATTTTCCTCCTTTGCATAAAAGATGACAGATAAAACAACCACAGAAAGTCCATTTTGTGTAATTAGGGATAATACTTCAGTGATTCAAACAAGATCCTATTTTCTATACAGTCTTACTTTCAGTCTCCTTGAAGGTGCCGTGTGTTGCATTTAGCAGCATTTAAGCAGAATAGAGTCAGTTGAAATGGAAAATGATATTCATAAGTATGTTTAAATGAGTGTATCATGACCTAAATATAAAAAAAAACGGTTTTATTTAATGAGTGCCAGTGGAAAATAAACCACAAGAAGAAGATGTTGCACAAAAGTATTTGTATTGATAGAAGGTTTTGATCTCTCCTTGATAAATGAAGGTCGCCGTTGAGAGGGGTGAGCAAGGGGGCGTTTTAAAATGACTAAATATTCTGATTTCTATACTGTGTACTTTCAAAATGAAGAGGAAAATTCGAAAAATAAAAACGTTTGGAAAGTTTTTTTTTCCTTTTGTTGAGTTTCAATCTATTTTTGATTATTCCAAATAAGGTCCATTTTCCTCAGTACTCCTCACTCACAGAAAAAGCTGTTTTTATTATCTCTAATAGGCTGTTATCATTTCATAATATTGCAGAAGACTTGTTAAACCAAGGACACCTTGCATAAGACTCTACACATGTCCTAATGCTGTAAAAAGATACCGTCATTATCTCCTCTGAGGAGTTTGAACCTGGAATGAGCATTTCAGAGTTCAGACTTAGTCAGACATTAACTGATTAAATGAGCAGACATGAGTATATTTGAGCTTTTGCGCCTCTCAGTGCAAATACGAGACTGCGTTCTGCACAAGCGAGAATTCAGAATGAAAAAAAAATCACAAGGACCACCAGGTCAAACATCCATCAAATATAGAATTTGATTTATTAACAGTGTGCTTGGATTAGCCAGCAGATGGCAGCCTTAAACAATCTTAGTAAGCAGTTACCTGTGAGTTCTTGTTGATGGCAGAAGGTTTGGATTAATTCTGTGCAGAACCTGGATCCAAAATGAGGTGTTTTAATTAAGAGAAATGTGCAAAAAGAGGATCTGTGATTGGGTCAAATAAATTCAGCCGTTACTTGAATCAAATACGAATACTGTGTTTTGAAATGCTCAAGTGCCGTGACTCAATCATGCAGATTAAAAGGTTGTATTAGTCCATGATGCAAAAAGAAAAGGGGAGAAAAGTATCAGGTTATTTCTGTGGCCTTATTCATAACACATCAGCAAGACATGAACAAAAGCGATGAGGGTTTTTTGATAGATAAAAGCTAATATCCATTTTGCTTTGCCTCATTTTCTGCTCGTCTTCACAATGATTTAGCCTCAAAAGCTTCTCAGTGAACAGAAACTGGGTGCAGAAAAAAAAGGAAGGTTATCCTGATCTGGGTCATAAACCTAGTTTCACCTGCACCACATCTTAGTCTGCTGGTCCTGTGCTGTCCTGCTCCCCCCCCTCTCTCCCCCTCAGGAAGTGGATACTCGCTCCAGTCAGACTTCAAACTTTCCCCCTTCAGAAGACTCATCAGAGGAGTCGTCTGTCTGTCTGTTTGTTTATCACAGAGAGTTCACTCCGAGGTGCCTCCACAGCTCCAGCTCGTCCCTGAGGATATGAAACTCAGAATCAGGATGAGCAAACTCGTCCACCCCCTCACCCTGTTTAATATCCCTTCCTCAGCTAGATTTTCCACATTGAGGTCTCAGAGCTGAATCAGTCATTTGATGCTTTCATCATAACACCACTGTATGCCTATGACTCAACAGTCTTCCCTCCTCTAAATAGCCGGGGCTGATGCAACTTATGCTGCTTTTTGAGAGATTTACTCGTAACTTTGTGAGAAACACATTCGGAAAACGTCTCTTTGCAGACGTGTCATCAGAAAATCAAAGAGGCTCCTTGATTACAAAAGATTAAACCATCAAATGAAACACAAATGCGCCTTGTCTGATATTTGCACAGGTTTGTTCTCTCCAATCAGTGTTTCTTCACCTGGACTTTACCTACGATGGCGTCAAATAAACCGGCATGAATCATGAGGAGAATCTCTTTAAAATGCCGCCTGATATGACTGAATAGCCTCGATAGAGAAATGACCAGTGAAGTATGAATCGCCGACCTTTGTAAGAAATCAGTTGCAAAGGCTCTTTCAAAGCCAGAATTCGTTTTACTCAACACCTTTAATTTATTTCACTCCATGCACTGATGACTTTCAAGATGTTTCATTGATTTTTTTTTTCACCTTTTCTCCACAGTCCTTCACAGCCATAACCGTATAACAGTATACATATAGAGCGGCGGTGTGCATGTCCAAAGATTGACTAAAAAGTATTTATTCAAAAGAAGTGTGTCGAGGAATGTTTGACTCATGGTTTACGAGAAAATCACTCAGAGGTGTTTCTTTGCGTATCTTTGCACACAGAGAATATCCTCTTCTTTCATTCGCTGGGTAAGTGAACTGATGAGTGGCACTTGTGATTTTCCAGCGTATCATCCTGACATTGCAAAAGAAAAAAAACAAAAAAAAAAAGCCCCACTGAGATGGATTTGTGCCCTGAGGTATGACTATGAAGAACCAGAGGAAAATGGCAACCCTCCTTAGTCGAAGCCACCTGCTCTCTGCATTGTTCCTGCCAAATCTGCCAGATGTGAAAATAGAAACTTTTGTTTTGCAGAAGTTTAAACTTCATTTTCAATGCTTATTTTAGGCAGCTTATCATTGCAGTCATGGCACAAGACATCAACACTACCTGTACAGATCAATAACAGCACACCACCATATCGTCTTCCTTGTCGTTTCAGCATCATCTGTATTCTGTCCCAGTGTGGTGTCTGAGTCTGAAATGAAATGACTGGTTATAGTGCAGACTGTGTTAAAAATGGATGACATAACAGTTCAACAAAAGTGAAGCCAAAACAAAGAGCTCCACAGTAGGTCCTGAGCATAGACTGTATACAGAATGGATGCCGTCTGCCTCCTCACTGGGTGAAGCCACCCCGAGATCAGCATGATGTTGACATGTAGTTACTGTAAAACTGGTTTGTGCTCAAGTCCTCTTTTTTCTGTACAGCTCCATTTTTCAAAGTTATTAGGGGGTTCATGTTTTCTATGATTGACACCTGGTACAGCTTATGGGCGTATGAAGTTTAAATTCTGATCTTCATTATCACCCGGGGGGATACGCTGTTTGAGCTGAGCATCGTCACAGAGACTCTCCTGTCAAATGCTATAGCTACTGCGCAAGTGGTGGTTCCAGGACGGGGAGAAAATCCCAAAGTATATACAGCCTATGGTCCTGAGTCTCTTCTATGCCAACAGACAAATCACAACACCAACATACTCTATAGCAGGGGTGTCAAACTCAACCACAGCAAGGGCCATAATCTGGATTTAAGTCTAACCTGAGGGCCAAACAGGGTCAGCATTTAACCCAAACTGTCAACCTCCTTTTCAAAATATACAAAACAAAATCAGCGATGATTATAAACCACTTGGAAATTCAAAAAGTGAAAAAGAAAAATTTAAAGGCCATCTGAGATTAAAAAAAGAAATCCAATAGATTAGTTCAAAAGATCAGAACACAATATTAAAAATAGAAAAAAATATATTTTAAAGAGTAAATACATGAGGAGAAAGTTGAAATCACAAGTTTAAAAGGTCAAAATAAGAGACTATTTTTAAATCAAGAGTTTAAAGTCAAAATATGACTTAAAATTTAAAATTGGAATCTAAAGGATTAAAATGACATAAATCTAAATACTGAGTTGAAAAAAATCAAAGCACAAATAAAAAGTCAAATCATGTTTGACTTGTAATCTTGAGATGCAAAATTGGAAATATGGATAAAACACATTTTTTTCCCCACATTCTTGACTATTTATCAAATCTTCCTTACTCTTTACTTTCCCAGATTATCATGGTTTATTAAGGATATTTAAAATAATGGTGCTTAAGTTTGCATTATCATCCTGGAGGAAATCTGCAGACTACATATTGGTGGGTCAATAATAATACAAATATGATTTGATCTTGTGGGCCAGATATAATTGCTCCACGGGCCAGATTTGGCCCCCGGGCCTTGAGTTTGACACCTGTGCTCTATAGTCAGTGTGTTCAGTGGCAGCACACAGCTTTATTTTAATCTAATGATAACATCTAGATTTGTTAATACACCCAGATTGACTAGTACCTCAATCATGAACCTTTATTGCCTGTTTTGCTTTGACCAGTCAGACTGAGTCAAAACCTGTCCCTCTAGAAAGACCAAGAGTCCCTCCAAGGGTTGAGAGGATCCACTGTAACCTGTAATCAGCGACATTGATCGTGATACAGAGGAACAAAGAGGACCCTGAGTGTGTGATGAATATCTTACCTCACTTTCCACCCTGAGTTTGGGCTTCAGACCAGCAGATCAAGGTTCAGCACTGAGTGTTTGGAAATCCCTGAGGCGCCGCCCTGTTTCCTCTGATCAGGGTCTCCGCGATGCTGACTTCATTATCAGATAACGGCAGAGACAAGCTACTGCAGGTGAAGGTTATTCCGGTGGTGATGTTCATTTCCTTTCTGTTTACCTGCTTCACTGTCCTGTGACATGTCAGCACACAATGAATGGAAGTAAAGGGCGAAAGCAAACTTACATCGCTAAGACTGAGGAGGGAAGGACCGCTGGGACACTGAAACAAGAAAACACATCAGCAGATCAATCCAATTTGCTGTTTGAGACTTTTTCACACTGATGACATTTCTGGGATCCACTGGTGCTCACCACTGAGCCAATCATCCATATTGATCTTCCACACATGTATTTACATCACATGAATGATGCAGTGTGCTATTGATCAACACCTATATGTGTGTTTTTTCTTATCTAATGAGCAGTGTGGAAATCAAAAGCTATATACAGCCATGGATTTAGCCCAGTATATTGTCTCTGCAGAAGATTTAAAAGTCCAGAGCTCTGTGTGACCCCTGACCCAACCAGAGCAGAGCTGAGGTCTGTCCGTGCGCAGGTGAGGTGGCTTTGAAACAGGGCGCTTTGACTCAATACCAGAGGAGGGTGGAAAGGTTTCAGCTCACTCCCTTTGTGTTCAGGCCGGTTAACAACCCAAGAGCACACTGCATGTTTGATTTTGTGAAGTTATAGGTGTTGAATGTCTGAGGTTGACATGTACAGTCATGAAACTGCTCTTTCCTTTTCTTCTCGTGAGCTTTTTCTGTTTTGGTTTCAGGCTCTCAGTTGATTTATGATAGAGTGAATTAAAATAGTCGGTGTATTATCCATCCATTCAATTATTCCATTCAATCTAGTAAACAAAAACGAAAAAAAGAGTCAATATTTTCTTTATTTGTATTTTTATATAACCAAAATATAAATGATTAGTGTTTATTTCCAGTTCAAAACAGAATATATAATAAAGATGGAAACGAAAACAAAATAATAAATCTACTTTTCGTTTTCGGGTTATTGACGTCCCAATTTCCCACAGTGCCTTTCTACTGTTCGCACATGCGCATTGTGCGACAAAGTAGCCAACAACATGGACCAAAAACTCCAGGCCAGAGCGGTGGAGAAAGGCTAACCTGCTGTCATGAAGATGGACGCATCCTACATATTATTTAAAGCCGCCAGGAATGGTCACGCTAAAGGAGGAAGATATGACTGTAGAAAACATTACAACCAGAGCTCTGTTTCAACCGCTGTCACATCTTTCGCCATGGTAACTGTCGCTGAGGATCATGGGAAGGTCAGTGTAGCCTCCGTGCACGTATGCTCAAAACAGGCGCATTCAAAATCAGTAACTGTAAGTAAGATTTATTATTTTGTTTTCATTTCCTTCTCTGTTAAATATTCTGTTTTGAGCTGAAAATAAGAAAACAAACACAAAATTTTTATTTTGGGGTTTTACAGAAAAACAAATAAACAAAATATTGACTCGTTTTTTCATTTTTCGTTTACTAGATTGAATTGAATAATTAAATGGACGGATAATACACAGACCTAAAATGAACTACCTCTGCAACAATAAGCCCGACTATTAAACATTTTTAAATGAATTTTATGTTCAAAAATTTTAGTTTAAGAATAAATCTTAAAAACTGACTTACATGTGATGTGTATTTTTTGGGGGGAAATTTGGTTCCTGGAGTAGTCAGCAGACAATCACACTCATTCAACTGTTTCACTGGTGTTAAAAATTTAGACTAAAGATCGAGAAAATCGACAATATCGTAGAATTCAAAGAGAAGAATTGAATCTGGAGAAAAGCATATCGTCCCAGCCGTAATGTACACCTACGAGTAGGAGCTGCCTTTTAAAGGATGTATATTAAAATGCATTTGTCATAATATAACCTGCATTTAAATGAGTGATGCACACCTTGTATCTGGTAATGTATGAATGGCATGTTTTTATTTAGCAGTTGCTCACTGGGGAAACCTCAAAGTGTAACACTTCTGCAGCAGATTCTCAGGCTGCATGTGAGAATCTGCTGCTGATGCCGAGTAAATAGCTCAGTAAACGGCTGAGAAATCATATACCTTGTTCTTAATGCCAATTTTAGCAACTCTTTGTGAAAATCATTTCACATTAAACTCCATTCACACATGATTTACTGGTATTTTTCTTTTTTTCTTCATTTCAGACAATAACCCAATTCTGTAGGTCTATTGAACTGGTGATGCATATAATTGAATTAGTTTGGAACGTCACAGTGAGGTATTTCAACACAGGGATTTCATCATTTCTCTGTGGCTGGCACTGTTTCGCAGAGCCAGGCTGAAATAAATAGAATTGTTTTGAGTTACTTCAAGCCGCAGAAAAAAAAAACGAAACACAAGCTTTTGGAAGCTTTAGGAGGACGAGTCGCTGAATTTACGCTCAGGAATCTTCAAAGTCGTGAAAAATATGCACACTGCAGCAGTTTCGTCCCTTTTCTTCTGTAACTAATGTAAAGAATGTGAGTTTTCTTTGCAACTCTAACAGAAATAATTCAAGACTTAAACTCAACTTATTTGCAGGCGTATTAAAGCTGACGGTGACAGATTAAAGCATCAGGCTGAATGTACGAGGAATGTTTCCATTTGTATTCACCAGTTGGAGTTGCACCTCGACTCCAGTGGTAAATTCATCACTTTGTCACCAGAGCCGCACAACAGATCTCCTTCCCACAGCATATCAACGGCGTTAATTTGCTTTGTGTTGCATTACCATTTTCAATTCAGCTAAAGTAAACTGGATAATCAAAGCAATTAAAAACACAATCACTTGTGTTTCCAAGTGCTCTGTGGAAACTTGGCCCGGCAGCTCTTTGGGATTCCGGACCTCCCCTCCTGATGACCCCTCAAGGTGAACTCTTGTATGGCCATCCGTCCCGTGAATACTAAATATGGCTGAATTAAACATTTTCTCTCTTCCCACCACTATTTAATCAGTTGTCTTACTGAGCTGTCTGTCTGGAGTAATCCCTGAGGCTCACCATCACACTGACTGGCATCATAAAGACGACTGGCACTCCGCTCGGGGTAGTGCTCGCGCCTTTGCCAACCTCTTCCCTTCTTTTTGTGCTCACCCTTTAATTCAAGTTACAAACCACCAAAACAGGGTCTTTGTTACATGTTTGCAATTTATCCCAGCACTTGCAAATGCTTTGGAACAGAAATAGATTTATTTAAGAGTTCAGGAGGTCCCTGTGTGTTTACTCAGATAAGACTACGGATTATTTTTCTATCTGACTGTTGCAAACATTTTTTTAAAAAATAGGAAATCAGTCTCGCTTTATTTTTCATACACTCTGTTAACTTCTGTTTTTTAAGGATTTGAAGACGCTGCATTAAAACTCGAAATTACACCCAAAAAAATTATTCATATCAAACTGTCTGTTCGGGTCAAAGAGCCTTTGAGTGTCTTGTCTGCTGTTAAATTCTGAATATGAAGTGCACAGCCTAACTCCTTAAATAAACCATGGGTGCTTTAAATATCTGCAGATATATTATATAGTTTGGGAGAAAGTCGAATTATTGACGTGAACGTGTCCTCCTCCCCAAAACTAGGGGGCGATATGGGTCTTTTCAGCAACGCTGTTTCTGGACTTTTTTTAAAAGATGTCTCTGTTCCTCGTTTTAGGACTGTCCATATACTGTCTATATAATGTCCATTTCTTTCAGGAGGGAAAGCATAACAGCGCTTTCCTTGTCATTTCAAAAGTGGTCACAATAGTTCTTTAAAGGATAGTACCACTTCTCCTCTGGTGATTTTGTTCTGGGGTTACAGGGGCGTGGCGCACATACATTGTCCAGTCATACTCCGACTATACTGGTTACATGGTAGAACAAATCAAATTCCAATCGTATTATCTGGGTGTTTTAATCGGAGTTCTCAAACTCCGATTATAGTCAGACTAATGTGTTAACATGCACTTCATTTGTCCGATCTTAATCAGAGTAAGGCAATAATTCAGTTTTCTCGAGTGTCATGTAAACGAACTGAGTGACTCATAGACCTGATCTGAGCTGCAGATGGAAGTGTAAGTGTTGTGGGTTTTCTCACAGCAAAGTAAAGCCCTGAAAATGTCCAAATAGAGAGTACAGTCATGCAAAGAGCTCTGCTTTGTTTGGAGTTATTTTTAAAAAGCTAAATTGGGCGGTAGAGCTGACCCTGTCTGCAGCGGCTGACAGTTTAGTTTTCTTCTCAGCTCTCCAGCCACTTCCTCGACTGAGAGGCCGAGCTGACCGGCAACCACTGACACGTAGCTCATAAAACGCCACTCCACACAAACTGAAAATTAAAACCCTGTCGAATATTACATGTCAGCTTTGATCCAGAGATTTAACTGCCTGTATAAAAATAACATACGAATGAGTGATGATGTGATTACATGTGCCGTTGATGAAATCACAGAGCAAAAACCAGAGCACTGAGCCAAAGCATATATTGTGTTACTCGCGCTATTTTTAGCCGTGGCAATTAAACCAGTGACGTCCTGAGCCGTTTCTTTGCATACGGAAAAAAAGAAACAAGCAGAGGGGGGGAGAACCTTGATAATAATGAAGCTGATGCCAATACATGATGTCCACCCACACTCAGACAGCTGGCAGGCTGCAGGCTGCACTGCACAGCTGTTTGCCAGAACTTTCCTATACAGTGTTAACTTATTAACATGCTGTTTGCATTGAAGAGTGTTTGTTATTCACTTCTGGAGAAAGAAAACTATATTATGTTCATTAAATATGTAAGTTGTAATTCTTTAATTTTTAATTCCTATTCATTTCTGTCAAACCTATAAGACAAATGAGTGTTTCCTCACAGCTTTAGAGCACTTTCAATTATTCTCTCATCGCATCGCTGATACACTCAGGAGAGCTCGAATATTAAGTGACAAAGAGAAGAAGGAAGGTTTCTACTTCACACCTGGAGCGCCTCGTGTTCAAGTAGAGACAGAGAAAAGCCTGTTGCTGCAGGTGAAAGGTGACGATGAGCAAAATGGCAATCAGAACCAGAATCAGAATACTGTATTATCCCAGGGGGGAATTCAGTATTCAGTATAAAAATCAGGGCTTAATATTTCACTCATTAAGTGGCTAATTATCCATTAAGCATCCTGCACGAGTCTTCCTCACTTAGTGTGATAATTCCTGTGTGAGCACACATCATTTCCTATGCATCCATTACATGTGAACATGAGCTGGGAATTACAGACCCACCGAGATAAACTGAAACGAGCATAAACTAGAAAAGCACTCGGAGAGCACAGACCTCCACCAAGCAGCTCATGTCCCCCCTTATATTGTGATTCACACCAAAACTTTTACTGTTACGTGTCTTTTATAAACTTTTATTTGTGTTTTAACTGGTATGTTCACTGTTCATAATGTTCCTAAAACAACAAAGCTCATATTAGATACATAAATGCATGATTTATTATGCAATATTTGTAAGTGTACACTTCCTTGTATCTTCATTGGTTATCTTTCCATTTTCATTTTCTACTGCTTATTCCCGTTCCCGGGGTCGTGGGGGGCTGGAGCCTATCCCAGCATCTTCGGACAAAGGCAGGGGACACCCTGGACAAGTCGCCAGTTCATCGCAGGGCTGACATATAGAGAGGAACAACCATCCACACTCACATTCACATCTATGGGCAATTTGGAAGTGACCAATTAACCTAACCCCACTGAGGCATGTTTTTGGGATGTGGGAGTAAACCCAAGCAGACACAGGGAGAACATGCAAACTCCACACAGAAATGCCCTGACCAGGATTCGAACCCAGGACCTTCTTGCTGTGAGGTGACAGTGCTAACCACTACACCACTGTGCCGCCTATCTACACCACTGTGCCGCCCATTGGTTTTCTTTCAGCATTGAAAATTCCAGCGACACCCTTATTTTTGTGTGTTCTGGATCACAGTATCCAGAATTTTGTCCGGATCACCACCAAAAGGTAATGGGATCCTCCTGGGGCTGAGACGCACTTCTGGTGAAAATTTCAGATCAATCCGTCTGTAAATTTCTCAGTAAAGTTGCTAACAGACAGACAAACAAACAAACCAACGCTACCAAAAACATAACCTCCTTGGCGGAGGTAATAAAAAAACAGAAATCTTAAAAACACGGAGAGACAGAGTCAGAAAGAAAGCTTTTGATTACCTCTGAGGATCAACACTTTCATGAAGGTGCAGCGCTTTCTTTTCACTCCAAAGAAAGATTAATCTCCGTTATCAAACTAACGGTGAGATTTCCTATAGCTGTCATTTTATTGGAGGAACATCAGTTTCCCACTCTCTAATATTCCAACTTTAATTAAGCCTCTGGTGAGTATCTTGGAAGAAACTCAAGTACTCCAATCCAAACAGATGGCACACTATTTATTGCATACCTTATGCCACAGGTACTGGCTTTTTCCCCCCCTCTACAAAAGACGACCCAAGACAAGGCTTCCCTGAACACGCTCTCCTGGGTCTGCACGATTCAAAATTCTGCCAACCTATACAAAAAAAAAGTTTGTTTTAATTAGATCTAAAAATACAACGCAGAATAAATCAAATGGCAGACAGACAATCCCAGGGCAGGCTATTTAAAGATGCACCACACAGAGGATGTGAGCCAGAGTGGATGAATGAGTTTCAAATACAGTGGGTAGCTCTGTTTCAGTCATCAATCCAAAGACCTGCATGCAGTCTGATTCAAACAGCAGAGCCGCCGCCGCCGCCTCACAAAGCGGAAGCCCTCATGCAGCAAACAAGGGAATCGTATCTGACTGTATACATTCATCTGGCCTAATGGCACGGTGATGCATCCAGGGGGATACGCCAGCTCATGTTCTTTGTTCCACATCATTTGACTCCGTCTAACTTCCACTTGGCCCCGTCACAAGTGGAAGTGTGAGCGATCTGTTTAATCTCATCAAATATGATTAGTCAAAACACATCTCAAGATAATATCCTGCAGCCCTCAGCCCGTTCAGAGCGGCCCCTGAGCGGCTGCAGGTTTAAGTCGAAGGGGGACCACCGAGGGCTCAACTTTGCTCCTCAGGAAAACACGTTTGAACATTTCCAAAAGGAAGAAAAGGATTTAGTGGATCTACCTGAGGGTACTTTTACAAATCCACAATGTGTACCTGCAGTGTTAGTTGACATGATCATGAGATTTCTAGAAAGGGCTCCTTTGCCGAGGAAGCAGCAGCAGCAGCAGGGCTGAAAATGTGCTGTTTTTATTCTAGCTGAAAAAACCTGCCTATGAATAAAGAGACACTGAGAAATTGTGAATTTGTTCCTCCACAGTCTGCTCCTTGCACCCCTTTGCAGGGTGCAGAACAGAAGTTGGTCTGTGTATTAACCATCCGATCAGTTATTCCATTCAATCTCGTAAAAGAAAACGAAAAAACGAGTGTTTTGTTTATTTGTTTTTCTATATAACTAAAAAATAAAAGATTAGTGTTTGTTTTCGTATTTCAGCTTAAAACAGAATATATAATAGAGAAGGAAACGAAAACAAAATAATAAATCTTCTTTTTGTTATCGGGTTATTGATGTCTCCATTTCCCACGGTGCCTTTCTACTGTTCGTACATGCGCATCAAAGTAAACAACAACGTGGACCAAAATCTCCACGCCAGAGCGGTGGAGAAAGGCTAAAGTGTTGTCATGGAGATGGACGCATCCTACGTATTATTCAAAGCCATCAGTAGGGTCACGCTAAAGGAGGAAGATATGACTGTAGAAAAAATTACAACCAGACTTCTGTTTTAACAGAAGATTTTTGCGCTCGAACCGCTGTCGCATCTTTTGCCATGGTAACTGTGGTTGAGGATGATGAGAAGGCCAATGTAGCCTCCATGCACGTATGCTCAAAAGAGGAACTGTAAATAAGATTTATTATTTTGTTTTCTTTGTTTCTATAAACTCCAGGACCTGAATATCTATCCTGCCAAATATTAAAGAAAATAAAGCATGGATGATTCATAATCTCCAGTTTGGATATTTTAAGTGTTAAAGAAGGAATCATTGACACAAATACCTCCTCGTTCTGTGATTATAAACACGATGCAGATGAGAAGCATTTCTTCATCACTTCTGTTCAGCGTTGCCGGCATTTGTTTTGCAATCCCGCTCTATCTCTGCAATCCTTTTTATCCTTTTACTCCCCCAGCAAATCACCCCTTGAATAACACAAGGCAATTTACATGCTTGGATAGTGAAAACAAGTGGAATTACTGTTATTTCTGCATAAAAATCTTGTGTCCTTAATCCAAGAGAAGGACCACTTCTTGGGTCAGGGTTGGAGGGATTTTCGTGGGCAGCCTGGCTAAGACTCCTCCAGTTGTCACTAATCTACAGACAAAACTGTGGGATGAAACAGGAAAAAAAAACAGACTGTTACTGTAGAAAAAGAAAAAAAAACTTCTCTACCAGAGGAGTATGACTTAGCTTCACTGTAGAGGACAAAACCGCAGACTGTTGGCTCAAGAATAACGTTGAAGATTGCAGAATCAGACCTCATATGTTAAAGTATAATAATGTTTTTTTTTTTAAGATATCAATTTGTCCCTGAAGGATTTTGTCAGAGACTTCTGCTCTGTTATGATAAGAGCTTATTGTGAGCTGGAGGAGTGATATGGACCCCTGCCTACGGGGTACAGTGGGGATCAGTTTCTTCACTTTAGTGAGACTTACAAGGCCTCCTCAGAGGTCATGCTGTGATTGTTACATCGCCCAGGGTTTGCTTCTCACATTTCAAGGGGAAAGAGAAAAATCTATTTTCCAACTCACTATTTATGATCTCACGAGCGTCCCTCCACAAATATCCAATTACTAAATTATGATGGATTCGCAGCGTTATTTTCCGCCGGGACAGTCGATCTCAGTTTACGTCGCCTAACGAAGCCCCGAGTTTTTTTTTGATAAGAGGAAGGAGTGTGATAGTGGGAGCTGATGTTTATTTGAACTGGCTGGGCTTTTTGGTGCTAATGATTATGAAGTGAGCGCGGGGAACTGTCTCTGCGAGAGGAGAAGAGGGGGGGAGCGAGTGAGGCGAGGCCATGTGTGTAGCAGGCAGATGGTTGGCCGGACAGTGTGTTGATAATGGCAACATTAGTCTGCTGGGAAGCAACATTATGCTCAAGGTCAATGGGAGCTGAAGAATGGAGGATCATAATGACACAGGCCCCGTGTCCTGGAACCAGATCTCTCTTTAAGGATGTCGATATATTTAATACGAGCGCTCTAATTCTCTCCACACAAGGCTATTTTATCCATCCTCGAATTTCTGAAAGTTCATCAGTGCCACTGAAGCAGTGGTAATGGACCATAAAAGGTCTTTCTTTTATCTCCTAAATTGGTGGGCCGCACTGTACATTACGGTGTTTAGAGTGCAGCAAAATGCTAAGACCCTCTAATCGCTTGCTTTAGTCAGTTTGATGAGGTGTTGTTTTTAAAAGCTTCTCCACAGACCATTAGACCTCAGGTTGGTGCATACGGCCTTGTTTAGTTAATGTGGACACCTCGCACACATCTTGAAATACTTATTCAGTTCTTCTCATACTGTCAGGGTTTTTCTAAGGACTGATTATTTTTTAAGTCTGCAGATATTTGCCTTCTAATCCTCATTTACAACACAAATTCATCCCGCAGTAATCCTTATTTAGAGTAATTAAAAAGACATGAATGCTAATACCTGTACCAGTGTGTGAATCAGCAAAACACCCTCCTATTCCCCTCATCATAACAAAGCGACATCTGCATCCAGCCCTGCGATCGTTTCACTTCTTCTGCTTCTGCTGCTGGTTGACTTGATTTTTTCTTCTCCGTGTTCATTTAGCACTTATTTAGCACATTTATCCCTTTGTCTTTTTTCCACTTAGATGGTATTACAAGCTGCTCTTTCAACGATCTAATTTCCCTGCGGGCATCAATGAAGTTTTCATCTTAAGTGTTATCATTTCACTTCCAATTAAAGCAATCAGCTGTATCCTCACAATCCGGACCGTAATGTCAAATCACAAAGTGGTTTGCCTCGTAGTTGTCCTCAGCCCACTTCCTCTCTCAAGCTTGTTAAAAAAAAGGGCAACAGCAGCCCGCTGCGTTGACATCTGCGGGTAGTTTCATGAAGCCACTTCAAGCATATCGAAGTCAGCTCCAGTGAGACGGAGAGGAATTTCGGGAGACTTGAGTCTTCCTTTTGTCTCCCTGTATTAAAGCACAAATCAGGAGAGGAGCTGAGAGCCTCGGGCAATCTTCCCGAGGAGCTCCATGGATTTTTAATCCTTCAACACTTTGCATATATTATTAATGCTAAAGGGTGAGTAATACTTGACAGTTTCATGGAATAACAATTACAGAGCAGCGTTGGTCAAAGCACTGCCCATCAACATATTTCCCCTTTTATATCGCTGTAGATACGCAGACTTATATTATGACTGTGGGTAATGTAATTTAAATCACCGGCACAAGAAATTAGCTCTGAGTGCATCTGAAAGTACAAACCTAGTCACAACAAAGCCGCAGTTTTCAAGTTGTTCATATTTTAATCCGCACTTTGTCTCTTTTTCTTTTCTTTTTTCTTTTTTTACAGTGGCATAGTTGAAAAATGAATATTCAATACTGAGAAAAAAGCAAACCTCACACATCCCCCATAAAAAGCAAATAAATTACAGCCATTAAAACTTTGTACAAAACGAGTTATTTATAGCATCATATTGGACTAACAAAATAACATGTATGAGCATTGGCAATGTGATCCGATGTCTCTGATGGGGGGGTGGTGTCTGATTCACCAATGCCTCAACATGTCATTAGTACTGTTTGCAGCAAACTCAAAGGCCATAACGGTGATCCTTGTATTGTTTCATGATAAAATACAGAATCAAAAAAGGAAAAAAGTTGATGTCAGACGACTACTTTAGTAACAGCAATAATATCAATCAATATATCACTTTATCATGGATGTCAATCAATTATAATAATAAATACATATATATTTTTTTAACCAGATTTAGTCTTTTTTTTTATACCTTTTAAACAATTCATCAGAGTCCCCGTTCAAAAATGTGAAAACAATCTCATCAA